ATCGCAAGCGCGGCATTATCCCATTCATCGTAGTGGCAGTACAAGAACACCAGCTCCGGCCACAGGTTGGCTTCTTCGCATGCCCGGATCATCTTGGGGATATTAATGCGGGACCAGAAGAGCTTCAGATGCTCCATGACCCGCTCAGGGTGGTATTTGGATAGCGCAATGCCCAGCTCTGTGAACATACCCATGTGGGCACGCTCCAACCCCAAGCCGGCTTCGAGAACGGCAATGAGCTCGTCAAAGTAGCCGTTACGCTCGTACTGGCGGACCAGGTCCTGCAGCTCCTCGGCATGAACAATAAGGTTGAGACCGCAAATCTGGGCCAGGCGGAATTCCTTCTTTTTGATGCATGCCTCGTTGACTTGTTTCCAAACCTTGACACTGTTGGCCTTGCGCGCGCACTCGACGGCAGCCTGGTAGTCTTCGAGGTGAACGAGCGTCGTGGCCAGCTTAGCCCAGTTCGAGATGCTGCTGTAGAAAATCTTCGCGGCCTCATGGTATCCTTCCGCATATGCCTTGTCACCAGACTCTTCGATATTGGCGACATTGGTGGCATGCAAGAAGTCCTCCAGTTCCGCAAGCTGGTTCAGGCGCGCATAGCAGAATGCGAGAGCAGTATCGACAGCGGGCTCACGCAGAGTTTTGCGCGCCATCTTGAGGTACTTCACCAGTTCCTCATCCTTACCAGCATGGGTGGCCGTCTCGATGACCTCGCTGTAGTTGGAAGGATCATTCGCGCGAATGTACGAGTCAATCGAGTCGGAAACACGCAGGCCGTCCAGTTGAGCCTTGGCAACCTTGCTCCATACCTCCGGTATCTCGACACGCTCGGCGTACTCTTGGGCGCGGTCGATGCTGACAATGTTTTCCACCAAGACATTCGTAGCGGCGAGGTGGTTGTTGACCTTCTTGTAGATCTCAAACGCTTCCTCATACAGTCCAACAGAGATACACATCTGAGCAATCTCATCGGCATTGAACTCATTGAGCTGATGAATGTAACCCATCAAACGGCCCTTGTCCGCCTTGGCCGCAGTCAGCATGAGCAGGTTCTGCAGACTGCTGTTGTCGCTGAACGGAGATGGCTCAAGGATAATCTTTTCCAGGAGCTCAATCAGTTCAGCGGGCAGATCTGCATCAAGGAAGGCTTTGACAGCGACGGACACCTTATCGGGCTCCGTCGACTCCGGGACAGCGGTAGCAGTGACCTGATCAACGACCGAACGACGATGGATGTTATTATCACTCAGAACGAAAGCCCAGACCTCAGGATCGGCGCGCTCCAAAAGGTACCGCGCCTGGGCCCGGTACATGGCATTCTCGTTGGTGATATTGATAAGCTCCAGGTCGTTCTGACCCTTTCTGTAGGCGATGTAGGCCAGGTTGGGGTCACGTTTCTCGCAGTACTTTCCAACAACCAGAGTGTCGTACTGGTCATTTTCCCTCAGGAACTTCTCGGGGTTATTGTTGCTGTCGATGTAAATCTTGGCCAATGCATTGTAGACAGCCTGCTGCTGATTACCAGTCGCGAGGGTAGCCTCGAGGAAAGGCAGGAGCAACTTGAGTCTGTTCCTAGTTTCCACCTCGTGAACAAGTTCGTCAATGGGGATAAGAGACGGGTCGACAGTCGTGAGAAGGTTCTTAATGATAATCTCGTCACAGTCCACGTCTAGCAGTCCTCCGACGACGGCCGGAGTGCGTGAAGGATTCACACGCTGCACATAGACTTCAATGGACTTGTACTGTTGGTTGCGATAGAGGTACAAGACCAGATCATGGATGAAGTTGAACCGATCACACACAATAATCAATGGAAGTTGCTCCGTAAGTTTAGCCTCCTTCAAGAAGTTCTTCACCTTCTCGGGGTTATAGTAATTGCTCTCGCGGCAAATACGCTCCACCTCAGTGATCTGACCCATCAAGGTAGCTGCTTCAATATACTTGAAATGCACTTCGGAATCCTCGCTGAGGTTGACGATGCTGCCCAAGTAGTAGTAGAGACCTTCCGCGGTACGGTACTTCTCAAAGAGATCAATAAGGCGGTTTGGTCCGAGCAGATCAGAGAACTTGGTGGCAACTTGGACGACAGCCTGCAAGTTCTGACGGATATTGACACGGAGCATTTCATCCAGGCAGTCAAGAGTCTGCTCCACAGAGAGACGACCGAAGTAATTGATCAACCATTCCGGGTTCAGCTTGTCTGTGCGAACAATGTTCCGCTTGATCGCAACAGGATCATCCGTGTTTTCCAGCGCACGCTGGATCAGCCCAGCATTCTCACAGAGCTGCGAGATTCTAGCCTTGTCATAATGTGTGAAAATCTCATTGCCAAGGATAGCATCTGCAACCTGAGGCGCATTAATGAGGTTCATCTCCAGTAAGCGAGTCTGAAGATGCCCGTGCTCCGGTCTGTTATCCTTCAGTGCATCCAACAGGAATGAGGTAGCCTGCTGGATCATGTTCTGGGAAAGGAACACATCAACTACACGGTCAAGATCAACAAGAGCACCAGTCTCTTCATTAGCAAGCTGTGCGGCGAATTCAGCACCTTTCTCCGGGTTCACGCGCACGATGTGCTGCAAGAGCTGCGTGTAGTCAGGCTGGTAGCCAACCTGCTTCGAATACGCAAGGATCTTGTCAAACTGGCCAGTTTCAGCGAATCCAGCAACCACTTTGTGAGGGACGTTGGCCTGAAGATAGATTTGCAAAGCCAAGTTCATGTCATGTGGTCGTACGATGTCACCAAGCTCCTCGGAAGCCTCCAGCTTGTTCTCACGCATCCACTTTTCCAGCAAATGCTTCCTATTCTGCTGCAAAACTGGGCGAACAAGCTCAACACTCTCATACTTGTTCAGAGAGCCTTTGTCCAAGAGCATCCCAAAGTATTGGAGAATGACGGACATTTGCTGGCCACCCTGCGGCGGCGCGTTCTTGAAGCGGTTGATGGTGTCTGGGGTACGGAGGAACCCGCGTGGTGAATTGGCTGCAATCTTTGCCGCCTCAGTGTAATTTCCTTGGGCGAGAAGGTTGTCGAATTGTTGCTGATAAAGGTGGTCGGCTCCAGGAAGTCCGGCTTTGGAGGCTAGCTTCACAGCAATACTCGACATAGCGGGGTTCTCCATAAGATACGAAATAATGGTGTTCTCGTCCACACTGACCGCGAGAACCTGGCCCTTACGGTTGACGCCAACGAGACCGGCAGAATCAGAGTCTGGCGCAGTAGTAAAGATGGTCTCACTGGAGATTCGGTTCATGAAGATGCAGATACCGGTCTCCAAATCATAGAGGTGGATAAAGCCGTACTTCGTGACGAGGTAGACGATATCGTATTTCTTGGAGACCTGCATCGCCACAGGGAAGTCGTTCACTGCCTCAGCAGGGAAAAACACCTCCACCGCTTTCTTCTGGAACCGTGGGTTGGGCTCCTGATGGTCGATCTCTGCGATCTGCAATTTCGCGCCTGTTTGCGTTCGAACAGCGAAGGTAAACAACTTGTGTTCCAAGGGAGAGCCCTCAGCTCGGATCGAAGCGAAAGCAGCAGCATGGCCTTCGATAGATTGCGAAATTCCACGCTCCCGAGAGTACAGCTGCATCGACCCTACGACGCGTCCTTGCTGCTGGCTTATGCCAACTACTACACTCCATTTCTCGTCATCGTTGACTCGGTAATTGATGATTTGACAGCCCTGGACAAGAAAAGAACCATTAGTGCATCATCCCAACATAATCCGAATTCCGGACTTCTATTTCAGCATACATTCAGGTTTGGAAGTCGGTCAAATTGCTTCACGGGATTGGGCTGAGCAGGATCGAAAACATCCCAGTGCCAAACGGACGTATCCGTTACCAGACCGATACTCCTCTCACTGTACCACTTCCAGTATACGACATCCTCGCCCATTACAGCGGACTTCAGTTTTTGCTTCGCCTGAAGGTCGAAGATCTGAATTGTTCTCCCCGCGGCCTTTAGGGCGATGACATTTTTGGACCAGTGCATGATAGCACTGTCGGCGTTGATAGGACGTCTAATAACTTCATTGTTGTTCTTGAGGTTGACGATTACAACCTGAGGCTTGTCTTCTTCGTTGACTTTTTGTCGGACGCAAACGTAATGATCCGATTCTAGGGTCTAGTAGAAAGGCGCGACAATTAGGATACGTTACCGCAGTAGGGACCTGGATAGTACTCACACATGAATTGAAGCCAATGGCTGCCGGCTATTTGATAACAGATCCAAAGTTAGTATAACTCCTATATAAGAAGAACAGCATGCGACATGGTGCACGGTTCTGCGTCAAGTACGCGTGGACAGGCCAAAGGGGAAGAGGAATGTAGCATCTTCGTTTCTTACCGAAATGTCAACACTCGTTAACTAGAGCAAAAATCATGAATGTTAGCCTCGGTACCAATTAATGTGAATGATATTAAGAAGTACCTGGAGCAGCTCCGTGAACTTGATGGGAAGAGGAGCCATATTTACGGAAGGTCGCAATACGACCGCATCCACCCAACGCCACACGAATAACTCGACCGGACCTTGAAGGAAAGAACAAAATCCTGGAAAGCGAACGAAACCCCCAAGTGGAAAAGTGGAAAGAGAGAGAAGATGAGGTGATGCGGTGGATTGATTGCAAGTCGATGAGAGAGAGAGCTCAGGGGACCCTGTTGTCGTTGCTTAGGTGTCGCTTAGTCCGTGTCACGTGCAACCAAGCTGTGGGCATCCGCTGTCGCGGTAGTCTGGGGATTTCTCACACGTGCGCGTCAGGTAAGACGTCTCTGACGATGCTGTTGAGGAAAAGCAAAAGGATGATGAGGTAGGACTGGAATTTAAGCAATAGGATCGCTATTACCTGTCAGGATGTCAGTCAAGTAGTCTTAGTGACTTCAAATCCTGCTGAATCTGAGTTGAGAGTCAAGTCACTAGTCCTGGATGAGCTTGATATGGGTAGCTATTTGTCACCAAGTGGATTTTGCTTTGGGGGTGAATTCTAATTTGCTTGCATCCAGAAAACTCGCATGGTGGATAATTCCGTCATGTCCTTCCTCAGGTCCTTAGCTCGCTAACTGCTATTCTGCCGTCTGCTCTTCCACAAGTTGGAATTTTAATGACTTGGACGATGAAATGATGACTTTTTGCTTTCTGTTCTAGAGCATACAGACTGAATAGATTCCGGCAGTTTCAGAGCTTTCTCATTACTTGAGAATCTCCCATGGCTTTGTTATGATAGACCAATCTACTGGTACTAGTCGATTCGGGAATATGAATATTAACCAGCAACAACCCGGTTACAGTGTTTCTATTACAAGCGGATGACTTTCTGGAAGGTAGTAGCTATGAGAGATATATGAAAAATGCAGTCATTATAGGCCTATATCTTATATTTTGAAGTCTATGGTATTTGCATGCCAATGGTTTCAGTGATGTTTCATGTTTGGGTGCGTTTAATGCATGAAGGCCTAATATAATATTCTACATTTTTCTATAGCTGTACCCCAGTTTCAAGACAAAATAAATTGAAATAAAATAAAACCCCATTTCCAGATTTCGTTTGTGTCGCTATTGGTCAGTTGCTCTACTATTGCGCATGCATACTTTAAAACTATGATGTCCACGGAATATATATTTCTGATGTCTACTTCTCCACACCAAACCCCATATCACCACACATCATTTGCAACAACATGGAATCGGGATAAGCCTTGATATGGACTTGCAGTCACCTTCTTGCTGCCAATGCGCGTCGATGCCTTTTAAGACATGTCCATTGCCGAGACACTGAGGGAAAAGGTCTCACCCCACCTGGAGCGTGCCAGAGACCAAAAATGAGAACTTTACGGAAAAAGCCTGCATTTAGGCATACGCACTCAAATTCACAGGAGATCTCCTCTCCTTGTCGCTTGAAAATAGTCACTAGACAGTTCAATTTGAGTGATCATGATAACTTAGAGCTTGTTTTGCTAACAATGAGCCTTGGCCTGAACCACCTTTTGTTTTTGGTAATTGTGGTATGCGTGCTGAGAACTGTGTATGTATCCTTGGTTCATTACGAAGTCAATTGTTTTGAGATATCATTTACTTCGACTCCTGGAAAACAGGCTAGATAGTCTGTGCTTGTTGCATGGTTAAGGCATATCAGACATGTAATATTAAGTTGTTTGGAGTACAATACGGAGTACTCTGCAATGTTAATCTAAGACTGCAGGAACCTATAGAAGAATGACAGTAGCCATTGGTACTGGAATTCTGAAGAGAAAATTAGCTGCAAACTTGCAGTATTATAGTTCATCAATCTGGACGGTCTATTCTATGGTATTGGCAGTTCTATATCCATCCTTTCTCTGCCACAACCAAAAAAAAGAAAGTAAATACAGAATTTTTCCTTAAGAAAAAATGAAAAAGGGAAAGGAAAAAAAAGAAACGTGGAAGGAGGAAAAAGAAAACAGCAGGTTCCTCACTAGGAGGAAGGGGCAAAAAAGGACAACACTACCACTGCTCACACGCGGACTCGAACCGCGGACCTCATGATTACTAGTCATGCGCTCTACCAACTGAGCCATGCGAGCTGTGATTGAGAACACCGGGAGGCAACATGATTTATGAATTGCCAACTGAGTTCCAGTTCAGGAGGTTTGTGGCGACCAATCAGAATGAGAGCCTGAATTTCTGTACTCCGTAGTGTGGTTCGTTGATTACTCTGTACTAAGGTATCAGAAAGGGGGCCTTAAATAACGGCCCGAGGAATTCTCAGGTACTCCTGCAAAAAAAATGGGGAAAATGCACACTGGACCTCATGATGATTTCACAAAAGGTTTTCATTACATCTAGCCACGTGTACTTCCTATTTCCATTATCCCCTTGGGTTCTGCTCTGGTGCACGTTAGCGCAGACAGCGCGGTAATAAAATACTAAAATTTGAGTGGCCCGTATTGTTCACCGCCCCCCGATACTGCCGACAGTACTCTGAAGGCGGTGTCTCTAATTTGGTATAGTCCACAAGCAGGTTTTACATGGATCCTTTTTGGGGTCCGTCTGACAAAGAGTGGCCCGGTTAGCTCAATTGGCAGAGCGTGGGACTGTACGTGCTGTCTGATTGGTTGTTTTCTCGAAACCATGCTAACTCATACCCGTAGTTTAAGCCTGAAAATCCCAAGGTTGCGAGTTCGATCCTCGCATCGGGCGATTCCTCGCCATTTTTTTTTTCAACTTCATATCAGTTTCAATACTGCGTCGTATCAGCGAGTCAGTGACTCGTCTTTTTTTTAATCCAGTTGCTCTGCCCTTAGGATCTTCACTATCTTTTATGTTGAACTCCCTTACCCTATTCTCTTCACAGCTTCTTCCTGTTTGAACCTTTTCTGGGAAAGTATATTTCTGGACTTCTGAGAACACTATCCCGGTCAAATCCAGCCATATACCTCCCCCACGTTGTTGGCAATAAATCTGATTGAACTGAACAAATCAAGTTATCGACGGGATCAGCAAAATTTCCCCTAAAATTTTGCAGTCTGACTTTTGAATAACGTATTTTTGGAACTTCATCGATTGTCCAATGTCGTCTTATGTCGTCGCGAGTATCCTTATATTTTTGACACTTACGAGACCTCCAGCCCTTCCCCAGAGGCAAAGCAACATACTTGAGTGGATCGGCTTTCATATAGAATGCAGAAGAGTCGGTGAGGACTCTTTTTGAGACATGATGATGTTCTGCAGTAGTTTGCGGGGAACCAAGACGTCTTCATTGTTCAAGGCTACAAGCACTGTCGGCGAGACCGACTTGGCAAAAATAAGCAATAGCAACCTTGAAGCAATAAGAATTATACACATAGCTAGAAACTCTCTATCTCGCCATGTGAGGTTGTGGTTGATGTAGTGTTATTAAGGTTACTAAATCAGCCGAGGAGTGAAGCACTCCGTACTCTGTATTTTGTTCTGGAGTCGACTGGGGAATTAGATATTGGATGACGTCTCAGCGTCGATTGGCAGATCGCATTGAGCGATATGTATGCACTCATATCAGCTGACGAATTTTCTTTTTCTTGTCTCAGAGCCCGAATTGCTCTGTCTAGTATGAAGTACTCCTACTACTCCGTATGGTCGTCTTGCTGGGATGTGCTAGGACCCCGGATGGCGTACGAATGGCGGGCCCGAGTGGATTGTCGCGGACCATCCATCGCGGTGCGTGGAGGCCAAGCTTTTGATCATTGGGAGACTAGCAGGCACCGTCCGCCTGCGAAATAAAATGAATTCCCAGACGTGCGGATTTCCGTCCCGCTCCATTGACATTATTAGCCATGTCGGAGCTGCAAGCTTCGCCAGAGGGTCCTTGCACCGTGCTGCCAATAATAATAAAGTCTATTTTCCCGCCGGGATCTGCACCCTCGAGTCTATTTTCGATGATTCTATTTATTGTCGTGGAATCCCCAAAAAACTGGCATCCCTTTGGCAAAGCGTCCTTGGATGGAGAAACGGGCACGCCGTCGCTGCCTAGGGCTGAACTGTGCTCTGGCCGGTGGGCCCGCTAACCCCCATTGCACCTCGGGGTTTATCACGTACCTCAGTGTATTATTATTATTCCGTATAAAACATCCACCGCGGTGACGTGAGAGAGAAGCACTCCCTCCTCCCGCTGTCTTCATTTCAGGCCATGCTCACTTCCCCCATTCGCTGGAAGGATGGCCTTACTCCCAGGCTATGGCAAACGTGAGAGCGGGGACGACAATTTCGGGGTGGACTGGGTGATACATTACTACTTCGGCGATATCGGTCAGTGATAACACCCACAACCGATCCCCTTCCACGGAGATGTCCGATAGGGCGATAAGCTAAACGATGTGTAGAGGAATCCCAAGCTATCGAGGAGTATACTACGCTCATCCGCGACCTGGATGGAGTCGGCCTTGAGACAGAGGTGAGGCATGGCAATGGCCCATCGCTGTTGGTCTTTGTCAAAGCTCCTCGGCAACTTCTGGGCAACTGGGTATATAAGGCAAGGTACGACGATCCCTCTCGTTCGCTGAGACAGCCTGGGGGGGTGTGCTCACGAATTGATCTACAGAGTACGAGACTGGCTCTACGGGATCACGCAGGTTCGCCCCGTAGGCGACAGTCAGACCATCATCGAGGGCGAGACGGAGGCCGAGGATCTACGCTCGATCAACCATCTTGTCAGTTGGCAGAAAGAGAATGGCGGTGCCGGGATCACTGTCAACTTTGGGAAGTGGAAAAACGTCAAGGCATCGTTTCCCCTCCACAATCAAGCCGCAAACCGAGAATTGCTCCGCAGGTGGAGCCGAACGACCATCTTCACGAATCGAGACCTTGATGCAATCCGAGCTTTGTTCGGTGAGAAGGTATTGTTGCTACTCCACGGAATAATGGATCTTGAGGAATCCTTTGTTGATGGCAATCGCTGCGGTTCGAACTAGGTTGCCTTCTACTTTGCATTCACACACACCTATTCGCTTTTCCTCGTGTTCCCCGCGGTGTTTGGCGTGATCTGCTGGCTATATTTCGGCTCCTACTCCATCGTCTTTGCCGTGGTCAACTGTTTATGGTGCATCGTGTTTGTGGAATACTGGAAGCTGAAAGAGACCGACTTGAGCATCCGATGGGGCGTGAAAGGGGTCGGAGTACTCAAGGCGAACCGGATACAATATATATGGGATAAAGAGGTGACGGATCCCTTGACGGGAGAGGTTCGAAAGGTGTTTTCCACAAGGAAGCAAGTCCTCAGGCAGCTGCTTCAGATCCCCTTTGCCCTGGTGGCCGGCCTGGCGCTGGGAACGTTGATAGTCGTCATCTTCGCTATGGAAGTCTTCATCTCAGAGGTCTACCAGGGACCTTTCAAGGCCTATTTGGTATGCAAAGACCTTGGTAGAACATGATAGAAGCCCTGGCTCACTTTTCTGTCTTTTGGACAGGATTTCCTCCCCACGATACTTTTCTCAATTTCCTTGCCGAGCATCAATTCGGCGCTGACCAGCATCGCAACCCGGTTGACCGACTACGAGAACCACCGCACTGAGGATCAATATGAGCTGGCCCAAACCCAGAAGACGTTCGTTTTGAACTTCATTACTTCGTTTCTTCCCATCATCCTGACTGCCTTTGTCTATGTCCCATTCGGTGAACGCATCGTTCCCTACTTAGATGTGTTTCGCGTCGTTACAACCAACAGAACCTCGTCCTTCCTGTGGTCTGACCAGGCGACCGCTGGCCAGCAAGGAATTAGCTCCTTCCACGTTGATCCTTCTCGTCTGCGACAAGAGGTTGTCTATCTAACGGTGACTGCTCAGGTGCTGAGCTTCGGGGAGGAGATGATATTGCCGTACATCAAGCGCATCTTGATACGGAAATATCGTCACTACAAAAACAAGAGCTCCGAGGCGGCCGTCCGCCAACGCCGATACTCGGAAGCAACCAACATCTTGTTGGTGGATAATCCAGACGAATCCCATTTCTTGAATAGGATTCGCAATGAGGCCGAAGCCGATGTCTATAATGTACAGGATGACATCCTGGAGATGTGCATTCAGTTTGGCTACTTGACTCTGTTTGGGGTGGCGTGGCCCCTGGTGCCGCTGGGCTTTCTGCTGAACAACTGGCTGGAGCTGCGCGGCGACTTCTTCAAGATCAGCTCCGAGTGCCAGCGGCCACCTCCCATCCGAGCGGACACGATTGGACCGTGGCTGGACGTGCTCAGTTTCCTCAGCTGGCTGGGGACTCTATCCACCGCGGCCATTGTGCATCTGTATCGGAGCGGGAATATGGAGGACGTGCAACTGTGGTCCCTCCTGTTGACGGTCTTTCTGGCCGAACAAGCCTATCTCGCCTTGCGGTTTCTCGTGCGGACCACTCTGGAGAAGATTGGGTCTGACGCCGTTCGTCGCGAGGAGGCACGCAAGTATGCGGTGCGGAAACGGTACCTCGAGACCTTCTCCGAAGAAGCGGCGGAGCTGTCGAAGAGACCTAAGCCACGGGTGAGATTCAACGAGACGACGGACGTGGTCATTACCCCGACGAAGACTAGCTTTGGCGATGGCGATGGCGATGATGATGATGATGATGATCCAGGGTTCCAAAGAAAACTCCGAAGAAGATACGAGAGGCTAAAACAGGCCGATGACACAGATGGCTATGACAACGACCAACCCGACGCACCCTTCAAAGGCGGCCTCTGCCGGACAGACAGCGGCACGCTACAAGACGCCGAGCGAGCCATGCGCTTCTGGTCAGCGCAGAAAACGGGCCAGGACACCATCGATGCGGGCGTCAAACTGATAAAAGTAATGGCCAGTCTGGGCCGGTCGAAGAAAGCGAGAGCCGATCAGCTGAAGCGGGCAAATGCAAAAGCCAACGGATTGAAGGAGGCCTGATATCATGATATATCATGATATGTTGAACAATCTGGTAGCAACATAGCAGCAAGCCTGTTTTTCGCAAGCCTGATTTTCTTTTCTTCCTTGTTTTTTTAACACCGAGAGACTGAGACTGAGCAGATTCCCTCAGATCTACATAAGCCAGCACAGCACAGCACACGGGCAGAAGTATATATCAAATCTATACTCCGGAGTAAATAAATATATAGATGCACCTTCTTGTACAACTCCAACTCCATTATTATTTACTGGGCTTTTTTCCCCCTGTTTTGAATACACACATGAGATTTTTTTTTAATAATAATAGAATACCAGTACATACATACATGGATACAAATAACCTAGTCAACTATCGGCCAGCCAGACAGGTAGATAGATAGATAGATAAATAAATTCCAATATATCCAAGAACAAGAATTAGAAAAGAAGAAAAAAAACGAAAGGAAAAAAAAAGTGAAATTCCTTCTTATTTTTGGCATTGTGCTGAAGTGATATCTCATCATCTTATTTTTCTTTTTATCTACGCTATGAAATTAATTTTAACTGTCTTTTTTCTCCCCGTTAATGGTGGAACAGCCGGATTCCCTGCTCGACAAACACGATGCCGAGCTTCTCGGCCGTCTCGAAGACGGCGCTGTCGTTCTGGCTGCCGCTCGGGGCAGCAATGTATTTGGCTCCGGAGCGGGCAGCGCGGAAGACGTTGTCGACGAAGGGGAACTATTGTATTGTAAGTTGTGTTAGTGGAATTGAGAATTAGAATTGTAATTGATGCCTGCCTGCGGCAAGAAGGTTGGGATAGGGTTCAACTTACGAATGCGTCAGATGACACGGCGACGTCGCCCAACTGCTTCAGCCAGGCTTCTCGCTCCTCCTGCGTGAATGGAACAGGCACCTCCTCAAAGACACGCTCGTAGTCGGCCTTCTCGATCTCGTTTTGCGGGATCTGGCCCGAGCACAGCATGTCAATGGCGTTGCTCTTGTCGGGCCGCTTGGTGCCCTTCTTCCACTTGATGTTGAGCGTCCTCTCGTGGAACCGCATCCACCAGTTGTCGGCCTTGTCGCCCGCCAAACGAGTGCAGTGGATGCGGCTCTGTTGACCTGCGCCCAGACCGATCACCTGGCCGTTGAGAGCGTAGCACACAGAGTTCGACTGCGTGTACTTGAGAGCGATGGTCGCCACAGTGAGGTCGCGGAGGGCGGACTCCGGCAGGCTCTTAAGGCCCTTGGGCGTGATGATGTTGTTGAAGGTCTTCTCGGGGCTGATGACGGCGTCGTTGCGGCGTTGCTCCAGCTGGACGCCGTACAAGGTGCGGGTCTCAATCGGGGGAGGAGTGTAAGTCTCGTCGATCTGCAGGACGAGATACTTGCCTCCCTTCTTCTGCTTGAGAATCTTGAGCGCCTCGGGTTCGTAGTCAGGAGCAATGACACCGTCGGACACTTCTCGTGAAATGATCTTGGCGGTCGGTACATCGACCTTGTCGCTGAGAGCGATGACGTCTCCGAAGCTCGACATGCGATCGGCACCCCGGGCGCGCGCGTATGCCTGGGCTAGACCGGATGACTCAAGTCCTTCAATGTCATCGACCATGTAGACCTTGCGTTCTTTCTCATTCAGAGGCACACCGATAGCAGCACCGGCGGGCGAGACGTGCTTAAAGCTGGCCGCAGCTGGGTAACCCAGAGCCTGCTTCAGCTCCTTGACAAGGGGCCAGGCGTTCAGCGAGTCCAGCAGGTTGACATATCCGGGAGAGCCTCCCAACACCTTGAACGGCAATTTGCCTTGCAGCATGTAGGCAGCTGCCGGCTTCTGGTGCGGGTTGGTGCCGTAGCGGAGGGAGATGTGCTGCAGACCGTCACCGGCATATTGCTTGCGGAAGAAAGCGGAGATGGCGCTGTCGTAGTCGGCGGTGTGCTCGAAGGCCTTGAGGGCGTACGTCTTACGGCTCTGCTCCGAGACCTCGCCGGCCTCGAGCTCCTTCAGAAACTCGGGATAGTCATTGGGGTCGGACAGGATGGTGACGCGAGCGTGGTTCTTGGCCGCCGCACGAAGGAGGGTCACACCGCCGATATCAATCTCCTCAACGGCCTCATCGATGGTGACGTTCGGCTTAGCCACGGTGTCCTTGAACGGGTAGAGGTTGCAGACGACATAGTCGACCTTGTCGATGTGTTGTTCCGCCAGATCCTTCTCGTCGGATTCGATGTTGCGGGCGAGGATACCGCCGTGGACAGCAGGGTGGAGGGTCTTGACACGGCCGCCGAGCATTTCGGGGGCTTTAGTGATGGCAGAGACGTCCCTGAAGACAGAAATGTCAATTGAATGTTTCACTTGTTCGTCATCATTTTCCCTCCTCCAACCTCTACCACCCAAATTCGCCTAATATCAAACCGAAAAGCTGGATAGCACTCACTCGACAGGGAAGCCTGCTTCCCGGATCAGTCTGGCGGTGCCACCGGACGCGAGGAGGCGGACATTGTGCTTGACCAGGCCTTTGGCAAGGTCGAGCAGTCCCGTTTTGTCGTAGACGGAAAGGATAGCTGTGCGAGAAGAAAGTTAGCCAGGCGAGATTGACCGATTCAATTGCATGAAGAGCGAAGACACTGAAAATGTTCAATTGGCAAGGATATCCCCACACGATAGAAGTCCAACGATCAATTAACACACGAGACCTCTTGTGGCATCAATTGCTTTCCAATCATTCCTCCAACAATCGAAAAAAAAAGTTCCAGAAAAGAAAACCGAGTATACGCAACAAGAGGACATATCGCAAAACTGATAAAAAAAAGAACCCCGCCAAAAAAAAAAGACATAAAATATAGATAGAACATACCTGTCTTCTGCTGCGCCATGATTTGAATGGAACGTTCTTTCTTTCCTTCCTTCCAATCCAAACTTTTAAAAAACCGGAGTCGAAAATCGACACGCGGGGGAAATTTCGACTGTCCTTTCCAACCAAACCCGACACCGGAGGAAGAGTCACTTTTGTCCCGCCCTCTTTTCTTTTCCTCTTTTTTCCCTGGGAAGAACCCCGCACCATACCCGATCTGGTCTTAGTTCTGATAAGGTAATCAATCAAACGGATAACTAGTTAACTAACTAGTTAACTAACTAACGGATAACGTGATAAATAGCAACTCGAATCGCATGACAGCCAACAAATCACGTGACGCGTCAGACGCGAAACCAACACCAACTAATTAAAAAGTTGCCAAAACTCGTCTCTTTTCTTCTCTCTTTTCTTTTCTCCATGAACAACGCTAGATTAACCAACATTCTCCAAAAAGCGTTCCTACGAGGTTCTCTTTTTCTATTTATTTTGGAGGAAGATGAAGCCCATGAAGTATGGAAATCGCCCTGAGAATGGAGATGAATTCATTTTTTTTGAAAGGGTCAATCTTGGGTGCAGTGCCTTCCTTATTTTAAAATTCTAGGTGGAAGGGATTGCAATGGTTGACTCTACATACCTCTTTTTTTTTAAAAAAAAGCAAGAAGGAAAGGGGAAGCTTTCTCTCTCCTCTTCTCTGGGGTATTTATTCTTGTTTATTACCCTTGGTTCAGTCTTGATGATTGTGTCTGTATATTCTATCTTGTAATAATAATAATAATAGAAAAGGTGAGGCGAAAAAAAAAGGGAAGCAAAAAAAAGCGTAAATTCGAGAAGAGTTCTGTGTCTTGTTTGAGTGGGAAAGTCGAAACACGGCCACCGCTGTCCAACTCCCCGGGTATATTTTTCACCAAAAAGGTAATAATAATAAAATCATTAGGATGGGCAATTAAAGAGTATTACGACATCAATTCTATAATGACTTTTCCTCCCATGCCGCTTCAGCCTTCACCTCTTTTCATCAGAGATTTTCTGCCCTTGCACGCCTCCCAACGCCAGCTGGCGTCCAATATTTCCAAAACAGACGCAGGCGCTGAACAGCACACTGGCCAGCCAAGTAGCTACCGCAACGGCTTCCTGAGACAGACCGCCCTCAATGTCATGCTCCAGTCGCCAGCCTCGGATCCCAATCCCAGCTGAGGAGGGTATCATCTGCGGATGCAGGCCCAGGATGATGCCCATCCCAGTCAACCCAACCACTGTCGACAGCCAAAATCCCGTCTTCGTCCGGTCTATCAGATACCACAGAAAAGGGTTGACGAGAGCGAGGGTCAGCGATTCCTGAGTGGTAGATTCCCACGGAAGTCTCCGCTGGTAAGACATAGTCAGCAAAGCTCACATCGCGATTGACTTCTGAGAGACTCGTGGAGGCTTACCATGGCAAAGGCAATGCCGACAAAAGCACCAATACTGCGGACAGCCAGAGTCCAGCGTGACGACTGGCGACGGTCGTCTTTGCTTTTGCTAGTCTTGGGATACCCGTTGGCTGTCTCGCCCCGTCCGGTACCACTCGTAGCATTTTCAAACAACGTATCGAGCCAGGGAAGAACACTGGCCAGGGCCACGCCGCCAATGCCCCAGAGTCCCAAGTATCGCCACGAGGAGCGATCAATGAGTTCCAACTTGACCGGTGTGATCCAATGATTCTCATGTAGGTGGGCCATGATAGTGCCGTAGACGACTCCGCAAACGAAGAGGAGGATGCTCTTCAGGACCAACGGCAGGAACACGTCGCCTACTCCATGGTGCCGACGCAAGTGTTTTCTCGCTGAACCCGGCCGCTCTGGTTGTGAGGTCGGGGGCGGCTGGTATCGAAGGTCCTCTGCTGAACGCTCGCCGGGCGTTTGGACCTCAGTGCCCCAGGGACTGGAATCGTCGCGGGGACTTTCGAACGCTGTGGGCGAGAAAATGCCCAACAACGTGGACGAGGTCAGGTTGAGGACAGATCCGGTGCGCTGCGATGCCAGGTCATTCTTCACTTCGAGAAAATCCGCGGCGCTGTTATTCGTGGAGCCGTCTGCTGGCGGAGTGGAAGGCTGGGAGGACTCGTTGGAAGGGAGCTCGAAGGGCCGTCGCGGTCGTGGGCGAAGAACTCGAGGCTGCTCCGTCATTGCAGATGGTAGAATTGCTGCGACGAATTTCAAGAAACAACGAACGTGGCAATGAACCTATAGATTGCACAGGGGTTGCTGATGTGGTTATGTGTCCCCTGATGACTCTTCTATAATAATGATGATCCCAACTGCAGAAGCAGCAGCAGCATCCGGCTCATCTGAATTATGGTCTGGGCCGTATGAATGAAGAGGATGTAATGATGATGACGGTGATGATGACGGCAGGAACCAAAACTGTCCACAGTTTGCAACGCTATTATGCACTGACTGTATACACGCCAAAAAGTTGGCCGAGGAACGAGATGCGGAGTGCAGACGATGCGCCGACCTCCGACGAGCCAATCTGAACCAGCGGGCCTGACGCTAGTCCCCGATCCCGTAACAAAAAAGAAACAACAAAAAGGAACGGTTGAGAAAAGAGAGGTTAAAAAAGAGAATCCAAGATGATTAAATAGAAGAATTGGCGCTTTTTTCCTACTTTCACCCGCTCAATTAATTACTGCTTGCTTGCTGTTGACAACTGGACGGACGTGACTGGGTTGCGGGTGTGACCTCAAACTTTGCGCGCCACACGAATTCCAATGTTACTCCGGAGTCCTGCATGTAGTGGAGGATCATCCCAACTTGCCTGGCCTGCCTAGGTTATTTGTGCGGAGTCCTGCTCCGTCAACCAGTCATGTTGCAGCGTACTATTAGCTGCATTCACTATTGACGCAGGCAAAGGTAACAAGAGGAGGGGAAAATCGAAGCCAGACAGAATGGGAATCTCGTCGCAAGTCGGTTACAGGTAGCTATTAGTCATAAGGACAAGGCAGATGGCGATTATCGGTCAGGCAGCTCGGATCTAGGAATACGCTGTACTCCGTATAGGTCACAAGATCTACGGCGCAAAATAGGGTCGATCCATCTTGGCCGACGTTGTATTAGTCTCTCTGATTGCATTGTCCTCTCACTGTCCCATGCCAAAGACAATCGATTCGCTTTTGTTTTCGAGATCTAAAAAACATAGAAACACTAATAATACATGCCAAAATCAACGTACTCAGCTTGTATTGTAGGCAGGAACATGTTGGTCAATAGTTTGAAACGAAATATACCGATCAAGAGAAAATCGCACCACGGCTCAGAAAGCAAACATTAAATAGGCTGCAGCATACAGAGTGACTCCAAAAGAAAGAAAAACATAGCAACCGAGAAAGCTGATAGTGGAATGAGAAACAGAATCTCCCATGCCATCGATCAGTACGGATCTCAAGGTGAAAAGAGAACATGTTGTGACCCGTCCTCAAATCATATGGCTGTCAAAGCCGACCAGGGCACCACAACGAGCAGAAATGCGTCGTAAGAAATTGAAATGCCTCGGTCTTCAGGTTCACTCCTCCTGATCTTCCATGGCCTCATCTTCGTCAACCTCATTGTCCACTTCCCCTTCCACACCATCCTCTACGTCCACATCATGGTCACCACCAGCCTCGGAGGAGCTGTCGCTGGCTGCATAGCCGTTGCCCCCTTCGAACGTAGACGAGTTGTCGCCTCCTTCGCCTTCCACATCACCATCGCCTTCCGCCTCGTCCAGCTCCTCGTCATCAGCTTCATCGTCATGCTCCTCATCGTTGTCTGAGGAAAGGCCTTCTGCTTCCTCCTCTTCCCCGTCACCCGCGCCACCTTCGGCGACAAAGCTCTCATCGTAGCCATTCTCTCCGTGGATGTCTGATTCAGGAACTCCAGACACTCCCTCCAACTGGGTCGCATCTTCGTCTTCTGCTTCCTCGTTGCCACTCATCTCACCGAGAAGCTCCTTGTCAATGTCATCCAGAGTCTCGTCTCCCTCAACGTCATCCGCAGGCATGGGTGATGATGGTTCGACATCAGTCTTGGTTGAAGCCGCAGCAGCGTCGGTCGCAGACGACTCAGGTTTGGTGGCACGGCTGACTTTGCTGCTCCGTCCAGACACAGTAACACCAGGTTTTTGACTGGCGTGGCGGTGGTCGCAGCGACCTTACGCTTAATGCTCCGGGCAGGTTTAACTCGTCCTGCTCGAGCTGACGGTGTGGCACGAGCTGCTCCCAGGCCGATGATAGGAGCTCCGCTCCGGTAGGCCTTTCGGCGTTCTTCCCTTGCTTTCTGCCGATCTTTCTTGGGTCCATTTGCATTCTCCCAGTCCCAACGGTCCAGTCTTCTCGCGGCCTTGCGAACAACCGACAAAAAGTAGTGTGCGGCTTCGCCAAAGTCCTCTTGTTCTTCCGGGTTCGGGATCAATCCACCCTTTCCCCAGGAGTTCTCATCATCCGTATCATAGTCGTCCGGGAGTTTCTCAAGCATACGCTTATAGCGGACCACAGGAATCTCACTTTGTCGTTGTTCACGCAGAACCCGGTAAGTCTCGTTCTTCCGTTGAGCAAGGAGATACTCGATACGCTGTCGGCGATTCTGCTCAACAGCCAGCTGATGCTGCGTGAGAGGTCGAGGACGGCGGGCTGGCGGATTCTGAGAGGGGATGGCGGGGTCTGTCACAAACTGGTTAAGGATGGGATGGCCGGATCCAGGAGGGGCCGGAGACGCAGCGTCTGGGGTCTGGTCCATTTTGGTTTTCAAGATCAAGCGTTGCTGAGCAGCGGTCCGGCTAACAGAAGAGTCTCCCTTGACCCTTTTGTAGCGTCCACGACCGGACCCCGGCGTTGCCCAGTCCTCGTCCTCGTCGAGACGTCTGCCAGATGCATGCATCGGAGTAGAAGCGGCAGAACCCCGGCCGCCCAGACTGAGCCGATCTCCACGTCCTGCTGTGGCATTAGATAGCTGTGAAGAAAGAATCGTCGGAAACAGAGCTAGCTTACCAGAAGCAAAGTCACCGGATACCATGTCGTCATCATAGCCGTAATCTGTCAAAGTAAGTAGCCGTCGTAGAAAAGGTGAGGGTGGGAGGATCCAACCTTTCTTAGAACGTTTAGTCACTCTCGGGAGAGGCTCATCTTCTTCCAGAATACCTGTATGACAGAGTCAGTGAGTCTGAATCAGAATATCAAATAGCTGCAGATTTCGGAAAGCACTAACGTTTGCGCTCCAGGCGTTTTTCCTCTCCGTATCTGATCTCCTCGGGCGTGTCTACGTTTTCCTCGTTGGCCTGCTCCTCTGTCAGACTCTCAAACGGAGGGACCTTGATGGGTAATCCTCCAGTTCCTTCGCCGTCGAGACCAGGTCCGAAGGGATTGTTCAGGGCCGCCTCGCGGGTAAAGTCGCTCTCCAGATACCACCACATCAGCCAGAGGAACGCCCTCGCGCGGCTCCTGCTGCTCAGCGTGTGGCGCATGACGAGATCAAAGAAGTCACGGGGAGGGAAAAAGTGCATCTCGGAGATCTTTGGAGCGAACTGCGCCAGAACGAAGATCAGGTGGACCGGATTGGTACGAGGCACAGGCATTTCCATGATTTTCTCGATCGTGTTTGGTTGATCGACGTCCTCCGATGCACCCTTCAGGATAGACTTCAGACGGGGCGCATCTTGAAGTTGCTTGTACGCATTGGGGTCCTGGTGCGCCTGTAAGGACGGAATCGAATGGTAGGTTCGCAGCTGGGCGCGCATCTCTGGGAAGACTAAAAGAAACCATTAAGTCAGCATTATGATTCTAGGATAGCGCTTCGTTTCTGTTAAAGTCAGCAAAGATGGGGATGAAACGTACAGTTGAGGGTCGTGTTCATCCTGCCAAAGTTGACCAACAGACAGACCATGGCCATGTTGATGGCGGCCTGCTTATCGCTCTGCAGTTTGTCCTTGAGGATCTTGCTCGTCTTACTGCTCCTCGCCATGGCATCGATGTAGATATCCGCGAAGTCGCAGCCCTTCTTCCCATCAGGGTACCGGGTGAAGACCGGAGTCTTGTCCTCGAAGACTAGCTTCAAAAACTGGTACTGGATGTCCTTGCGCCATAGGGGGATACCATCCTCCTTCTTGAGATGCTTGATCTTATTCCCGGAGTAGACTGAACCGATAGTTCCATTGGCCTGACGTCTGGTGCCGACCGTCGCGCTGACCGTGCTGTGCGTGGGCTGTTCCTCCGGGGCTTCGGAGTGAGCGAACGAGTCGTCCACCGTGGAGCTCTCTACTTCCGCCATATTGACTTCTCAGAGGACGTCCGTAAATCAACAGTTGGGAGACGGGTCCCTGGAAGTCGCTGAGGGCTTCAACCCGTCAGCCAGGATAGCAATTTGTGTGATTTGGGTGGTGAATCGGACACGAGGATAGGAGGTTCGCCGCGACAGGAAAGATCCGGCTGACACAGGTTGATATTTCTATCGTTCGAGGCGCGAAAGCAACGGAATTAGTGGACAGCTTGCTCTGATTTGACGACAAAGGCCACGATGTAGGAGTGGCGATGTAATGAAGCAGGCTGGAGAAAGTGTCCAGGACCAGATGCGAGCCTGGATTCCGAGCGAGTTCGATTCCGTCGAGCTCTGGCAGACTTTAGTGAGTTCTTTTGTTGGAAGTTGCCGCGCTCCTGGGATGCAGCTCGCCGGCCCGCCGCGTCGCTCTCCGCGAATGGGCATCGACCCCAACTACCACCTATTCACTAAATTCCTGATCGAACAGTAATATACTGGAATTCTACAACAAAATGGCATGGACAATACAGAGCACATACATACTCACTGTCAGGACAGAGTATAAATGAGTCATATTGTTCTTAATTTTTTTTGTCGTACATAAATACTTATTGATTACAACCTCGACTGCAGAGGTCTATTAGGATGTAATTACGACCTCCAGTGTCATCTCTATCGTCTCTACAGGAAAATAAAAAAGACAAAGCCGATTTTTTTTAAAGACAGTTCACGTGATTCCATTTCAGTCACAATAAATACTGAGACACAAGAAACTTTTTTAAAGAAAATTTTTTTAGAGAGCTCTCTCCTTTCGAGACTTCAAGGTCTCCCAGGCTCCCCATATGCCATGTCATCAAAGGGCCGTCTTCAGCCAAATCCTCGCGTGCCGAGATCCTGCTAACGAAATGACATGATGATGATTTCTGCGGACCAGCAAACTGAACAAAAGCGCCAGCTAAAGCAACTTGAATCCCATCCTCACACGAGTCCGAAAAAGAGAAAACAGGTCCTGAAATGAAAAATTCAGATGTTGTCCCCATGGACCCCAGTGCAGAGAATTCTTTCGATCAAAGCAGCTCAAGCTAACGCCAGATGCAATGCGATTATCCCCGTCTATTACCACCGCCGTCACCACAAAATTATTGGCCGAAGATGACCCACGATCAGTTGCCCTCCTTTTTGCGTCCGAAATGATCACGCACGGGAAGAGAAACCCATCCTAAAGCCGGAGAACACCCGTGACAGAGCCTGGAGAAGAAAGCACCATTTTCAACAAAGATGGAAAAAGACAAAAAAAAACGAAACGGTCAAATATCATGCGCGAAACAAAGCATACACAAAGGAAATAACGAATAAGAGATATCCCGCCCTTAGATACCGAGACTCATGAGATCTATTTTAGGAGGCACGGTCGATGAAATAGATGATGGCACCGAGCATGAGGTCCTTCTGCGAAAGAAAAGAAAAAGAAGAGAATCGCCAGCACCGATGCCCGTGCATCGTGGAATCGCTGCCTCCTGCATCGAAGCCCGAAAAAGTAAGGGTATCCGATAAAAGCGGTGGTAAGAACAGCAACGCTATCTATGATATCCATGCAATGCCGATGAGTGCGCTCAAGACCATAAAGCGTTTTCTGCACTCCATGAGCTCGTGAGAGACATCGGGATGCATCGCATGCACATTTCTAGGTGAAAGCAAACAGAACAGAATAATAAGAGACGACGGCAATTCCACGAAATTAAAAGAAGAAGAAGAAGAAGAAGAAGAAGAAAAACAAAGGCAACGCATCCGTGTCGAAGACTTTTTGAGGAAAATTCGTTGCAGTCATGACAAAGCCGCCCCCGAAACGGAAAATTCAGGAGAACTCGATCTGATCGTACCCGCCGAGAAAGAGACAAGATGAATCATAGGAGACAACCAGACCCAATGGCCTCATCTACAGACGACAAGCAATTTACCACCAGGAGGATGGACCGGTGGGACCGGATGGGTTGCCGTAGCCGCCGCCATAGTTACCGTAAGAGGGAGGACCGCCATAGTTGCCTGAAAAGGAAGACAAAGGTCAGTAAGGGTGATACACAAACTGCTCCAAGGTCACGGGAAACTTACCACCATAGCCACCGCCGTAGCCGCCGCCGTAGCCACCGCCATACGAAGGAGGACCACCACCCATGTTACCCATGCGGCGCATGTCACGAGTGTTATTGGATCCACGGCCTCGGCCACCACGACCTCCACGGCCTCCATATCCACTGCTTTCACGAGCGATGTTCTCCAAGAAAGAGGGAACCTCCTGGTGGGCTTCCTTCAGGAGATCAATCAGGTCACGAACGACACCACGGTTCCCACGGTTGAAGAAAGCAGTGGCCATACCGGTGTTACCAGCACGACCGGTACGACCGATGCGGTGGACATAGTCGTCGATGTCGGTGGGTAGATCGTAGTTCACAACGTGCGTGACGTTGGGAATATCAAGACCACGAGCCGCAACAGCAGTAGCCACCAAAATGGGGCAACGTCCGTTACGGAAGTACTCTAGAGCACGCTCACGCTCACGCTGGGTACGATCACCGTGGATCGCAGTGGCGGGGAAATGCTGGTTGATGAGGAAATCGCAGAGGGAATCCGCCATACGCTTGGTCTCGACGAAAATGAGAGTGAGACCAGAGGTTCCGTGGGTGTGGAGAATGTCCAGCAGCACGGAGCGCTTGTCGTGGTCCTCCACATACTCAATTCGCTGGGTGATGTTCTCGGAGGTCGAGCCGACACGACCAACAGACAGGAAGACGTAATCCTTCAAGAAGTCGCGAGCCAGCATCTGAATGTCGCGAGGGAAGGTAGCCGAGAACATCAGGGTTTGACGGTTGTTCACCGAGGGCATATCCTCACCCTCGACAATCCGGCGAATCTGAGGTTCGAAACCCATGTCCAACATGCGATCTGCCTCATCCAGGACGAGGTATTTGATGTTCACCAGCGAGATACGACCACGCTCAATCAGGTCGACAAGACGGCCGGGAGTGGCCACAAGCAAGTCACACCCACGTTCGATCTGGCGGAGCTGGGAGCCGATGTCCGCACCACCATAGACCACACAGGGACGGACCCAGGAGCGATAGGCGAACTTGCGTGCTTCCTCATAAATCTGAGAGACCAGCTCACGGGTCGGAGCAAGGATCAAAGAGGTGGGATAGGCCTTGCGCTGACGACCGTAGAAGTTTCCGCCAGGGGGAACTGGGGCCGGCGAAGGGCCGTTCTGGAAAGCCTGCGAAAGGATAGGGAACAGGAAACCTCCGGTCTTTCCGGAACCAGTCTGAGCACAGGCCATCAAGTCGCGGCCGTTCATGACAATCGGAATGGAGTACTTCTGAACGGGGGTGGGGGTCTTGTAGTTGGCGAGCTTGATGTTGGACAGGAGGTGGTCATCCAGGGGCGGGTTGGTGAACGCATTCACGGGCTCGGGAACATTGTGACCAGACGCCTCGACGGGAATATCGTCGTAGTTGGCGAAGTTGATTCCAGTATGCTGCTTTGAAGGGTCATTGGGAGCGCCGAACAGCTCGCGTTCCAACCGGGGGTTGGGAGGTCCTGGGATGTGTTTACCATCGCGCCACTGTCCATCACCGGATCCCCGGGCGGAGTAGTTACCGCCATAGGAGCCTCCGTGACTGGAACCATGACCTGGGTTACCGTAAGCATTTGGATCGAAAGGCCGGGTTTCACCATCGGGAGTCCAGCTGGTTTTACCATTGCGGAAGTCGTTCCAGTTGCCACTGCGGGAAGAGCCAGAAGTCCTAGATCTGCAAAAATGTCGGTCAGATGATGATTCTGGCTTCAGGGAGAGAGGAGTTCTGGATGATGGCACATACCCAGGTCCCCAAGACCCTGCACCCGATGTAGGACCCGAAGGCGGGGGGGCAGCACCGTCCATGGACATGGAGGAGTTCATGTTATTACGCTGCCGGAGGTGTGGCGGGATGTAGGCAGCACGCCCCGACGAGGTCAGGTTGGAGGAGGTGGTGGTGGGAGTGGAGTTAGAGTTGGAGTTGGAGTTGGAATTGGAATTGGGAGCATGCTGCGAGTCGTTGAGCGACAGGTTTCCAATTTTCAAGCTATCAGCCATGATGACGAATTATTTTCGCTCTCGAAGGACAGCTTTTCTGTTGAGAGTGAGGAGAACAAGGCTTAGTGTCTGGATCGCGAAAGAGGCAAGATGCGGCGCGCCGAGACGTCCCAGGAACGTTCGGTCAGAATTTTCGATAAGGCGAAGGTAAGGACGGAACAAGGACAAGTCGTCTCACTTTTTGATCGTCAGAAGTTCGTAAGGAACGCCCAACGAAGGTCTGTACAGGACGAATTAAAAGAGAGCGACAAGAAGGTCGGAGAAGCGGCTCGTTCTGTCTCACACTCTCTGTACCGGGTGGCGATCGGAAACACAGAAAGACCTCCAGAGAGAAACGATGCAGAACAAAATCTCTCCCAGGTCTAAACTCTATGCCTAATAGAAAGGAAAGGAAAAGAAAATTAAGAGGTCGAAACAGAAGGGTTTTGAGAGGGGAGTAAGAGTGGTGGAGGAAAAAAGGGTTTTCACAAGGGTTTGTGGGATAGGAAGAGGGTGAGTTAGGAGATGGCGCCAAAGCAGGAGTCGTAAAAAAATTAACTAGGTTGCTGGCGATGAGCTCGGCTGGGCCTGTTTGGCTGCGCGCCGCCTGGTCGCCGTCTCTCCGGCGCGCGTTGGCGCCTGTCAATTTTTCTCTCTTTCTTTTTTTTTCCACTTCTCGTCCTGTTCTTTCTCTTTTCTCAATCCTGCAACTACGCGGCTCAGAAGATACTATGTTTTGAGAGATCACCTTATCTTCACACCGTCTCTTCCCCCCCTTCATTCTCAGTGTTGCCTTCTTACTATCCGCACGCACAGCCGCAGTCGTGCTGGACACCGCCCTGTGTAAATCTTGACTTTTTGTCGCCACCCACAGCAGACAACGATGTCATTTGTCCTTCTTGCACATATCCCCCAGACCAGTCCACCAACCAGAACTCCGATTACTCGGTTGTTTTACTGTGCAGAGCAAGAGACAGGAGAGCGTCCGGCAGCTCGGGTCAGCTAGTCAAATAATTGTCAAGTTGTTCTCCACAAGACGTAGGACCAAGCCATAGCCAAAGACTGTACAGACCGTGCTTTTTGTCTTATCCGAGACAGTCGACACTCACAGACCCCTTGCTGTCACCCTGGTCGGCCCAGAGTCTGGACCATTCTTATCGCGTGATTCATATCACTTCTCTCACCTCATTTTATTCCCTGATATGAATTACCACCTCCACAGCATGAAGCGGCAGGAGAAATCCAAAGAAGTGAAGATATATATCACGTGGTCATATGCGCTTCGCCACACTTAATGTGCCAAGTGTGAGGACTTGATCGTGATTTTGCAAATGTTTTGATAATAGTCGCCAAAAATGATATTTTCTATAGTAGAGCTTACAGATATATCCTATACAAGGCCTTTGGCCATGGCGTTCTCATCTTTACCGATTGTTCTTCTCCTGAAACGGGCGACCAGATACATGACGATGAACACAACAGCAATCAGCCAGGCTAAAGTCGAAATGGACTTAGTGCCATTGTTGCCTCCACGATGGAGCTGCTGGGATGCTGCGGGTGCGTCCAGCCAGTCAACGCCATCGGCTGGCTCAGCGTTGCCGTAAAGGTCTTGTGTAGAAGCAGACAATCAGCAATTCCAGATGAGCAATGAGGAGACCTTGACGTAGGGCTAAAGCTCCGCGTGGCTACCTTCAGCAGGGGGATCCAACTCGCCACTCTTGACAATCTTGACCTCCTCAATAGGCCGGTCATTGGGGCCGGTTTTCGTATTCTCGATCTTCTCAACAACGTCGTAGCCCTCCAGGACTTCGCCAAAGACAACATGACGACCATCAAGCCAGCTAGTGAGAGAGTCAGGATCTTACATTCTCAACGCAAAAACTCAAATCAAGGATTAAGGAACAAAAAGAAATCGCATACCTTGTCACGGCGGTGGTGATGAAGAACTGGGATCCATTGGTGTCCTTTCCGGCGTTTGCCATGCCTATATCGTTTAGCTTATCGGATTTCCGCAGACGAGACTAGGGGAGAACCTACTGAGAAGACCCTTCCTGCTGTGACGAATCTTGAAGTTCTCATCCGGAAACTTGTTGCCATAGATCGACTTGCCACCAGTACCTGAGAGATAGGCAGTTAGCATCTCAGAGTCGACGGCCAGGTATCGAGGGAATCACAGACCATCGCCCTTGGTGAAATCACCACCCTGAATCATGAAGTCCTTAATGACACGGTGGAAGATAGAGCCTTCATAGCCATAGCCTTTCTCTCCCGTAGCGAGAGCTCTGTTCCCAATCAAGGTCAATGGACATCCCAGGCAGAGATAATAAGGAATTCTAAGTATACTATGTGCATAGCTTACCGGAAATTCTCCGCAGTCTGGAGAGAGAACAAGAATCAGTATCTCGGAATATCCTTAGCAATTAAGACTTTGGGCGTGTTTACCTTTGGGACGGTCTTGCCGTACAAGCCCAGAACAATTCTACCCAGCGGCTTTCCTCCCTGCTCAATATCGAAATAAACCTGCAGTTCGAGAGAGAAAAGAGGCAATTCGTTAGTAAATAAGAACAATTGCTAGCCATGACGCGTTTCTGAGGAGCACGAGTGGATTTACCCTATTCGTGATCTTTGGTCCTCGGGGCGCCTTCTGCTCGGCTTGCGCCAGGACCGCAAACCCGAGCGTCACAATGAGAAAGAAGGAAAAAAGGAGGCTCTTGACCCTCATTTTTCCCGAACAATGCCACCGCTTCTGTCTCTCAAAGCAACAATGGGAATATGGCGTGTCACGTTCTTGGGAAATGAGAAGAAGTAGAGGGGAACGGAAGCTCCCTAACTCCAGGTGAGGCCAGCTTGCAAACCCAGTGCGGAGAAACCAAAAGAGGCTGGAACGGCTCTGAAACCAGGAATGAGATCGCAGATGTCAGTAACGACTGCTGATTGGCTGAATGTGCTAACTACCTGCACGTACCTCAGGAACGGACTCGGGAGAATGTTGTTGCGGGTCCATTTCGCAGTTTCTTCCCGCACTCCGCCGACGGAGGACAATACAGATAAGACGTCTGGTGGGTGAACAGACAAGTTAGCTGTACGCAATCCTGAAATTTTCTCTGGGCAGACACAATGGTAAGTGTACTAAGTCGTTCTGGGCCAATTGTATGTTTCTTGGTGATGGATAGACAGACTAATTGACTATAATCCTTTAGGTCTTCATCTTAGGAGTTAACTTCCCTGAGCGGAACCTCGTCAAGGCAAGCAGCCATTCTACGGTCTATTATTTCCCGTGTGCTACTTCTGAATGAATTGGTGGAAATGAATGGGAAGACAAGGGGATTTGACGTGGCAAATCTAACATTTTTCGTTGATATACAGAAGTCCCTCGAGTCTTTCTTCGGCGTTGGTCCCAGCGTCTCCGCCCGTCTCATGGCGCGCTTTCACATCCATGACACCTGCAAAGTCGGGGAACTGGCTAATCAGCAAGTCCTCGACCTTACCGCAGCTCTTTCTGAGATGAAGATCGAGAACGATCTCCGCCGAGAAGTCCTCAACAACATCAAGCGGCTTAAGGATATCGGAACATACCGTGGACGGAGACACGCCTTGGGATTGCCTGTGCGGGGACAGAATACAAGGAGCCAGGTGAGTGAAAAGAACATGCAGAACTGGGTTATTTCCATTATTATTCAGATGGACCACTAACATGAGTGCCCTTTCACCCTGCAGATCAAAACGGCGATCAAACTCAACCGGATCGACAGAAGGCTGTGAGACTATGCATGTTATTATTAAGAGAACTGTCCCTTTTCTTTTGTGGGTGCTTGCATCCTGGTCTTTTTTTGGAGAGCATGGTATGGCGTTTTTCATCTGTACGAATTGATTTAAATGGGCTCTTATGTATATTAAGATACCAGAAGGAACATCTTGAGTGAAATATGTGGCCTATTAAGCCTCCTGAGTCCTGGTAAATTTTCTCATCTTCAGTCATAAATCACAAGCCGTTAAAATACATACAATCACAAAAATAGAAAGCCTCTATAAGTAGCATGTACACTTTTCAGCCTCTCTATAAACGCCATCCATCTCTCTTTTTTTTCCCTTCTAATGCTCTTTTTCTTTTTTGTCTTATCTCTTGGTAGCCTCTGTCGTGGATAGCACGCCTTCTCCACGGTTGATTTGTATTCTTTTATCTTCGCCCGCACTGACAATGCCCACAGTGCGGTCCCAGCAAACGCCAAATACCTTGACTCCTTCTCCGCCTACTCGTTTCATTCCCTCTTTGCCTTCCTCCTCTAAGCTCTTTCGTGGGATCGTGTAGATACTCTCACCGACAACTCCGTCTTTCTCGGTTTTGGTGGATCTCACGTCCCAGATTCGGCATGTACCATCATGACTACCACTGATCAATCCGTAAGAACTTTGCGGGTCACGCGCAAGAGTCACAACCGCGTTGGTGTGACCACGCAGAGTCATCGCGGAGACTGTCGTGGCGGATGCACGAGGGTCAATGAGTGTGATATGCCTAGCAGACGTTCCTGCCGCTAGGAGGTGCAATTCGGGCAGATGTTCGAGGGACAGGAGGGAATGGGAGGTAGTACGTGTGTCGACCAGAGCAGAGGTGACAAGATCCCATGTGCGGAGTGTGTGATCCCATGATGTCGAGTACCCGACTGTCGAGTCCTTGGCGTCGAAGATTGCAGCCGAGACAGGTCCGGTATGGGACGACATCAATGCAAGCGGACCACGCTGCGGAGTGCTTACGGAGGAATTCAATTTCCGTCGCTTAGAGCCTCTTGCAGCGCTGGAAGGCAGGAGTTCTGCGGGGGCAGCTGGAGCGTCAGACTTTTTCGTCGACCAGAACCCGACGGTATGATCTGATGAAGCTGAGAGGATGCGGCTGGATGGCGCATGCACTGCGAGTGAGTTCACGCCTGATTTATGTCCATAAAGCTCGAGCTGGGGGGTAATCTGTCCAGAAAACCCATCTTCGTCTTCAGAATACTTCCACAAGCGCACCGTTCGGTCGAGGCCCGCTGAAGCAAACTGAGTGGGAGATATGATTTTCGACGCCTTGATAGAAGCGGTATGGCCTCCATCAGCTGCAGAGGGCGACACAGCGATAGTCTGAGAAGACATATTCCACACCCTTAACAAGCCGTCGTAGCTCCCCGATAGAATTTTCTCTCGCCCCGCTGGAACAGACTCTGCAGATGCCGCCCTCGAGGTCGCCGACAGCACATCCACCGAGCTCACCCAGTCATCGTGCAAGAAGGAAGCAACATGCAAAGGCGGAATAAGCGCTCGAACATACTCAACCTCGAGTGTCGTTTCGGCTGAGATGCCATTTGCGGTCAGATACTCGTCGATCGAGGTTCGCAAATAGGTCCCATTGATCAGGAATTCGAGCGGAATCGGCTTTTCGTTGCCAAGCAGATTATTCACCAATGTAGAAAGGGCATATCTGCGCAGGCCTGATTTCACAATCAAGAATTAGCATAGAGTTCTCCCTATAAGCTTGAAGACGTGGGAGCGCTAATTCACCGGTGGGAACAAGTATGGGCCCTGTATTGTCAGGAAGGGCAATGTCATTATCTCTTGTTGTGAGGTGCAGGCGCACCTGTCTCTGGGCGCCCTGGGACGATGAACTGGCTTCTACGTTCATCGTGACTGAGTATCAAACTCGCAAGTCCTTTGTCGCTCTCGAAGATGCTTTGCGGCCCCAGAAATGGAAGTTATCAGCGGGTGGAAAAAAATACGGTGACCGCTGCGGCCACTTGCGCAAAAACCGGAGAAGCTTGCCATGTGAGGCTCCAACATTGTAATGCTACCTCAGGACACGCCTTGGACGCCCAACACCCGGGAATAGCGAAAACCACGCAAATATTAGGTTTCTATCGTAGTATCTAACTCAATGACAAATACCAACACCAAATAATAAAATATGTTTCCTTTCTACTCTATATAAGGCTTTATGAGATTATTTATTCTATGTTTGCTACAGCTTGGTTTGAGCTAGACAGAATAATACCAACTGCTGAACCACTGCCACGCTTTCTTTCTACTAACGAAGGCTTCTCATCCTCTTCTCGACACCAAGAATGGCATTGCTGTCCATCTTCGCAACATTCTTAGGCACAGTCCTTGCTGTAGGCCATTGCTCTAACTAGACACCATGCGAGGAGGCTGACCACAAGCAGTACCTTTTCACGCAGGTGGTCTACAACCTCTATTTCCACCCGCTTGCGCGCTTTCCTGGTCCTCCGGTATTGTGCGCTTTGCGGTTGCCATTTCTGAAGACGATGCTCAGCGGCAAACTGCCGTATGCTGTCAAGGCTTACCATGACCAGTATGGGTCTGTCGTCCGCGTCGCACCAGACGAGCTTTCGTTTAATGACTCTGCTGCTTGGCGGGACATCTATCTCAAGCAGACCCTTGATCGGCCTCCCCAGTGGGGTGCCAAACCGCCGGGAATTGAGGCGGAAAATTTCATCAGTGCTCCGGCCGCGGTTCACTCGCGCCTGCGACGAGCCTTCAACCCAGCCTTCTCTGAGAAGGCCGTCCGTGGATACGAGCCAACGGTCACGCAGTTTGTCGACAGGCTGATAACCCGACTGAGATCATTTGCCGCAGAGAACGAAAGTGGCGAGACAACAGTCGACGTGATCAAATGGCTCAACTTTGCCTTTTTCGATATCATCATGGAGCTCGGCTGGGGCAGCAACTTTAACTGCCTCGAGCGCGCCCAGTACAATCTCTGGCTCGCCTTTGTCATGTCGCTAAAGGAGAAGCTGATCGCTACCGCCATCGCCTACTACCCCTCCATCAACGTTCTCATGCCATATCTGATGCCGCCCGCCGCCAAGAAGCAGATCGATGAGGTCTTTGGCGTCTGCAGCGAAAGGGTCAGGGATCGTTTGTTAAGGAAAGGAACCAGTCGTCAAGACATGTTCGAATCGGTGCTAAACGACCCCGAACACAAGAATGTTACCATCGCCGAAATGGATCAAGCCTCGATGGTCATTATCGCCGCCGGTAGCGAGACGCTGACGTCCACTCTTGTTGGCACGCTAAATTACCTGCTGCGCAGCCCAAGCAAATATGACAGGCTCGTGCAGGAGGTGCGTTCCTCCTTCGCCAGCGAGGCCGACATCACAGGCCAAACGACACGCTCTTTGCCATACTTGAACGCTGTGCTCAAGGAAGGATTGCGCATCGCACCACCCATCCCCGACGGTCTGCGCCGTCAAGTGCCCGCAGACGGTCTCGTTGTTGCTGGTGTGCCTGTTCCAGAGAAGATGTCCGTATCCACTGGATGCTGGATTCAGTTCATGAACCCGGAAAACTTTTCCAATCCCACCGAATTCGTGCCCGAGCGATGGCTCGGTGAGGGCACAGAGACCGCAAAAACAGAGGCGTTCCACCCGTTTGGCCTCGGTGCGCGGGGCTGTCTCGGCCAGACGCTGGCGTGGCTCGAGATGCGGTTGACGCTCGCGAAGCTGCTGTGGAACTTTGACATCAGCGTGCCGCCAGGGAAGAGCTTGCCCGCATGGGTCGAACAGGACATTTTCTGGTTCTGGGACAAGAAGCCGCTGGAACTGTCACTGCGGCCGCGCCAGAAGACCTGAATGTATCGAGGTTGAGAAGGGATTGGTGACGATTCGGCGTCATTCAATGACAAAAGAGGCCGGCCAACGGAGAGAGGACACGTTCGAGATTCAAGTTTTACTAAAACAGTGACTAGTTCGTTGATGACCTGTCCCCATAATGTGTGCGAAGCTTTCCATCCTTCTTATATACCTCCGCGTCTTGGAATCTACAAACGTTTCCGCTTCGCCACGCGCGGACATTGCAGCATCCTTGACTAGTAGGCAGGACAGGTCAAACACGACCGGTTCGGCGTCCCTTCGGGATTGTTCTGTGCTTTGTTGACAGCCATCGAGGTATGCTCTCTAGCAGCTGTAGAGAAGAGAGCACGAATGTGTTGACATTAATGAATTTTTGATTTCGTTCTGCTCATTGAATAATATGCGTATTACATACACTCATGCATTATCTCGCCCGCGATGTTCTTCGAATCTCCGCAATCGCTCTCCGCCGATGATCCGACTCAGCAAAGAGAGCCCCAATCAACTCGATGACCTCCTCGGCAGAGAATTCAAACGACAACTCGCCCTCCGTCCAGAGGAATTTGATATCGGCAAGCGAGCTCTCTAGTATGTTGATCAGATACTGGAATTTCAACCAATTCCGAACGTAGACGGCAGCCATGGAGACTGGCTCCTTGTCGCCTGCGGTCTCAGGCATAAAGAGGTCTTCCAGCTTTGACAGCTTATTGCAGAAAGATACCAGTCGCTGTGATTCTGCTTCTGAAATGTCTGAAAGGTCTTCAATATCGATGATAACTTTGTTGATGACCGTCGATAGAAGGGAGCCAATTGCCTGGAGAAGAGCTGAACGCGAGAGAATGGATTGCCACTCCTTGTAGACGTCTCGAATTCGGTCCACCGTGGCATCAATGGCGTTTTCACATTCCCCAAGGTAAGGTTGCTCGGAGCAGTGGGCGAACCCTTGGCTGCCGTCGAGCAGGTCAATCACTATCGTGCGCTGTGTCTGCATTTCTTTGCTGTAGCAGAGCTTCCCAAACCGCTCGAGACCCTCTATGTCGGGAGTGAGTCTCGAGAGTTGATGCTCATCCACAAGCTTGCGGATCTGCTCAGCCAGGTACATGCTATCATTGTATAAATAAATTTGCCCGGCGTTCAGTTTCAAGGTGTAGAAAGATAGTGCCGTAGCTTTAAACATGGCAAGGATCAAAGTCGGCAGTGCAAGAAGCCCAGCTCCTGAAGAAGAAACCCGACTGTTTGCAAATCTATGGCAAAACGTCAGTTTGGAGGCAGACTCCTGATTCAGTGTTCGAACTTACTCTGGGGTTGATAGAGCCTCCGAATCGGAAACCTGGCGCCGAATCAGGGCAAGTATGGAATCCGGAATATCCGTCACAGTGTAGTACTCTGTTAACGTGATTTCCTTGGGAGACGAAGATTGCTTCGCCTCTTGACCGTTTTGATGTTTCGGGGCAGTAGCATCCGCTTTTTGTCCTTCTTCAGGAATTTGGTCTTCTTCATCATCACCCCAACCCCAAGCATCTCCGGCATCGTCATCCTCAGCAGACTCCGCTGCAGGAGGCCCATTATCGGCTTTTATATCTTCATCCTCAAGACCCCATGCACTAACATCTGCCTCGTCATCTACTTCCTTCGTAGGAGCTGGGCCTTTCGACTCCTCTTCGTTGCCCCAGCCGGCGTCCCAATCTTCACTTGTCCCTCCTTCCAGCAAGACTTCATCCTTACTAGAGACCATTTCTTTCTCGACCCTCTCGACCTTCCTGGTCGCGCCTTTGCTCCCAGCCAGAACCTTACGAACTTGGTCTAATGCGTCGACTCGACGTCTAGTTAGCCAAAGACGGGGGACTTGATTCACCCAGGAAACAAGTGCTTCTTGTCCGTGCCACCCAAATCCTTCGACCGTCTGGCAAAATTCCATCACCCGACCCAATGTCTTCTCGAACGCGTCCAGACCATGAAGATCAACAGGTATAGCTGGTGACAGCCACGAATCAATCAGCTTCGAAGAAACGACTGGCACGATTTCTTCTGAAAGCGGCTTAGAAATGGAAACAGGTAGACGTTGGTGGAGATAACCCAGCACTGTGTCGACCCTATCGATGATTGCGGACACCGGTGTGGGTGATGTTGACCTTTCAATTCGAATGCCAAACTCTCCAACTGATATGTCATTGGTCTCACCATGGACAGGAGAATGTAAGATAGGATATATTATAGACGTCAGCATGTCTTTTTGGAACGATTTGTTCACAGCGTCAAGCACATTAAGCCGGGACAACGACTCAATTGTTTGTTCCAACGACGTGTCTAGTAATACTATTAGCTAAATCCCATTGACAAATGCTTGCGCCTTACCTGTACGATCCTTGATATACAGCTCGCCCTTTTCCTTGTCGATCCGCACTTCAGAAGCCCACTGAATGCGAAGAAATTCGATAATGGAATTTCGGAGCGCGGAAATATTCTCCGATAGGATGCTTGTTAAATTGCCATTTGTGGAGAACTTGACCGTCTCTATAGTCTTCTCTGAATGTTCAAGAGACTCTATAGCGTCGGCAATCCGCCCTTCTTCAACTGCCTTGTGCCCAGCATCGAGTCGGCGACGAAATTCTTGAATTTGTTCCAGAGTCTCCGTTACCGCCTCATTGAAAGCAATCTCTGTCTGTAATAGATGGACCTTTGTGGAAGCGTCTTCAACCTTCAACTGAAGCGGTTTGGTATTCTCATGTTGCACAACAATCTCACGCGCAGTCTCCCTTGACCGTTCAATGTCCGCATGTAACTGTCTAGCCTGCGAAATCCACCCGTCAACGTCGGAGGCAGTCTGTTCGCTTAGGGAGCTTATTTCTTTCTTTCACATACAGCTTGTTAGTGATGATTGTCTCACTAGGGGAAGCTGTGCTCTTACCTCTGCTTGCTCTCGAGCTTTCGATATACGGAGCAATGCCTCAGGGAGGGCCGACGCAGGGAATTCGGAGGCAACAACATCCTCGGAGTCTGGATACGTACCATTTGTTACAAAATCTAGCACGGACTCACACAGCTGATCCTCCGACACCATTGCGGGCATGTCTGAAGACACACAAACTCTCTGCGCGTGGTGATTGCACACATGCGAGAATCAGTCAGGAGCGTCTGGTTTCTTGGAGTCAATATGCCCGGTAATAGAGACTCTGGTATGATGATGAATGTAACCAAATTGCCCGCCAAAATCAAAACAGGCCCAATGATTGGAGAAATCTCTAAATGGGCCCTGGTCCGGTCTGGAGAGCTGTCAAGAGCTGTTTAAATACAGATTTCCTGGTTAGTTTCTCCGATGCGCGCCCCAGACCATGTGACTTGGCGTCACTGCACCGATAGGCCAATTATCGGGCGATCTGCTGGCAGACATGCCACAAACGAATGCAAAATTACAGACAAGAAAGCACCATCCTGGTCAATTAGCCTCTAGATGTACATGGGGCTCTCCATTTTCCACAGGGAGAAATTTTGAGTTTCCTTATGTTTTGTCCAGCAATTTATTATATGCAACGTGCCTGAGAAATTTACGCTGATCGGCGTTGCAGTGGCACGGAGCCTAGGCAAGCCTTAACTGTGAAATAAATTCGATGAGCTGAGAGTTCAGCACACGCGACTACCACCGCAGCTTGCAGTTGCCCAGGCTCCTGCAACCTCGTCAGCAAGCTGTATCGGCATTTACTGAAATCCTTCCGCCCGGAAATAGCTGGCCTATATAGGTAAGTTTCTAGAACCCCTGTCTTTAAAATCATTGCTGTATCAAAATTGTTACCCCTCACCTACGTCAATCACAGCGGGTCTGTGCTTCATGGTCTTGAATGCAGAAGCATTATCAGGATGCAATACACGCAAAGTTGTATCTTTCAATGTCTTTTCTCCCTTTGTTCGTCATGTTAGCCAGTTTGTTTGCGAATAGATTTGCATTGTCTACATCTATTCTAATGTATGAGCAAGTTTGACCCCGCAAGTCCCCAGCACTCTTTAACTGGCAAAAAAAAATTCCTGGTCTGTGAGCCCTAGACTTTGCTTGCTATAATGGTGTGTCATTGTCAGTTCTGACCTGTAACTGACCAAAAGGTCAGGTACCTGACTCCGCGGCTGGGCTCGATCTCTGCTTTCCGAGAACACGCCAGTCTATCCGGGATACACTGGGACAAAATGGCGTCTTTGGAGCGCAACAAGAGCCACTTTCGGCTGCTCCAAAGATTCAAACCTGACTACTCTGTTAACCAGTTCACTCAATATGAATCAGAGAGAACGGGTATGAGAGTTGTAGTCATTGACCAGAAAGGGCCTAAGGTTTCCGGTTATTTCGTGCTTGCAACAGAAATTCATGATGACTCTGGAGCTCCACATACGCTAGAGCACCTATGCTTCATGGGATCGAGGAACTACCGTTATAAGGGGTTTCTTGATAAGCTCGCTACTAGATCCTATTCAAACACGAATGCCTGGACAGCTACCGACCATACAGCATACACTCTCGATACGGCCGGGTGGGAAGGGTTCTCTCAGATCTTACCAGTGTATCTCGAGCATGTTATCGCTCCAACGCTCACTGACTCTGGCTGCTACACTGAGGTACACCACATCGACGGCACCGGGCACGATGCCGGCGTTGTGTACTCGGAAATGCAAGGTGTTCAGAATACTCCTTCTGAACTGATCGACTTACGAGCTCGGCGTTTGCTTTACCCGGAAGGTGTAGGTTTCCGATACGAGACGGGTGGAATGATGGAACAGCTCCGTGTTCTTACCGCTGAGAGAATCCGCGACTTCCATCGGGAGATGTATCAGCCCAAGAACTTATGTTTGATCATTACTGGTGAAGTGGATCATGATAATTTGTTGGAAACCTTGGACAAATTCGAATCCACCATTCTCGATGTGATTCCAAGCCCCGACGCTCCTTTCAAACGGCCTTGGGTAGAATCTCGCCAGGCTCCAGCGCTGGAGAAGTCCGTCGTAGAAACTGTGGAGTTCCCTGAAGAGGATGAGTCCTTTGGCGAGATTGAAATCAGATTTCTGGGACCGTCTTGCACGGATCCAGTACAAGGTGAGTCTGCACGACCTAACGAGTCGCAAGCGCTGCTGACAACGGAGTAGGCGGTGCCCTCAATGTTGTGCTGCTCTATCTTGCTGGTTCTTCGGCCACTATTCTCGAGAATGTGTTGGTCGAAAAAGAGCAAGTCGCGAGCGCTGTTTACTTTTCTACTGAAGATCGCCCTAGAATTGAGATTCGGTTCACGTTGACCAGTGTGGAAACAGAAAAGCTTTCGCAGGTTGAGAGGAGATTCTTTGAAGTTCTGCGTGAAGCTATGGAGAAACCGCTAGATATGAAATATCTACGTGAGTGCATTCAGCGCCAAAAGCGAAGCTGGAAATTTTCCACAGAGAGCTCTGCCGTCCCCTTTGCAGAATACGTTATCTCTGATTTCCTGTTCGGTAAGAGAGATGGTTCGACATTGCTTGACGTTGCAAGCCTGAAGGAGTACGATGAGCTCGAAAAATGGAGTGAGACGCAGTGGAAAGACTTCATTAAGAAATGGATCTCTGATGCCCACCATGTGTCCATACTCGGTGTCCCATCCGCCAAGCTCGCGGAGAAGCTCAAGTCGGATGAAGAGGCACGGGTCGCAGCACAGCGAGAAAAGTTTGGAGAGGAGGGACTGAAAAAGTTGGCCGAAAAGCTTGAAAAGGCCAAAGCCGAAAACGACAAGGAGATCCCAAGGGAAATGCTTGCCAAGTTCAAGGTGCCAGGGACAGAATCAATCCATTTTGTTGAACCAACGACGGCAAGGTCCGGTGCTGCTCTGAAAGCGGGACGGCCGGATCATAAGCTACAGAAACTTGTGGATGCAGATGGATCGGATGCACCTCTATTCATTCATTTCGAGCATATCGCCAGCAACTTCGCACAAATTTCTCTCCTCATTTCTGCTCAGGAGGTCCCGGTCCAACTTCGGCCCTTGTTGGTCGTATACACCGAGGCTTTCTTCAATCTTCCCATCCAGCGTAATGGCCAGACAATTGCTTTTGAGCAAGTTGTCGTTGAGTTGGAACGCGACACTGTTGGATATTCAATGGAGGGTGCACGAAGCCTGGGCAACTCGGAGATGCTGCGCATCACGCTCCAGGTTGAAGTGGAAAAGTATGGCACTGCAGTTGCCTGGCTAAAGGAGCTCGCATGGAATTCCATCTTTGACGTGGAGAGGCTCAAAGCTATCACGACCAGGCTTCTAGCAGATGTTCCTGATTCAAAACGCAGTGGTGATGACATGCTCGCCGCTGTGTACGTCATGGTACACTATGCTCCTGAATCTATTGTCCGGGCCCGGAGCACACTGGTCAAGGGACGGTACTTGAAACGGATTAAGCGACTTCTCGAAACCCAGCCGGAACTAGTGGTGTCGCGCATGGAAGAAATTCGGAAATCGCTCTTCCGGTTCGAGAATTTTCGTGTTCTTGTCATTGCCGATCTGGAGAAGCTCGATCGGCCTGTGTCCTCATGGCAGCCTTTTGTCGCTGTCCTGGATACTAATGTTCCACTTCAGCCTATTACCAACCGACAAGCCGTGCTCAGTGATGCTGGAAAGAATCTGGGCAAGTTGTCGTATGTGGTTCCGATGCCGACGATCGACTCATCGTTTGCTTACGCTACGGCCACGGGTCTTGACTCCTACGATCACCCCAAGTTACCCGCATTGCTCGTTGCAATCGCTTATATGAATGCCGTGGAGGGTCCCCTCTGGGTTGCTGTTCGCGGAACTGGCCTGGCATACGGTACTAACTTTGCTTATAACATTGATCTTGGCACCGTTAACTACGACGTCTATCGCTCTCCGAACGCCCACAAAGCATTTGAGGCAAGCAAGAAAATTGTTGAAGACCACCTTTCGGGCGCTGTTCCCTTCGATCCATTGATGCTTGAGGGCGCCATTAGCAGTATCGTGGTCAGCTTTGCAAATGAGCAGGCGACCATCACCAATGCCGCACAAGGCAGTTTCATTCGCCAGGTGGTGCGAAATCTACCGACCGATTACAAGGAAAGAACACTGAAGAAAGTGAGGGAGATCAGCGTTGACGAGGTCAAAGAGGCCTTGCGGGATATCATTATGCCTCTCTTTGACCCTGACAGATCGAACCTCGTGGTGACTTGCGCACCCGTTCTCGAGGAGGTGAGAGAATTTCCCATCATTACTCCAGTCAAACGCCACTATCTGAATGTTGACCGCCATTACAGACAATAAAGAAGGGCTTGGAAGATTCGGGATTCAAACCTGAAGTACAGCCACTGAAGCACTTCGAGGATGACTACGGGTTGAAAGTAGGCGATGAGGACGAGGAAGAAGAATCCGAGGAGGATGAAGATTACGAGCTTGTCGAAGATGATGGTTCTGATGTTGACGACAGTGATGATGAATGAATGAATTCATGAATGAGTGGGGAGGCAGACGGATTGATATTTCAGCATTGTCGGCAGCATAGAACTAGAGGGCTCTGGAAGGGGTTCCATTGAAGGTTGGTAACTCAGGCCGCCTACCTCTGGCGCTATGATGATAGACCAGCATGATATTATGAATAACTGTGGAGTCGTATTACAATAATAGAAGTAGTAGGCACTGTAAATAATGGTATGTAATGTGCTGTACATACTGTAGTCCATGGGCAAATGATACTATATACCTACATAGGCAAGTTTGCACTGTTTGTTCATAGATTACCGCCCTGAGTAAGATCCAGGAACTTGACACGGGTCACTTGAACAAGCAACAACTTCACGAGGCATCCGGTTGCTTCAACATTCTGCAGCCATGAGTATCCTCCAGGTTCGCCAGTCCTTTGTTTATGTTTCTCCATTGCACGTGAATGATAAAGTAAAGTCTAACCGTTAGGTCACAGTACCTGGAGCGTCTCCTCGACCGCCCGCTCTTCCCATGGAAGAGCGTGCTTGTGGGCTTTTCTCTCGGCCAATTTATCCTGGAGGGGTTTCTATCTCTCCGTCAGTACCGTGTCTTGGAGCGCACAAAGCCCCCGAAGGTGCTGGAGGGTGAGGTCTCGCAGAAGGTCTTTGATGAGAGTCAGGTACTCATCCCCCTCTTGCGCATCCTTCCTGAAAAAGCTATTATTTCTTTGCATTGAGCTGCCCAAGAGACGGTTACAATACTAATTCTACATGGTACATATCAGGCTTATGGACGGGCGAAAGCCAAATTTGGGTTTGTCTCCGGTCTCTATAGCCAGGTCCAGAACCTGATCTTCATCTATTATGACTTTTTGCCTAAGACCTGGGGGATTACTGGTGTCTGGTTAGCTCGATACTTCCCATCCTGGTTTCAAGGTGAAATTGGGCATACTCTGGTCTTCTTTTTCGTCTTCAACCTCGTCACGACGGTCCTTTCGTTGCCGGTCTCTTATTACAACACGTTCGTCCTCGAGGAAAAATTCGGCTTCAACAAGCAGACCGTCAAGCTTTGGGTAACGGACATTCTGAAGAGTCAGGCGCTGGGAGTTGTGATCGGTGGCCCTATCCTGGCTGCGACTCTCAAGATCATCCAGAAGACGGGTCACAGCTTCTTCTATTACCTCTGGCTCTTCAGTGTCTTCGTCCAGATCTTTGCTATCACTATCTACCCGATCGCGATCTTGCCTTTGTTCAATAAGCTGTCCCCTCTTGAGCCTGGCCCAATCAAAACCGGTGTTGAGGAGCTCGCAAAGAAGCTCAAGTTCCCCTTGCATGAGCTCTACGTCATCGATGGCAGCAAGAGGAGCGCTCACAGCAATGCGTACTTCTATGGTCTGCCGTGGAAGAAGCACATTGTTATCTATGATACGCTCCTCCAGGGAAGTGAACCGGAAGAGGTGGTTGCTGTCTTGAGCCATGAATTGGGTCACTGGAGCCTCAGTCACACTACCAAGCTATTCGGTATTGCACAGGTATGAAACTGCTTTCTATTCCAGGGATATCAAAAGACTGAATACTGAGTTTGATTTAGTTCCACATGTTCTACATCTTCGCTCTGTTCACCGCGTTTGTCCGCAACAAGTCACTATACGAGGCATTTGGATTTCATGATGAATATCCCATCATGATCGGATTTCTCCTGTTCTCCGATGCCCTGGCGCCAATGGACGCTATCGTCAAGCTCTTGATGAACATTCTCAGCCGTAAATTCGAATTCCAAGCAGGTAGGTTTATTGGCAGTTGAATGATTCAGAATCAGTTGCTGATGCGCATTCACCAGATGCCTTTGCTGCGAAGCTCGGGTATTCCAAGGAACTGGCCAGGTCGCTCCTCAAACTTCAGATCCAGAACTTGAGCACCATGGACGCGGATTGGATGTATGCAAGCTACCACTATTCTCACCCGATCCTGCCGGAGCGGCTCGGCGCGCTGGGCTGGAAGGGAAAGGAAGCCGACAAGGCTTTGGATCGCGATGAGCCTGTCAAGGCGGCGGACAGGGAGCTGTGACCCTGATTTGTTTTTTCCCTTGTAGTTTAGACATTAGCTATATTTCTTGACACGGAAAAGGGTATGGGGTATGTGGGGATCTCGTGGATGTATGGGCATGATAGAATGATTTAGTGAAAATTCAGCGCAAAGGTGTTTTCTTACCAACTCCAAAACTCCAGAACATGGCATCTTGTCTGTAAGCTGTACTTGAAGCGGGCGTGAATTAAGAATGGGAAATATTTGAATCCATCACTCGCTAGCCTCAGCGGCCTCATCAGCGTCAGTCCCTTTCTTCGCCTTGGCCCTCTTCTCCGCCTGCCGACGTTCCTTCTTCTTGCGCTTGCGCTCTTCCTTGTCAATCTTCTTCTTCTTCACTGGCATACCATCCTCATCGACCTGCATCTCTTCACCGGGGTGGGCGAAGTCTCCAGCGGTCTCATCCTGCTGCTGCTGCTGCTGCTCCCCGTTCGTCAACTCCCACTTCTGTCGATCCTCCCAGTCGCCACCAGCAGCAGTGGCATCACCGTCTGCACCTTGCTGGTTTTGTTCCTGTTGCGGCTGTGCACCAGTTGGCAGGGTCAAGTCGCGACCCAGCACCTCACCGGCGAGTCCGGCCTGGACACGCTTCAGATTGTGCAGGATGAGATTGGGCGCGCTGGCAGTGGTGCGCGAGACGGGACCATGCTCCGAGATGATCGCATTGGGCTGCAGAGCCGGGTCGGTCGCAGCGCGGTCGAGGTAAGCAGCGAGGAAGTCGTGAGCGGCGGATTGGGAGATGGGTTTGGAGGAGAGGACGGTCGTGGGTGGAAGCGGGTTTGGGCCGGAGGTCGCCATTGATTATTGTCCTTTTTTTCGATATGTATTTAACTTTTGATTATTGGTATGTATCTCCGTCGTCGTCTTAAATTCCAGTTATCGATGAATGAAATGAAGCGGTGCAAGAGGAAATGTCCGGGGATAGTCGTATTCAAAAGACAGTGAAAAAATTGACAAAAATAGCTCGTTGCAATATATTCAAAATTTTTCTCGAAAAAAAAATACTCTAAAAGTGCTGGAGAAATAAGTTAAGTTCAGAGGACAGACAGTTCAGAATATCTTTTAGAAACTTTTTTTTCGGCGGCGTTGATACTTCCGCCCGCACGTCTCCGTCCTCCGTCCTCCGTTCCGCAACTGTCCTGCGCGGTGCCGCTCTCAGAAGGTTAATCAATTTTCTGCCGGATACTACTCCGTACTACGCAGTGATCGGACCAACCACTACTACTTGATCCCGCTCATTCCAATTGATTCATCCTCCTCGAGTAATTATTGTCTCAGTGGTTTTGGAGTTTTTTTTGACGACTATTTGTTGCTCGCGGCCCATCCGCCAGGTGATCTCCGGAGAATAACTATGCTGGCCCTCCGGTGCTGGAGGGCAGCTGTGCCCTCCACATTCAATGCTGCTGCAGCTCCGTCACGGGTGACTGTGTTGTCACAGCTGCAATCACAGTTCCTGAGGTATGTATATATTGAATTTTGTATCATGTATGCTGGATTCATGATAATCATGAAGATGAATGCTAATCACGAATATTCGAACACCAGGCCATCTACATCACTTACATCTTCCCTGTCATCCACGCCACGAACATTCTCCTCTCTCATCACTTCCTCTTTTTCTCGCCCGTCGACGATGACTTCATCTACATCCCTCCTCCGTCCATTCTCCCCAGTTGCGACTCCGACACAGGCCCTTGCCCAAACACGCTCCTTCTCCGCATCGACTTCCCTCGCCGCCAAACGTGATACTTACAACCCCTCGCGGAGAGTCCAGAAGCGCCGCCACGGTTTCCTTGCGCGACTACGCAGTCGTGGTGGACGGAAGATTCTCATGCGGCGTCGGGCGAAGGGCCGGAAGTGGTTGAGTTGGTGAAACAGAAATAAATATTATCAAAAAGAAACGGACGGATGAAGAAGTTCAACTGCCCGGAAAGGAGAACCATTCCAGTCTCGTCGATGTCATCCATTATAGGCTTCAAAAGAAGGGATACGTGGGGTGTGAAACCCCAGCTTGAGAAGGGCGTTTTTTTTTTCGTTTTCTTTCTTTCTGTTATCTGTACTTTTAAAGGCTTGACTGAGAGAACCTATGGATTGGTTGATTGACCCCCTTGTTCTTTCGAACGGTGCAATCTCTCTGAAAGAGAAAGAGCAAATGATACTGAGGGACAAAAGAAAAGAGACTTGGTGAACACAAACACAAACACCAATATATGTGGCATATGTGGGCAATTACTAGCTATGGAAGAAAATAGCCTGTATGTACAATAAACATTGACATTGACATTTGCATTTTCAGAGCAATATGAGCTCATATACTGACGGAGAATATGGGATTGTACTGTACTGCAACTCTTTCAATAACAACATCCTTTACTAAGGGACGGCTTATCAATTCGCTTTAATTCGATTTTTTTGCGCTACTCTACTCTCACCTGTACTGTACTGTACTAAGGACATGAAAAGTTTCAAACTACCTAAGCAAACTTTTTTTGGTTGTCATTGTCATTCGTCGTCATCGCCTCTGGATCCCCGTGGCTTCTCACGTATGTTTCAGACGGGGAAGCAAAATAAACAAGGAAAAAGAAAAACAGAAGAGAGAAAAGGAAAAAGGAAATGTATGCTTCTACGTGCCCATGCAAGTAACAACAACATCAGCAGTAACAAGCAACAAACCCCCCGAACATTTTAAATTATGCCCAGCACAGAGTCAAGCAGAGTCATATGTCAAAATACGGAAGGGGAAAGGAATGCGTGACAGTAACACAATGGCACGACTCATACCAGCCCTGCAATGTCCTTTCTTGCTTTGCTTTTTTACACCTGCAGGGTTGTGTGGACATAACCCTATTCCCGTCCTTGACTCGTCCCGTCTTATCTTGTCTCCTTGGCTTTTCTTCTAGTTTGACGGGGATATCCTGGCCAGACGGGTGCTCTGGGCGAGGAACTCGCAGCGTGACGACGGTCAAGCCATCATTGGTTCGACCTTCAGTCCATGATAGGCTCCAAGGTGTTTCCACTGCAATGACACTTAGCACTAAAAACCCTAAAATCATTCAGATTGTTTAAAAGGGATACTTACGCAACAATCGTCGCCCAACCGATCAAACGCCAGTGCTTCTCGATTCGTCGACTGATAGCAATCTTCTCTCCAATCTCCGTGCAGGCAGGTTGCGTCAGAGCCAGCTTCGCCGCATCCGCCTTGACACCCATGACCTTGGCACCCGTCGCCGTCGATCCGATGTTGACCATCAGCACCTCGTTCTTCGACAGCTTGGCGACCTTGGCCTGCTTGCCGTCGGCCGACTTGACACCCAGCAGACGACGCAGCAAGAAATAGTTAACCTCCAGTTCCGTGTAAATAGCCGGCAGCTTCCCTCGCAATCCCAGGACGAAACCGACCAGACGGTCAGCACGGCACAGCGTAGGATCGACACGAGTTCCGACACCGATCAAACCACCGGGAACAGCGAACTTCAGGTCATTGTGCTCAGCAAAGAGGGAGACAACCCTGGAGAAGATGGGACGGCACTGGATCTTGCCATTCTCATCCTTGGTCACGAGACCGGGCCGAATCTCGATCTCATCGTTCAGCTTCAGCACACCGGTCAGGATCGAACCACCAGCGACACCACCCTTGAGCTCTTCAATTTCAGCACCAGGCTTGTTTACGTCGAAGGATCGAATGACGATCATGTGTGGAGCAGCGGTGAAGTCGCGGACTGGAACGGGAATGTGAGTGACCAGGTATTCGTTGACGGCGTCAATGTTGTACTTCAGCTGCGCGGAGATGGGGATGATGGGAGAGCCATCCGCCACAGTACCACGAATGAACTTCAGGATCGACTGGTAGTGCTGCAGAGCGCCCTCTTCCCGCATCAGGTCGACCTTGTTCTGGAGAATGATGATATGGCTCAGTTTCATGATTTCGATGGCAGCCAAGTGCTCCGACGTCTGTGGCTGCGGGCATGATTCGTTTCCAGCAATCAGCAGGAGTGCTGCATCCATGACGGCAGCACCCGACAACATGGTGCTCATGAGAATGTCGTGTCCGGGGCAGTCGACGAACCTGTCCCAGTTCTGATTAGCATGCTGCTCTTTCTTCGAGGTGGCCTTTTCTTTCTTTGTATAGAGGGGGCACTCACGAGACGTGTCTCAATAGCCGATAGCGTCCCCCACAGCCTTCTCTCTCGCATGGCGGATCAATTTCCTTTCGCTCTTGTAACTCTTGTAGCACGTCGGTCGAGGACACGCGGGGTTGTCGCACTTGTAGATCTTCGCGTTGGCGTAACCCAACTTGATGGTAATGTTTCGCTCCAGTTCGTTCTTGAAGCGGACAGTCTGCACCTCGGAGATGGCCTTGACCACCGTCGACTTTCCGTGAGCGACATGGCCAATGGTTCCGATGTTAATAGTGGCCTGGCGGGCAATAATCTCAGGCGACAGCGGCGTCAAAGTCGAAAAATCGATCGTGTCGGGATCTGGTTGAGGGGGCAGCTCTGGCCGCTTGGGCTGGGGAGGAGGTGGTGCGGATTCCTTCTTCGCCTTGGCAGGCTTTTCTTCTTCCTGCTCAAGGGGTTCCTGTTCCTCGACGTCCTCGTGCTCGTGCTCGTGCCCGTTGGCGTCCATGAGGGGTGAGCCGGGCTGGGACTCTTCATCCGAAAAGTCGCCGTTGGTAGCCATGGTGGAGGAGGACGTTTTCAGCTGCTGCTGTTCTTGACCGGTGGGAGGCAAATGCGCAGAGAACAGGTGTCTCGCCGTGGACGTTGAAAATTGCTCCTCTCAACTGGAGACTGCTGGATGGATATGACAAAATCGTTCTGATTCGGCCGGTGGGGTCCTGATTTGTGCAGTGGAGTTGATTGCGGGCGGGCGGCGAATGAACAAACTCCTTTTCCTGGCAGCAGAGCAGGCAAGAAAAAATCGCTGAATATCGTAGTCACTGTAGTAGAAGAAAAATCTATCTTGGATTTTTTCTTTTTTGTCCTTGGAGTGATAGCTGATGCAACGCTGTTTGCCAGAGAACAAATATGGGTTGGAGAAAATTTTTGTGGGCAGTATGTCATTGCCAATTTGAGTCACGCATCTGAAGAGTCATTACCACCCATGATCTGAAGGATGATTGCTTTCATTATTACACAGCAAAAGGAATTGCCATTGATACGGCTCCTACTAATGACTACTGAATGTGCATCTAATTATTTTGAATATAGCCTCTCCACAATGACTTTTCTCTACACTTTGCCAAAACTCCTAATGACGGGGTATACTAGGAAATACATAATCCACAATGACTGTACGCACAATATACGCAATCACTCCTCGTCACTCTCCTCACTGCTGGACTCGTCATCATCGTCATGATCTTCTTCGCCACTTCCAGATTCGAATTCTGACTCTCCAATTGCAGAAGGATCTTCTGGCTTTTGCATCACGAATGCAACCATGCAGGTAATGCGATTCCCAGTTTCATACGTGCTGAGCAGCTTCCCAACCTGACGTGGCTGGGAGGCACCTATAGCGTCACCGTTTGGCGGCTCAGACTTCGGTTTCTCGAATTCTCCTCTCTTCAAAAGCCATACACGGACGGCACCATCACTGCCGCATGTAACAAGGAGGAAGTGATCCTTCCAGGCTGCTAAGTCGGCGAGACTCAGGATCTCAAAATCCTTGACTCGTCCGGACAGACCGCATGCCTTACCACCCAACTGCGCCCGGATTTGTGCGTCCGGTATGGGTGAATCAGAATCCTCAGAATCCGAGGGCTTCGTCTCTTTGGTGGAGTAGAAGATGATCCTGCCATCTTCTGTGGAGGCAGCAAGCAGTTCATCCGCACCGTCATCCCCCTGGCTGAAATTGAAATATTTTATGCGATGGAGTTTGCTCATCGGAGACGGCAAGAGTTTGCATTTGGGAATCGAATCCTGCAACAATAATTGTTTAGTCTCAAAGAAATTCATCAACCAGATGTTTTCAGGGAGCGAAAGGTCACCTACCACTCCGAATACCACAGCGCCCCATTCAAAGGCAACAGCAAACTCTTCTCCCCGAGAGTCCCAAATGATCTTGCGGCCCTCCCCGGTGCCACGTTTTCCTTCCTTGACGCTCTGCAGGATATCCTTGCTAAAATTCAACACTCCTGCTTTCTTGCCCGTGACTAAGTTCCACAGCCTCATACATTTCTCCCCCGGCTCACACTGAGCATAAGTTTCATGCTAGGGTGAATCGCAAAATCGTTGATGCCTGATGGAGAGCCGCCCGGGGGAGCGGTATCCCCGCTGGGCCGTCCTTGCGCCTTAGGACGGGGGGCTTTGATGCTAGACACAACAGTCCAGTCCCGCGTTCTGGTGACAGAGATTGTGTTGTCCTCAGCTCCTGCCAATAACTTGGAGCGCGTGGGGAAATAGAGGGCAGTGATAGTGGAAGAGTGGTGCAGCAATGAACCCAGCTCGCGGTTTTTGGGGTTCTCCAGAATTTTGCTTCCAGCCAGCGTCGGGACGGACGGGAATCGGTCATTGACTACCGGAGGGGACGCGGAGAGAGTGTAAAGATTGATGCGCTCATCGGTGCCGCCGCTGGCTAGAATCAACTTTTGAGGCTGTGAGGAGTCTGCATTGGTGAGCGGTGACAGCGCGAGAGACCGAATTGCAGATGCATGGGCCTGGAAAAGGAATGTGTCTGCAAAGTGGACGGAAGGAGACGCAGTATCTTCTACATCCTTTTCGTCCGTCGCAGGGGAGGATGTTACGAGACTCGCTGTAAAACCATGCAGGACTCGCTCGTAGGAACCGGTGACAATCTGGACCGTCACCGAAGCGGGATCATTGCTGGACAGTGAAGGATCGGGGGTTGCTGTGGCCTTGACAGCCTTACGAGGTTGTTCACTTGCAGTCTGGCCGTCCGCAGCGGCGTCTTCTCTCTTGCGCTTGACCATGACAACGCAATGAGAGCTCGTGATGAACGTGGTCAGACAATGGCTCTCCTGCAGTGCATATCTGCAACTTTTTTTTTTCTGCTGATAGTCGATGTGCCGACGGTGACCGCCGGATCTAGCAGAAACAGAAAGTCCGAAACCAAAGTCACATGTGGTATGCTCACGTGACATGCCACCGCATCCATTCTTTCGGCCTCAGGCTCCGGGAATTATTCGGTGACTCACCAGTTGGCCAACCTCTTTGCAGGCGCCGTTGCAACAGCCGTTCACTGCCTAAGGCAAACCTGCGCCCGCCTTCCATCCCTTGTTGAAACTTGCTGATTCTTGCCTTTGCCTGGCACTCCCCAAACCACCGCTAACACTTGCCTGTCCTCACATCCCGTCGAATCCAGTAACCGCCCGCCCCCCAGCACAGCCAGGTGAAATCTTCGCGTCTCCCCCTTCGCCATCCAAAAACTCACCCAACCCCACCCTTTTCATCACTTTGGAGCGATTTTTTCGGGCTGAATGATATCGCTCTTTTCATTGCCCTCTTTTTCCACGCGTTAATCGGATGCTGTGTGGTCGAGATAGACTCGATGCTCCGCGACGAGCTGCTCCGGTCTAAGAACGATGAGATCGCGTAAGTAGAAATTTTTTTCGAGCGACTCGTTTGATCTGTCGCATCGAGAAATGCTAATTTCTTGCTTATCGTGAATTTTAGACGTTGTTTGCTGTCGCGAAAGCGAAAACTGAGCGAGCTCTATTATGCGACCGTCGGCTACGCGGGCGCGACCGAAGGCGCTCCTGCGGACTCTAACTACCAGCAAAAAGAACAGGCCTTCCTCGACGCCAACGATCTCTCCAAGTATGTCCCATCTATCCATTTCTCTCCTCTACTATCAAAGTATCATACGTAATATTTTTTGTAAAATTTTAATTGCTAATGGGCTCGATATAGAGGTCGGTATTTTAATGAAGCTACCCTACCACCATTTCCCGACTATGCGACCATCATTGCGCGCCGGCAGGAGCCTCCTCGCGCTCCAGAAACCGCAGAGCCTGCTGCAGAGTCTAGGCTTGAGAAACAAGATGCGATTTCTGCAGCTCCTTCGCCGCAAGTAGAGCTCGGCCCGTCGACGGATGTTCAGAACTCCAAACTTCATGTGGTGGAAACTCGAACTCAAGCTACAGAAAGCCAGACGAGTACGGCGTCTACACAAACGAATATAGAGGAATTCGAGTCTGCCAGCGTTTCTCAGCGTCCTGTACCTGAGAGCGAAGAACCCTCCGCAAAATCGATCTCCACTGTGTCTCCCAGCTCGGCGCATGTATCCCATACTGCTGCACCTGAGACGCCAGTGAGCACCCAAGATCAAGTCGCACCGGAGCCTTCTCTCTCCCCTGGTCAGCCCCGAAGAAGTCCCAAAGACCAGGATTGTGATGCGTTGGGCCGCGCAGGAGCGCCTACGTTGCAGGCGCCTGACGTCTCGGCTGCGCAGAGGAAGCGGGACCAACCACCGTCGCTGGCTCTTGGGGCTGTTGCGCAGCCAGATCAACCTCTGTCGCCAGCGTCGTCCGTTGAACCCTATTCCAACAATACTCCAGCTCCCGCAACGGCTTCTCCGGACACAAGTCCGGGCGAGGTAGAGGATTCGGAGGATCAGATAGTCAAGCCATCGAAGCCTACGTACCAGCCAGAGACTTCTGTTCCAGAGCCACGGCCAACTTTGGTACCGTCCACCCCAGATGAGCAGCTCAAGCTCGAGGAGGCACAGTCGCTCCAACAAAGCCAACAGAGAATCTTGGCTGCAAGCAAAACAATCGGAGATCGCTCCCAGCCTGGGAACAACCCTTTGTCAAATCAAGTGATCAAGGAAGATGTAGTACCATCAGCCCCATTGGCGACACCATCTGTGGACCAGATGGACGTCTCTAAAGACGAGTCGCCCTTGCCATTGGAGAAGACTGTAAATGCTGCCCAGCCCTCCATGGAAACAAGCGCGGCTGGACCGGGTCTCTCTGAGAATGCCCAGACAACTGCAGTGGCGGAAAAATCTATTCAACAGGCTCCTCCAGCGGCTTCAGTGTCGAGTGTCAAGAAACCTTCACCTGTTACGCCAGTACCAACCACACAGCCTCCGCCAGAAAGGATGACAACGAGGGTTTCTTCTGGTGCCATACGCCACAAGTCTGTTTCAGAAATCCTTGGGGAGACCCCTAAGCCCTCGGCTACGCAAGTAGACAAGGCCTCTGCAGCTGCGGCCGTCAACGAGACTCTGCCGTCTGAGAAAGGCTCTCCTGACCCAGCAGCGCGAATCAAGCAGAGGAAAGAGCGGGAAAAGGAGCGCACCAAGCTTTCGACTGTCGTCTTTCCCAAGCAACAGGCAGAAAGAAATGAATCCCTGGATCTGGTGCGGCAAAATGCGGGCGACTTGACGGCTGGGTTGAACGAAGAGCAGGACTATCTGTTCACGCTCTTCCAGAACAAGGCGTATTCGCCCCCTCGTAGTATGCACCTCAGTACCCTTCTTGCATCTGCCCACAAGACCTTGACTACCTCAAATCACCTTCTCGACTACCAAGAGCAAATGGATTGCCGCACCCTGCGACGCATCTATTCGCTTCAGAATGCCAACCGGTGGCCACTACGCCAGATGAAGCGGTCTGTGGAACCCTCACGGCAATGGACCCATTGGGATATTCTTCTGGATCATATGAAATGGATGCGGACAGATTTCCGGGAGGAGCGAAAGTGGAAGATCGCGGCCGCAAAGAGCTGCGCTGATTGGTGTGCCGAGTATGTCAATAGTGATGCAGAACAACGAGCCCAACTTCGCGTTCCTGCACGCATACCTCCGCCGAAACCAAAGGTCGTGGAAACCCAGGAGGCCGATACCGTTCCACCGTCTCAGGAGGACCCATTAGATGAAATGGTCACTGTTTCCCATCCGACACCAGACCTTGTTCCTTCAGCTGAAGAAGACTCCGTCAGCGAAGGGTTTGCCGAAGAGCCCCGGCCTGATCTACGAGATACGATTGCTCCGGCGGCCATCTTCTCACTGGGATCGGACGAGTTTACGTTCTCCATGGACATGACTCCCGCCGCCGAAAAGCTACTTGACGAACTCCCCATCTACACTCCCGTCAAGATATCTCCGGACACGAATACGCCGATGTTCAAATACCAGCCGGACGCGGATTGGAAGACGGAAATCCTCCCTGTTTCAAAATATGCGACTGGTCGCATTCGTTTCCGCGATGATCAGCCCGTCAGGAAACGTAGCAGGTATGACTACGAACAGTACAGGAATGAGTTGGAGACGGAAAAGGTGGATCTTCCCCCAGAGCAGACGAACGTGGCCCTTTTCCGCCCCGAAAACAAGCACATTCGGGATCGCATTCATCCTGGCCACTCTTTCCGCCCCCCACGGAACATCCGATGCCCTCAGTAGGGTTCTTCGAGTCCAGGCAATCCTCACAATGGACAATTGCAGAAGATGACGAACTCCGCCGTCTGGTCAAGGAATACTCCTACAACTGGTCTCTCATATCTAGCTGTCTTTCATCTCCGTCGTTGTTCTCATCAGGAGCCGAACGAAGAACTCCGTGGGAGTGTTTTGAGCGGTGGATCGGGTTGGAGGGGCTCCCGGCTGATATGTCGAAGACTCAATATTTCCGAGCTTATCACCAGAGACTGGAAACGGCCCAGCGCAATGTGCTTGCTCAACAGCAGCAGCAACAACAACAGCAACAGCAGCAGCAGCAGCAACAGCAACCACAGCAGCAACAGCAGCAACAGCAACAGCAACAACAGCAACAGGGCAATAATGCGCAGGCTCAGCAACCTGTTCGGAGAAGGACAACCCAACCGATCCGCGTCGACCGTCGGCGTTCTTCTCGACATCTTGCTCTTCTGGATGCCATGCGTAAATTGGCAAAGAAGCGTGAGACTATGCTACAGAAGCAGCAGCAAGGTAAGAATCTATATGATGCATGTCTCTGCATTTCGCGACACTAACGGTTTGATAGCCACACACCTTGCCTCCCTTCGGAAGGTCAACGAGGCGAATCAGCCGAAGCCTCCGATCTCGTCTCCGGCCGACTTCAGCAAGCTGAAGCATGAACGGGAGGTGAAACTCCAGGAAAGGCAGGAACAGTACCGGCAGCAGATGATTGCACAGCAACGAGTAAGTATTGAAGTTCCGGCTTCAGAGTTGTAAGAATGGACTGCTGATATTATCCCCTCCATAGGCAAATCTAGCTGCTCAACGTGCCGGACAATTGTCGAACCAGCAACCCGTAATGAACGGCGTTCCTGGTCGCACTCCCAACGGGATGCCATCTAATGGCACGCCTCAGGCAATGCCTGGACCTGTGCCGAATGGCATGCCCAATGGGATGCCTCCTGGAGTAGGTGTGAATCAAGGTCGACCTCATCCCATGCAGGGAATGCCGAATGGTGGTCCTGTCAATAGCCCTATGCCGCCTAATGCAATGGCCATGAAGATGATGCCTCAGCCGGGAATGCAACAGCCGATGGGCGCGCGACCTGGGATGCCTATGCAGGCATCTCCTGACAATGCTCGGGTAATTCGAGAGGCTAACAGGCTCCAAGAACAACAACGAATTTTGCAGTCCCGCCAACAGCAGCAACAGCAACAGCAGCAACAGGCTCAACAGGCTCAACAGGCTCAACAGCAGCAGCAACAGCAGCAACAACAGCAGCAGCCGACACAGCAACAGCAGCAATTTCACAACCAGCAGCAGTTCGGCCAGCAGGCATCTCACTCGCCCAATGTCAATGTGTCCGGCGTGAGTAGCAATCCGAACAACCCAGCAATGATTGCTGCAATTCAGGCTGCAGGTGGGATGCCAAGTCCTTCTTTCCACAATGCTGCCGGCCAGGGAGTCTCGTCTGCTTCTCCTCGCATGGGTCAGCCCAACCACCTGTCTAGTGGCGTTGTTCCAACGATTAGCAGCATCCAGAACCAAATCCAACGGAACAATCCAAACATGCCCCCTGAACAGGTCAACAAGCTGGCCACCGAGCGTCTGCACCAGTTCCAGCAACAGCAGCAGCGTATGTCCCAGGTCGCCATGAATGCTGCGGCAGGCAACATTGGTGCTGTGCAGTCTAACTTCCAGATCCCGCATGACGGCAACTTCCAGGCTAACTCACAGCCGGGCATGCCTAACGGGGGACCGGCGATGCAGAACCCTCAAGCGCAAGGCTATTCTCCTATGATGCGTGTTCCTCAGCCCAATCAGCAGAACCGTGTCCCTGTTGGCAATTCCCCCTCTATGAATGGTAACGCGCTGCCGCCGCAACAGAGCCGGAGCGCTACTCCCCAGACACAGCGAAGTAATAGTGTCCAGGCGGGTCCCGTTCCTGGTACCAGCAAAAGTCCCCATCCTCCTCCAGCCCAGATGGCGAGCAACTAAGGCCTCTTCGTTTCAACCTTGAGAGGTTTTGGTGCATTTTCTTGGATGCGACTGTACATATTGTCCTAACTCTTCCTCTGCCTGTTTGACTTTTTTTTCGTGCTGCTCTGTTCCATGACTCATGCTACGTCTGACGTTTTCTATTGCTACCTGTACTCTTCCTAATCTTCTTCTTCCCCTTCTTCCCGCCATTTTCTGTCCTTGTTTTATACTTCTTTCTCGCTATCCTGAATGTGGTGCGGTAGGGGCACATCTGATGTATACCCCACCTTTTTGGGTTGGCGTTGTGGTTCTCGGTCTGGCCTTCCTATTAGACGAAGGAAATGACGTGGGACTTGTGAGTGGTTTTTGTATTAGTAGTATCAAAAAGGCAGTCGACCCTGATCGCGGTATGGGTTCGTGGTTATTTTGCGGTTCATGAATGGAATGGCTTATGGGCCAATACTCCTGATAGTGCCTATCATGAGATCTGTGGCTCCTTTCCCCATAATTTTGAGATGGTATTTCGTAGAATATCAGCATGACTGTGTTGATGGCCATCGTTTTAGTGTTGATCGGAGGCAGTCATCTCACTTCTGGAATCTGTTTGATATCGAGCTCATAATCATCTTGTGTAAAGGTCTTCAAGGACGAAAATTTAAAGCAATCACCATACAAAAGGAACGAACAACTGTTTACTGCAAGTATGTTGCGAATTTCTTGATGTACCCGAGCCGGGCGCCAACTGGCATACTTGAAGTTAACCTAACTTTAATTTTCCTGAAGGTCGCCACTTCCGCAATCCAGCCTGCAACTCTCCGCAAGCTCATGCAGGCAGAGACACGCACGCCCTCTTTTCTTTAAATAAAAGACAGGAAAAGTCCGAACACCCCTCTCTACAAGTGCCACTGGTTTTCATAATCTCAAACCAATGGAATATTAAGTGAGATTCAGCGCTTGTGTCATTTGAGCCTCGAAACACGAGAATCGTTGTTCACCATGTCCTCCCCATTACGGCAAGAAGAAACAGCAGATGGCCAGGACAAACCCAAGCCGTTCTCTGTGTCCTTGTCATCTTCGTCGACGAATGGCGCCAAGAAGACGTCATTTAATCTGCAATCGTCATCATGCTCCTCGAACAGCACGCCCGGGTTACCCCGCCGTCCTCACGACCTTCACGATCATGACGAGTCAGACGAAGATGAACACGCCCCCGAGTTCGAAGCCGTGACAGGATTTGACACCAGCGCTGGCGGCGCCATCCGTGCGGATGGAGGAGCCGCGAACGGCGCGAAGCGGGAGTTGGTGATCAAGGTGGAGAGCAAGAATAACTGGCGGGATCGTCCCGGGGTCAACATCCGCAGGCCGAAAGGCAAGAATCTGCTTCCAAAGGAGGTGCAGGCTCTGCAGCAGGCAGAGCGGGAAGGACAGGCAGTTGGAACCATGGAGACTGAAGGACCGAGTATGACGTATGGACTCGTCTACGCGCAGCCGCGGGCGGCTGGTGCTGATGATGGCGGTGAGAAGCCTATGGAGCAGAATGCTGGCGATGTGAATATGGTGGATGCACATACTGCTGCCGACGACGAACAGACGCAGGACGAAATCGCCCTGCAGGCTCTTATTCGTGACAGCAAGGGAGACGGAGAAGGGAGGAGGTCCAATCTAGTCATCGAGTCCTCGAAAGGAGACGACGATGATGACTATGAGGTACGATATGATGAGACGAGCTCATTTCGTGCAGACGTTGCAACTCGTCCCGATCCTGCCAGCTTGGAGGCCTACGATGCAATCCCGGTTGAGGAATTTGGCGCCGCCCTGCTCCGAGGTATGGGGTGGAAGGAAGGCCAGCCGATCGGGAGGGGAAGATATGGCGACTCTACCAACACTATAAAACCTCGCATTCCTGAAAAACGGCCAGGATTTCTAGGGATAGGTGCCAAAGACCTATCGGGAGGCAAGGGGGCGGAAGCAGAGATTGGTGCATGGGGAAAGGCAGCGATACGCAAGTCCTCGAAGAAGAATGCCAGTGCTGAGGGTGGCGGGAGCACTGATGGAATCTACATGCCTGTCTTAATGAGGAGTAAGAAGACGGGCGAGTACATTACGGAGGATGAGTTCAAGGCACGCCAGAAGGAGGCCAAGAACCGACAAGAGGAGGAATGGAGGGAGCGCCGGGATCGAAACTTAGAGAAGAGTAGACGTGACCGTGATCGTGACCGTGATCGTGACCGTGATCGCGATCGCGATCGCAGGCGCGATTACTACGATGATAGCGAGGAGGATAGGGATCGCCGTGAAAGACGACGAAATGAGTCCTCTCGACGAGACAGGAGTCGTTCATCAGGAGATCGGGATCGACGGAGCCGTCGATACGAAGATGACGATGGAAGCGGACGGGATGATCGCTACTATCGCGACCGTGAACGTGAGAAAGACAGAGACAGGGATAGGGATAGAGATAGGGATCGAGACCGAGATCGAGATAGGGACAGGAAGTACAGGGATAGTCATCGTTCTCGAGATGACGACCGATACGGTTCCCGGCATTCTTCCTCGACACCCTCAAGACGGGACTGGGATCGGGATCGTGACCGTGATCGCGACCGCAGAGACCGCGACCGAGATCGAGATCGAGACCGCGACTCATATCGGAGGAGAGACGATCGATAATTGCCTGAAATCGATCGTTCAGCAATCTTTGGGAGTTGCAAGCCAGTTCCATGTTAGTGTAGTCTATGTTTTCTTTTTATGGGTCATTTATAGAGATACATCCATGAGAATGATCAGGTACCAGATTAAGATACCCAAAAAAAGGTCTCAATAGAGTTGATTTAAGTAAGCGAGTCGGTTACAAGATGATAAGCTATCGGTTTCGTGATGCTTTTCAGCTTATTGCAGGAAATCCGAGAAAGTGCCCTAGAACCCATGCGACCTATCAACGAACATTACCAATATTTCAAGAAGTGGGAAAACGATTAAGTGCGTGGTGAATATACCTCGCACCATGCGTAGATATAGTACCCACTGTACGTGTATACAGCCTGGCAGGTCTACCTAACCTGGTAAGGGACTTCATATTAGAAATCACCATCTGCCGTAAACTATTGTAGCCATCAATCTATGCTCTGAGCCATACGTACGGAGTAATGTCTTTTGACGTCGCGAAGGGCTCACACAGTAGAGAATGAAGGCCACAAGGTTTCCAACCATGGAACTTGTTCCAGGCTGTTGAATCGCAGAAGAGGAAAGCATGGATAGACTCGCGAATTGTGGTCATGTACTGTACATACAGTCTTTGCATGCCATATACAATTACTGTATTGGAGATAATACTCCAAAAAAAGTAGGTATCTAGATGCATATAATTATACATACACAAAAATCGTTTCATATCCGGTCCTTAACTCTTTTTTTTTACCCTTCCCCTTTGCTCTCTACTTACGCCTCTAACATTATAATATCCTTTTCGTGATCTGGTATGGACTTCTCTTCTACTCCATTTGCATTGAGGTCGCCATTGGACTGGTTGTTGAATCCGGGAAGAAAAGATGACGACGATGATGAGGCGCCTAGCCCCATACCACCGTCCATCTCGTCGAGAATCCACTCGATCACGTAGCTCTCATCGAAGAGCTCTTCGATCCGTCGGTAGTGTCGGTCCGTGTACGCCGCCAGCGCGTTCAGGATCTCTTTCATACCCATGTTGTCGGCCCCCTTCTTGCCACGTCTTCTCAAGATTGAAGCTGGAGGAGAGGTGGCGAGCTCGAGGAACACCGAGGCCGGGTACGACCGGAACAGAGCGTACAGAATACGTTGCGCAACCTTAGCCGTGCGCGCGTTGGTGTTCCAGTCTCGCACGCGAAGAAGCAACAGATACAGATTTTCTCGGTCGAGGGACTGCAGGACTGAGTCGACAGCAGGGCTTCCAGTCAAGCTGCTGCTATTCTTTCTCTCCGTGTCATCATCGTCACCATTGTCAGAGGCGGTTTTCTCATCTGCCTCTTCAATAGCAGCTGTGAAGAGAGAGAGGAGGCGGCCCGGGTGGTTGAGCTGCAGGGCAAGGGTAATGGCTTCACGGTATGCTCCAGCACGGATATAGTTTTGTAATTGCTGGTCTTGTTCGATCCGAGCAGAGTTTGCCGTAACGGCGGCGGAAAGTGTGGCCGAAGTAGTATCCTTCCAAAATGTCACGGTGGCGTCTGCTGCACCCGAGACGAGGGCATAAGGAGAGTCACTAGGATTGGTGCTTTGAGAAGATGAGGTGTTCGCAGCAGAGTGTGAAGACTTGATATCCGCTCGGGATCCGGACGGAGTCGGGCAAGCCAAGGCCCAGACGCGGTCAGTATGATTGTCCAGCGTAGTCTCGAGCTCGCCTGTGTAAGGTGACCATATCTTGACGAGCCCGTCAGCTGCCGCAGAGGCGACAAGAGGACGGACCGCAGCAGCATGTCGGGCTGTAATTTCATCCTTCCCTTCCTTGTCACCGCCAGTAGATAGCTGCGGAGGTGGAAGCCATATAACTTTGAGGACACTGTTGGTGTGGCCTTCGAAGGTAAGGAGACAGCTGTAGTCGGACAAACTCCAGATTTTCACCGTCTTGTCGCCCGAACCAGTCGCCACTACGCCCCGGCTCGTGCTGGTGCCCGCATTCGAGCTGATAATGGGTGTGTCTCGAGGAGCAAACCGGACAGACCACACGCCCCTTTTATGGCCCCGTAGGATGCCTATAACTGACCCATCTTCAGCTGACCAAATCTTAACAGTCCGGTCCTGGGAGGCAGAAGCAAACAGCGCAGACGTGTGATTGACGTCAAGAGAGTTAATGTCCTTATCGTGGGCCTTCCGAGTATATACTGCCTTGGGCGTATGTGGTGTAAAGGACTGAAGGTTCTTGATTTTGCCTGTGTCCCAACGCTTGATGGTCCGGTCCTGCGAGCCCGTGAGCAGAAATGCAGGGGGGTGATTCAACGGATCAGTATAAGCAGCAGAGCTCGATGGTGGAGGTGTTCGCGGCAGAGCAATTGCACCAAGGGATTCTGCATGGCCCGTAAAAACAGCAACACAAGTGTACGAGGATGATTGGGGATCTAGTCGCCAGAGGCGCGCAGTATTATCCTTTGCGCCTGTTGCGAGCCAATAGCCAGACCAGTCGACATCGAGGCAGATAATGATGTCTTCGTGGCCCTCGAGATGCGTGACGTCCGCGCCGAAATACCCATCACGTCCAGCCGCATCGCCTTGCGAGTGCGCGGATGTTCCCATAGAGACGACTCGGATACTCTCTGTGTTGTTCGCCATGGCCAACAGCGACCGATCAGGTCCCACGTAGGCCAGGTCAATAACCTCGTCATCATTTCCTGAGATGCGGCGAATAACTGGTAGTGGCGCTACAGCAGACCCAGGCTTGTAGTTTGCCAGAGGTTCTACCGAGTGCAGCCGGAGCGTCTGGTCGGCATGAACGGTCATCACAAAGGGCAAACCCGGTGTGTATTGAGTTGCAATAATGGCGTCAAGCTCTGAGCCTGCTTCCTGCTCCTCGGTCACCTCGCCTCCTCTGTTTCCATCCCAGATGCGCAGTTTGCCATTCTCACCACCTGTGAAGCAAAGAGCACTATCGGCGATGAATCCGGCCGCTTCAACACACTCCAGGACCGGAATAATCCGACGAATTTTCCACGTCCGTACGTCCCATAGAATTATGGTCTTGTCTCGACTTGCGGAGAGCAGCGCATTCTCTGCGGTCGAATAGGAAAGGCTTCGGACAACAGAAACATGAGATTCCAGTGCAGTGATAGACTTTCTCTTGTGAAGATCCCACACACGCACTTTGCCCTCCTCATCCCCGGATGCCAGTCGGAATCCAGCCGTCGAGGCAGACGATTGTGTAGGATCAAAATCCTCCATCTCCGTGTCTTCCCGCTTCCCACCTTTCCGTCGCGATTTCTTCTTCTGGTCGGCAGTCTCAGTGGTCTCATGGCTCGGCGCAGATACCTCAAAGAAACATAGTGCTGAAATGACACCTCCATGGCCGTGGAATGTGTGCGTAATGTAGCCTCCTCGGATGTCCCACACTTTGATAGACCCGTCTGCACCTCCTGTGGCCAGCAGTGTACTGGTCGAGTCTATCGCTGTGGTGACGACAGGAGATGTGTGTGGTTTCAGAGTCCTCAGAAGCTGCGCCTCAATTGTTCCTGTTTCTTCATCGAAGGGTGTCAAGGAATAAATGCGCATCGACATGGATCGCGAGCAGACAATCACGTGCGAGGCCGACGGGGTTACTGCAATAAATTTAGTCAGTTCTCTGCGGCGTCCACGCGAAGCACATAAATTACATACTCGCCAGGCTTGTCACCAGTTCTCCATCCTATTGGAAGTGAATTAGCAGGAAGCGAAAACAGTGCACTATGAAATGAGCTGAACCTACTCCTTCCAGACTGGCCAGCTGGTCGCCCGTCTTCAGGTCGAGAATGAGCGCATCTTCACCCACGCTGGTTGCCAGTAGACGGCCACTGGCATCGAGAGATGTGCTGCCTCCGGTGTAGATGGGGCGTAGTGTGCGCGACGCCTCGAAGGTTGTCTTAACGCTGACTTTCGACATTTTGAGGCGCGGAAGCCTTATTTGTTCCAATCAAGATTTCAGTTGCAAATTACGGGGTCATGATCCAGAGTTTAAACGAGAATGATGCAGAAGAGAATCACTAATTGAGTCCCAATAAGGGCAAAGACTCGGACTCTTTCCCTTCTCTTCTGTTATGTGTCTGCCACCATCGGACTTATCTCTGGTCTGACGATAATAATTCTGCGGCGGGCAACTTTTTTTCGATGGTGTTTGACGTCTTTGCTCGTTTTGTTTGATTTGTCTTATTTGCAGGGCGGCGGGACAATAAGCGGTGGCCCGTGCATCCTCATCTTGCCCAAAATGGAATGCGCGATGTCGCCGGGCATTGACGTTAGACCGATCTCCATCGTCCACCTGTTTCCATTTATCTTATCTTGCATCATCTCCTGCACCATTAAAGTATCATCTGCTGGTTAGACTGCTCGTTCATTGCGACGTCCTTCCTTGACGTTCGCGTCGTTCTTTGATGGAACTGGCATATAAGGGATGACTTCGCGACTGCTCTTTTATTGCCAACGATGGGGCGGCAAGCTTATATGAACCGGCTCGCTCTGGTATGCTCCATCCTTTCCTCTCATATTTGATCTCGACTTCTTATTACGTGAATTCATTCAAATATTTTCTGGAATTTTCCTGCAAATCTCGTTCAGTCGTTCATTGAGGGCTCCCTTGCGAATTGAAGACAATTTTCTCTGCGGCCCTATAGCTGCGCATTTTGTCTTTGATGAGTCACCTTGATGTTGTGTTGTTGCTTTTCTGGATGATGCTGATCATCATACCCATGATTTGCGATTTTCCGTTTTCCAATCTTCATTCACCCTGTGCATGATTGATTCTCCTTCAGAGACTAACGTTTTCTCAGGGCCGATCACCATATGAGCCACCTGATCTATCTAGCACGCATCCGCCGGGGACATTGCAAGGGCGGGCATCTGCTGTCAACGCAGATGGGTATATACAACAGTATGATGAACGAGGCCATCCCATCAACCCCGCTTCGAAATCCTTTGGTCGGGAGCTCCGACGGGCAAAGAACGACGTCCTGTCTACGATGGGCATCGTAGTCAGCGGCGAGGACGGCAAACTAGGAATCTCCAAGGAGCGACAGAAAGTTAACCTTCTCACTGCTGAAAATGACTATGGCCTGGTCATGGCCACATTTGATCAGGCTTTAAACTTCTTGGGCTCATGGTGGACCCTATCCTTGGGCGGTCGCATCCAGGTCAGCTCAACCCTGGTAGTAATCTCGGACAGTAGGCTAATTTTGAACCAGACTTTCAAAAGCTATACCCATGTACCGTTGGTGCGTCTCATCAGATTCGAGCGACAGGCAGTCGGATTGATGGGGTTCTATTTTGCGGGCATCCCAGCCTGGGCGTCTGCATTCTCCCTGTCAATCTGTAGGAATCATCTGCTGGAACCCCTGATGGTATTTCTGCAGAACCAGTTCCTGTACTTGTCGGACAACGACACTTACAATCGCCTTGTACGGCGCACCTTTCGGGTTCTCAACACTGCGTAAGCTCTCCTTAATGAATTTCCGTAAATTTATTGGCTGACCACATCACACAGAACACGAGCTATGCTATTTCTTTTGTTTGAACAGACCTACATGTTTTCTATCCTTCAGGCCCTTCACTTGATCTCTCCTTCTTCCGTCCCTGGACTGCGGTTCTTCCTCCCATTTAGTGAATCGTCTCTCATTCAGCTCCCTTCGCTTCCTCTAGACTTTTCTCCTCGTTCACTGGGTGAATTCGTTTTGAACCTTGCGATGGCTCCATTTTCCTTGGTTTATCTGTATGTCTGCCTTAGGCCGATAATCGAAGCCCGAATTTACCGTATTTTTCGAAGACGGCTACCAAAACCGGATCGACCTGATGAGCTTTCAATTCGGGTGGCCGCCGAGAATGATCTAATCGAGTGGACTGTACCAACGCTGGGGCGACGGTCGGAAGAAGAGGTTCGCCGCAGCAATTTCACTATGCTTGAGGAAATCAGATACGAGCTCCTGACGTTGAGAAATTGGGTGTTCTCTTGGTTTGGTTGGAAGAAGGCGACACCTTTGAATGGCGAAACGATCAATCCTTCTCGTGAGGAGAGAATCGAATCTCTTCGTCGCCGTATTGAGCAGCTGCAACATGAGTTGGGTAATACAACATCCCGTATATCCCCCTCACATACGAGACAACAACGGTCATTGTCCTTGGGCGCTCGAGGTGAACAGCTTCTCGACACCAGGGATCAAGAGCTGCGCTCGCGCTCTCCTGGTCGGACTGTATCTACACCAACGCCGGAACCAGAATCCCTCTTCAACATGGACCAGGTTCTGTCTAATGAACGTTTGACCCATTCACCTGCCGAGATCAGTCCCAATACATTGGATGGAGTACCTCCACCAGGGCGAACAGGAATCGATGGGGTATCGAGATCCGCCGCCTCGGCTTCAGATCATCCCAGACTAGTCGATCAAGATCCTCCAGATGACATTCCCCGCCATCGTCGAGACTCGCGATCGAACACTCTTTTTCTCGTCCATCCTCTCCCGAGTCCTCTCCGCCTACCTCCCCTCGTGTGCGTGCCTCTTTGGTCCATCAGAACTCGGAGGTGATCACCATGCAGCTCGAACTTCTGACAACTCACAATCCCAATCGGGACCGAAACATGGGTGCTGCTAGTGACAACGGTCGCCCAGGCCAAAATGACCGACTTTCTTCGTTCAATCGATCGGCTTCTGAGCTCCTAGATGCGATTCTGTCTAATGCGGGTCAAAGCGTTCCTGGTGCTACCCGCTCAGAGAGTGCAGCTAACAATGACGGTCTCTCAGGCCAGGCTGCGGGAGCTTCAACCGCTGCTTCAGGCATGACGGAACCTGCAAATCTGGATATGGCTGAGCAACAGGCACCGGGGGATGTGAGCAATGATAATACCGTGGTTCCTGTAGTTCCGGAAAATGCAACGGTCCTTCCTGATGGAGTAGAGGAGCCGACCCAGAGCCCAGATAACAACAATCCGGGTTCAGATTCCGAATCTGAATTTTCTGCGGACGCAGATTCTCGCCCATTGACGTCGCGTGCGCAAAGTCGACGACGCCAAAGCACAGTGCCTACACGCCCTACTCACCGAGTCACAATCCTCTCCTCGCATCTGGTCGACTCTCTTGCCTCTCACCTTGCATCACTCGTCACCAGTGTACTTTTCATCCCCCTTGAGTCGCTCTATCTCCGTTCCCTCGCCGTTTCTTACCTGTCGTCGCCCGCGTCTGCAAGCATCGCCAATCGTGCATCGTTGCTATCAGACATTCGAAGTCCCGGCGCTTGGGCTGGTGGTGGAGGAAGGCAGGATGTCCTGGCATATATGGGAAAACTAGCTCTTGTGACAGGGATGCAAGCCGCTGTGAGCATGGGTATTTTGCGAGTGGGAGCGGTGGCTGCTATTGGTTTGGGGAAGAGGGTATTTGGATGGGGTAACTTGTAGACTGACTCTTCTTTTTCAATCCCTTTGTTATATCTGACTTGATCTTGATCTCGAGGAGAGTTACTGCAGTGCGCTCTCCTTAAAATATAGGTGATATGAGTAGTACAGTACATAATAATGAAATTGATACCCTCCTCACCTGTGGATTTCCATAGCAAATTGATAGAACGATAAATAAATAAAACCAGCTATAATATAACACAATTGACATAACAAGACAAGAAGACGGAAATAATTTTTGATATATTTACAATATATACATTATCCATTATTTTTTTGTCCGTCGTATCACAATCACACTACTCCCATCCATTCATGCCGAGCCGAGTATCTGTATCCCATTATACTGTGAGGTCTTACAAGAATTGTTGCGGAATCCTTTCTCTCCTCACCCTTTTTTTATATATATTCTTATTCCATCATTCTGTTTTTTAAGCGCAAAAAAATACATCAATTACTTTAAATTCCCCTCAATAGGGGCTTTCATTTTGCAGGTGCTTTGCCACTCTTCTTCGAAGCAGGCGTCTTTCTCCGCTCCCATACCATCAAATAAGACTCTCTCGTGAAGAGAGTTTCGCTCTCTGTTGGTTGGACATACAGATCTTGAATCTGGAGCCATTCGGGCCCGCGCTGCGGCTGTTCATCTGGGCGGTGCGGTTGCTGCTGCCGTCGCGCATTCTCCGCGGCCATGGCTTTGTCGTTAAGTTGAACGAGCCATGAAACCTTCTCGCTGGCGGCACCTGCACCCGTCGCGGCAGAAGTTGTCGCCGTGGCCCCGGCGGCCGAAACGCCTTTATCCGCTGCGGTTTCCTCACCAGTACCCGGCGTGGGAGCTGACGCGTCCAAAATGATATTGGCGACGAGATCGTATATGATAGGCTCTCCTGGGGGCCAGTATTCGGGGTTGGGTTCGACATAAGGAGACATATCAAGAGCGCGGGGCGAGGGGAATGTGACGATGGTCGGGTTCCGCTCAGCGACAAACTTGTTCCTACTGAAACGCTTGATGTGGAAAAGTAGGTAAGGGGGGAGAGGATGTAAGAGTCGGTGGCGGACTCGGTGTGAACGTTTCTCAGATGCCGTGATGCCGTTATATTTGTTCAACAGGGTGGTTAGTGGGACCTGAGGAATGATGGATTCTCTATTCGCCGATTGAAACAGAGGTGTAGGAGGCAGATCGAGGGTTAAAATGAGGAACGGCATGATCTGCGTCTCGGTCTGGCTGGATTCAGTAAACACCAGACGGGCATTGGTGGTGTCAGAATGCGCGGTGATTTCTTGACTCTCGATTCGGAGATGCCCCTGGAAGGCATGCTGGATGACACTTGTGGGCGTCGAGGACGGCTTTTTGGAGCCACCCAGACTGAGATGGAGATGATTGAGGAACCAGGAGAGGAACTCGACCGGATCTGATTGTTGGGTGAGGGTGAAGCGCTTCGAAGAGCGAAGAGCGATCTCTTGGAGCAGTTCATGGGGTGACACATGGGATTTGAACGCTTTTGGATTCCATAATTTGCGGACCAGCGTACTAAACCGCAGCGATAGCTGAGGTGTTCCTGGCACAGGAAAATGGTGGAGTAAGAAGAAATTGCGGATAGGAGTGACATGAGCAAGGACTTGGACTACGACGTTCAGATAGTCGTTCGCTTTGATATTGTTCATACCAACGTAACCTGGAAGTGGAATTCATTAGCCCATTGCTCGAATAAAGCGCCATAGTAATAGAGAACAGAAACTTACCTGGTCTGTACCGCTTCCCCGAGAGATCGACAGCATCAGGAACCTCCTTGTCCAGCTTCGCGACCTCTTCTTTTGTGTAGGTCGGATCAACCACGTACTTGATATCGTCCAAGCTCTTGCTCTTAACTTCATATCCTTCTGGAAGGACATAAACCTTCTTCGTCTCCATATTCACAAAGACATGGTGTCCAACCTCGAGCGCATGAAAATAGGCATATGATTTGGGACCCCGCCCCTGGTAGTATTTCCCACATACCAAACATGCGTAGACGTTAATATTCGACAGAGAGACGGAACACAGCTTCTCAAAGTCAAAGTCTAGAACCGCGCGATTAATAGTGTCGAGATACAGGTCGCTGTAGCCTTCCTCCGGCTGAGTCTGGCGTTGCGGGCGCGCGGGTAGGGTCTCGTCGATATCTGGAGACTCAGGTCGCTCTTGCTCCGCTTCCTGCAGGGCGGTTTCTTCTTGATCAGCTGCCGCAAGAATGTCCTTTCTATCGCTTTCATCTTGCTCCCATTCTCGGCCGTTGAGATGGGGGGAAGTATCTCCATTGGGAGGAGCCCGATCCTCTGTTGCCTCCGCGACACGCGCCTTTTTGGAAACAGGAGAGCCCGCGGCGATGTCTTCCTCCAGCGATAGGTCCGCTTGGCGTTTTGACATCTTGTCTCGTCGCCAAAAAGTGTTGGATACTGAGGGTTCCTGTTGTCAATTCAATAGCAAGCTTGCAAGACAATGATCTCTCTCGTCGGAAGCTCGCCGCAGGATGGAGGTTTTGGCGCGCTGATGCAAACATGGCAAACTCGATCAAACAGTCTGACCTCATCGTGTAATTTACGAACGTAACCACTTGAGAGCTCACATTTGCTAGTGTACATGGCTTTTACTTTTGTCCAGTTGGGGGGGAAAAAGAAGATTGTTAAATAGGATAGATTTATTCTGAATTTCCATGCTCCTCATTTTGTTGCTAAATGTGTGAGAACAGATTAAACAATACGTGTGTACTCCGCAATCAATGACAGCCTGACAGATTATTCATTATCTGTATTTTTGGTCCAACAGATATATGTCGCTTTATTCGATGTCATCTCGTTCAGCATTTTGCAATTCCATGAAAGAAACATCGGACGTTCCGATTTCGATTGCAAGGTCATTACACCAGTATAATTCAATTATGGATCATCGCATTCCCATCCAACATAAGGCCCGTGTCGATGGAGCAGGACATGAAAATAGAAAGCAGATGCCTGTCATCATTCTTTTTCTAAAAGAAAGTCCCATAAATGCTATGATACAACGCCCTCCCAGGCAAGACCAAAGACCATTACGCACTCGTGACCTGCTTGCTATTATCAAAATCGACGTCTCGAATACCATCCTTCGTGACGACTTTGACAGACACCTAAGGAATCATGGTCAGTCACTACTGGGGATGTCTCCTTTGGATGGCTAGTTAAAGATCATATGGGGCGGACGTACTCCTTTGAAGTCAATTGGGAATCTTCGTTTCAATTCGTCCGTGCACAACTCTAGAAGCTTCAGGCCTTGGTCTAACTCAATATTCGGGTGATGGTGTTTGTCTAATATCGACAGACAGTAGTACCTAGAGGCAGATAATTAATCAGTATTACCCACAGCCGCAGACATTAGGTGACCAGGCGCGACGACGACTATTAGATGGAGGACGACAGGACTAGACATACTGAGCGTATCCGTGAGCGGCATAGGGCACCTGGGCCAGGGATGCCAGGTAATCAATCCACTGCAAGCTGGGCTGATGCGTGATAGGATCGACACCCCCTAACAGCAGGTTGACGGTATACGGACTTCGGGATCGCAGGCTTCGGGCGAGCTCTCCTCGAACGAAGCTTCCCACCGCCGCGGGGCTGAGTTCTGTGTCATTGCGCATGGTGTATAGCTGGACATTAGCTTGGATGTATTCGGCGAATTGGACTAGATAGAAAGTCTGTTAATATCCGCGTTTCAAGCTTTCTCGTTCGGGAGCTCGCTCGAGCTGCAGGTCAGGCAGCGTTTACCAGTATCTCCAGCCTCGCCAGAGAAGGCCATGAGGGTGTGTTCATTCAACTTCCGCGTCTTATCATCTGTGGCCTTGAGGATTGTGGCTCCTCTCATGGCGGCCTGGGAGGCCGCGATAATGACGAAGTCCTTGCCCGTGATACCAAGTAGAACCTCCCTGGGATGAGTTGGTCAGCATCTCTAGATTGGCGACTATAGCTCTCTGACTGAAAGGAGAATACTTGCATGATTGTAGGAGGATGAAACTAGCGACTTTTGGTGCGGATAAGACTCTAATTAAAGGGAGAGAGGTGTTGGGCAAGAAGCAATAAGCAGGCTGGCGGGCTGATATCCGCAGTGACGGACAGTTGCAGCGGAAGCCACGCGTGAGCTTGACGCCTGGCGGGCAGCGGGAGAGCGAGCAAACTGTGCAAACAGAGCGGCCGCCCTTGCGAGAGCTCCTGCTGAGTCAGCATTTAGGCGTTTCTGTTTCGCCGACCTCCCAGAACTGCGAGCCGCCGTGCCAAGATTTCGCGGCACGGGCCAGCTGCACCAAAAAAAAAGTGCAGCAAAAGCAGAGGAATTGCAAGCAAGGAAAACAACGGTCAAAACACTTCCAGTCCAGGGAACAGCTTTCCACCATTCCCGCACCAAAACCAGTGGTGGGATGCTCCTGTGATATCTCAACGTCAGACTCGCAGGTGCCGGGATGTCGTCGTCGTTTTTTACCATACCCGCTTCCCAGCGCAAGCGGAAGAGGGAAGACCGTGCCGCCGCGCCTGCGTCGAAGAAGCGCGGAGTTGCAGTAAACGGAGATGACGAAGAAACGTCAACGCGCAGAAGACAGGAGCGGGATGAGTCAATCTCTGGTAGCGAATCTGACGTTGATGAAGACATTTCAGAGTCAGCAGTCTCCGAGGACGAGAGCATCTCCGACTCGGACGAGGGCGAGACCGCCGCGGAGCGGAGATTGAAACTAGCGGAGAGATATCTGGAAAATATCCGTGAAGAGGTAGACGAGGCGGGATTTGATGCGGCAGATCTTGACCGTGATATCATCGCAGAAAGGTTGAAAGAGGATGTGGTATGTTGATATTTCCCGCGTGTGTCATGGCCCTCAGAGTGTCGACGCTCACAATTCTCCCAGGATGAGGCCAAAGGCCGCGTATTCCGCCAGATTGCCTCCAAATTGGATTTTGCAGGAGCATCCCACACATTCTTCCGTGCAGATACCCTGTCTACTACGTCCATTGCAGTCCATCCACCTTATGTCTACACGGTCTCTAAAGATAGAACTCTCGTCAAATGGGAGCTGGCAAATCCAAGTCTTCCAGAGCAAACTGTCACGAATGGCGTAAACGGCACTTCTAAACACCCACGTCCAGTGAGGAAGAAGCCAAAGAATCTTAAGTTCGTCAAGGGTTTGCAGAAGGTTCCGGGAAGTCGCGAGCGACAAGGGCATACGGGCAATATCCTGACGGTCGCCGTTTCACCATCTGGGAAATACGTTGCCACTGGAGGAGAAGATCGGAAACTAATTATCTGGGATGCGGAGACCCTGACTCCCATGAAAACGTTTACCCAGCACCGAGCTGCTGTCAGTGGGCTCTCCTTCACCAGGCACATCTCCGCAAACAGCTCTGGGGAGCAACTCTTCTCTGGATCCTTCGATCGCACCATCAAGACGTGGTCCTTGAGCGGGGGAGGCCATGCATATGTGGAGACACTCTTCGGGCATCAGGACAATGTTACATCGGTCGCCTCGATGATGACCGACCAGTGTGTCAGCGTGGGCGCGAGAGACCGAACGGCACGACTATGGAAGGTGGTTGACGAAACGCAGCTCGTCTTCCGTGGCGAGTCTTCCAAGAAGGAAGAGTACCAGACCAACAACCTGGATTGCGTAGCTACGATCCCACCCACTCACTTTGTGACGGGCTCGGATTCTGGAGCTCTGTCCCTATGGTCCATCCATAAGAAGAAACCGCTTTATACGATTCCACTTGCTCATGGTTTGGATCCCTTACCACCACCGGAGGAGCTGTCGTCGGAAATGGATCCGAAGACTGCGGCTCACAACTCCCGTTTTGTCCGCCGCATGCCACGCTGGATCACGGCTCTGACGACAGTGCCGGGCACCGACATCGTTCTCAGTGGGAGCTGGGACGGCTGGATCCGCGCCTGGAGAGTGTCAGAGGATAAGAAGATGATCTATCCGCTTGGGCCTGTTGGTGGGGGTTCTGCTGCCTCGCACCCGACGCCGTCGACGCCGTCCTTGCAGCTCAAGCAGACGCTGACCTTTGACGGGCTCGGCGGATCTGACGCTATGGCTGTTGACCACCCAGAGGACCTGACGGCAGCGAATGGGACCAAGAAGGAGCCTGAACCGCTGCTGAAGGGTGTAGTGAATGACATTGCAGCCTTCGAGCGCCGCCCAGAGACATCGAAGCCGGGTCAACTGGGTTCGAAATCAAAAGACAAAAAGGCTGAGCCCCGGGGATTATGTATTGTGGCCGCTCTGGGCAAAGAGCACCGGCTCGGACGGTGGAAATGCTTCAGAAACAACTACTATGACGGACCAACCTCTCAGGGACGCAATGGTGCTGTAGTATTCGAAGTCTCTTTCTCAATTTGTGCTGATGCAGCAGCGGATGATGACACAGCCGCCGCGCCGAATGGTGTATAAAAAAAAGCATTCTTTCAACTTACCTGTTTTCGCACCACTAAAAAAATAATAGTACCATACAAACAAACACCAAGAAAAAAAGGGGGCATTGTATTCAAATAGATAAACTGGGAAATGACCTATGTATGTACATTTGGTATGTTTTTTCTTGTGCATTCATTGTATGTATGTACATTCTGCATGTCGAGTGAGAAACTGGATGTCTGGGACGAGACGAGGACTTAGAATAGCAACATCATTATTACTTTTATTAGCTTAACTTACCTACCGTATCCAGGTGCTTGGGCATCTACTACCTATTTGCTTTCTCTTAAGACGGATCTCCCCTTATGCATACTTTAAAGATTTCTATTCTGCTGCCTACTACTACTACTTACTAGACTTATACTACTGTAGTTCGTACATAGTAGACCAGAATTAAAGGGAGAAAAAAAGGAGCGAAGGAGTGAGCATTAAAAAATATGATATTGTCCCATTTTGTTCTCCTCCCAGTTTATCTATCCACCTGCCTACCTAAACGACAAATCAATCCTATGTAACCTGGCAAGTAAAACACGGGTATTTGAATCGAATGAAGAATAATTAAAAAAAAAAATAGTAAGACTCTGACTCGCAATATCGAAAAGAAGGGCCATCTCTCTCCATCGTCCCTCTTGGAAAGCGAAAGACAAAAGAGAGAGAAGAAAAGGAAAAGGGACGAAGGGACGAAGGGAGGGAGGCAGGGACGCGTATCTTTTTCTTTTGTTAAAACCTTGCCTTAAAAAACCAGAAAGAAAGACGAGACCAGATTATTGTGTCCCCAACGACTCCAGCACAATGCTATGTTTATTCCGTTCCATTCCATTCCATGATAGAATGCATCCTAATTAATTAGAATTCCATCATATCAGTATCGCCGCGAAATGGTTACTGGGCGGTCTTCATAGACTGATGGAGAGAAGGTGGTGTGATAGAGTGAGAGGATAGAGAGGTTCGCGGCTTGCTCTTCTTTCTGAAGAACGTATGGGATTCCCACGTCGGAAGATTGCAAAAAGGTTAGAACCCCATATTACGGCACTGGACCCGCCAGGTATAATATAATAACAGACGAAGAGTTCATTAAAGAATGAAGGCCGGCGGCAAAGGCGAAAAGGTCCAAGGCTCATAATTCTGAGACGGTTAAGCACGCCTCTGCCTTCCTTGGTTCCTACGGCTCCTTGCCCTCCTCGTCGGAGGCACAGGTCCGTCGGAATCGTCATCGATAGGGATGGCATTGCTCGCGGACGTTCCTGGGCGGGATGCATTGCCCCGATTGTTTCTCTGGTTTCGATGATTAGCCGCGCGAGGATAAGGACCGTGAAACCGACGTTGCGGACGATTTGCGGCGGGCCGCCGGATGGGCTCCTCGTCCTCGTCCGATGAACTATCCTCTAACTCCGAGGAAACACTGTGCTCTCTGCCATGATGCGATGTGCTCGTGGTTTCCGTGTCCGTGTTGGTTTCGTATTCAGCGTGCATCATGTAACTGTGATCCCCAACCACAGTCGAATGATCTGTACTAGACTCCTCCTCATCTTCTAATTCCTCATCGTCAACGATGAAAGAATCCATCTCCTCATCCTCATCCTCGGACTCGGACTCAACTTCGGACGTATCCTCTTCGTCGTCGTCGTCGTCCTCTTCCTCTAAGTCTTCGCTGTCATGGACGGGAGAGCTAGAATGAGGAAACTGCCATTCATGAGGATCATGTGGGAGAATGTTCTGGTAACGATGTCGCATTCGACGGAGAGGGTCATAGAATTGTTGGACCCCAAACGGCAATTGTTCGAAGGGAACGCCGTCGTAGACCTCGTTCCAAGTGTCATCTTCATCGATGTCACCGAAACCATTCTCCATGTCCTCGTTGTAGTCCGTCATCTCCGAGTTCTCCTCCGAATCTGTCGTGCCCGTCACCGTCTCATCGGCATCCACATGGTATCCACAGTTCATGCAGGCGTCATCTTCGAGCTCCCATGAACAGTTCGGACAGCGGGTGACACCATCCTCCACGTCGATGATCGGTGCAGGAGCAGGGGTCCTCTCCTTGAAGCGACCCTGAAAGAGTCCGCCGGTTCGCGGATCAGTATTTGCTTTGTCTGCTTCCACCTTCTTCTGCTCTTCCTGTTGGTGCTTCCGGTGCTCTGCCGTCGTCTCGCCCTTTTCCAGAAGCTCTGCATTGTTGGCGAATAAGTGAACAAGACCACGGACCTAAAAACCAGGGTTAGCAAACCATCTCTCTCATGCACCCGGCGGGCCTCGGAGGGGCAGTACCAAATATGCGGGCGCCGGCTGGGTTTTCACCTGTGCGCGGCAATCAGGGCATGTCTTTCTCGACCCGCTACGTTCTGCGAACCATGATGTGAGGCACTGCAGCGTGTCAGCAACGCCATACCCTGGCGACGGATTTTTGCGAAGACGAGACCTACTGTATAACAGAACGTATGGCCACAAGCCAGTGTATAGGGCTCGTAGAGGAGACGGACGCAAATCCCACATTGAAGCCTAGTGCGGATCTCATCGATATGACCCTGCAATGTTTGCAAAAGCTACAACAAAGATCTCTGGTCAAGACTGAACACGAAAATATATGGAGCCATGTGACCGCAACGTACCCCAGAGGCATCGTTCACAGCAGCATCTGTCGTCCTCGCGCCATCTGAGCCCGACGATTTGGTAGCCTTTGCTACCTTGTCAGCAGTGCCAGACATGTCCGACACCCAACGTGGTGGTCCTGTCAAAGGTGAAAAGTCGAGGTAAAAATTGGGTCGGATGCAAGCGGGGGCGCGAGGTTATGGAGAGCAGTCGGATGGAACCGCAGCGGCGGAATGATCAGTCTATAAGTGGGAAATAGCTGTCATGGTCGATGAGACAACGACTCCCCTCGAAATTCCGACCGGGCTGGCTCTTGGGTTGAACGAGAATGAGAGAGAGAAGAGATGCGGAAATCCTGGCCACGCCGCGTCCGGGGGAACATGCACAGGCTGTACGACGATGATCTCGAGTGACCGCCAGATGTCAGACAAACGCATCAAACGTGGAATGCGTGTCCGTGCAGCGCGTCTGCTGCTCCACATCGAAGGCGGCTAATGCCCCGCTTAGTCATCGCCTTCTGCCTGTTGCTGCCTGAGGTGCCTAGAGTCACGTGTTCTCTCCATCGCTCTTGCCAGCCGCCTTCCTTGCAGGCAGCTTCCCTGTGGCCGACAAAATAGGTGAGAGTGCCTAGCCCACACCGGGACAGCCTGTCAGTTCCTCGTAAGTTGATTGCTCTGGCCGATACAAACGATGACTTCTTTGGTAAGGTCGACAGGACTCAGAGCCTATACTCTGTACTAGGGCGTTGCGGTGTGGGAAGGCTGCCATTCTTGCCGCGACTGGCGGGTCATGCAGCAAGCAACGCCTCTGACCGAACCTGATGAGGCAGGCGGTAGGACACCAATCATACTGTAAATGGTTAGGCAACTACTTAGGTGCCTAAGGTTTGTAAGTCATGTGACATTAGAAGTATAGATGTATTCTACCAGGTACCTATGTGTAGGTGTGTACTTGCAGTTGCAGTGTATTAATATTATTAGTTATCTGACCAGACTTCACTTTGAATGTGTTACCTGGATCGTCTAATCTAACAGTCATTGAGTCGCATAGTGTCTATCATACAGATCTATTTTCCTGACCTCGTCTATCAGACTAAGTAGTGCTACTGACCTGTTCAACCTCTGCTCGTGCAGGACATGTCTAGGAAGCGCAAGGCTCCTCGTGATGCCTCTCCTAACAAAAGAGCCCTCAACGATGACGAATTGATTTTTGAAGTCTTAAAAGTGGCAACGAGCAAAGATCCTGAATTAATGATCTTGAAGCTTATGGAATCGCACTCATTCAGTTTCGCTCGCCTCAAAGAGCTCTTGATCCGTAAGCTCATTGGCTTGGCAGCATCTATTTAATTTTAATATCATATAGGAAACGGTCTGGAGATCAGTTTTTCAAAGGTTAAATATGTTGATATTGCCCCGAGAGTCGGCTTGGACCCTCTTAAACGAGAACAGGATATCCCCTTGTTTGACATGTTTCGTGCTCGGCTTCCAAACGAGATCTTTCGTAAGATTATCGAGGATATCGATTTGTTCTCGAAACAATACGGGACCATGGACAGACATGAAAATGGGGTAGCACGAGCCCGAATCTCTCAGCGGTATGCTATCCTGATTCTGAAAGTATGGGTTTCACTGCTAATTTCTACAGTACTTTAATCGAATTGTGGCGTTATTTTCCGGTCTCATATTTAATACCCCTGAGGCTTTGATAGAGGGAACAATGACCAAGAAGGGCCATATCGAGTACCAGTTCAAGACGTATGGCGGTATCACAATCGTGTTTATTGACGTCAAACGAGAAACGGGTGTCGCCTCGGAGCGACTTGACTTCATAGCGCAGGTAATAGCAGAGTGTGATGGTATGGCGCAGGCTGTTCTCTTGTTTCGTTTGTACATGGACTAAAACTCTATAGCATGTTCATGGGTGAATTACCAGAATGGGTACCGTGACTCGGGGTCTTGTGTGATGACAAACACTTTTACTTCTTTCAATTTATCGGCCGATTCCCGGGAAATACATTGCCACAGTTCTCCTTGGGAAGGTTTCCAAATGGATCACAGAGAATCAACATTGAGACTCCTAATCCAATGTTCGATTCGCCTTCTGATTGTCGAGCGCAAGTTCGCCAACTTCGCCGTGCTTGCGACGGACTCTACTACATTTTTCTCAAGGCATATCAATGCGGCCTTGTAGGCCATTGGGAACGAAGCGTACAAAGGGCCCAAGAAGAGGAAAAGAAAGGCTTTCTACTCCTGGATGGCTAAAGGCAAAAGCCATGGCAGACGAAGCTCTTTCAACAGCTACTTCTGCTTGGAACCAATACAACAATGGCGAGCTGGGGGAATCTAGAAAATCTGCAGAAAAGGCGGTTCAATACCTAAGTGAAAGGTACAAGTTCCATCTTTTGTTTCTAGTGGTCAACACGCTAACAAATGAGCTCTGTCTACAGTATTGAAGCGGCTCCTTTCGAAAAGCCTGTGACTTTTCCTGGTTTCACTGAAGATATGGTCGATGAATGAGGTTTACAGCTTACTCCAGATGAGCACGGCGTTGCTGGCCAAGAAGCCACTGTCAGGGGCTAGAGCCTGTAGAAGAACTTATTCATTTCAAACTTGTGTCCAATATGTCGCTTAAGCAAGCCATTTGCTGGTGAGAACACTAAATTTTAATCTAGTAATCTTATTGGCTCTTTAGCCCTGGTAGATATTGACCTTTGCAATTGATACTAAATAAATTCCTAGCTTTCCTGACTAGAATATCCATTTACACAGCCACATCCATTACACACGAGAAGAAATCAGGTTGGTTGTTCCAAAGACTGCGATCATTTTGAGACTCCACGCTTTGCTGTCATGGAGGCTCTCTCGACTTGAATCGAGATAAGCCGTCAAGAGAAACAATCTGCATTAACTATGATTTCAATATATATGAGACACCTAAGACCTCATGCCTTAAAGAAGCAGCATTGAATAGAGACTCCGCATCCTGTCGGCATTTACGACAACCTGACAATACTAGGGCTTGTCCCGTTCTTCTGCATGCGATTCCGGCGGTGAGAGTAAAGAATGCTGTGCTGAGGTCTGTGAGAGTTATCAGGAGAACCGTTGTTAGGGCTGAGATCGTATCATTGATGTTCGTTTTATCAGGTGGTGAGCAGGCAGGCCTTGAATGCTCTGTCTTTTGTCTTTTCCAACCAAAAGGCGGCGAGGTATTTGTCACATGAGGGGAAAGGACGCGGAAAGCGGCATTGATTGACATTTCCGCCGACTTACAGACTATGGGGGGCAGTGCGCCTCCTTCCTGTTTAGACTTAGTTTCAACAAAACCAAAAACAACTTCCGCCGCAGCTTACAGACTGTGGAGGTAGACTACTCTTGACTGTCATCCCACGACCAAAGTCCGATCGCACTGTTAGCGACCTATCCCATCTGATTTCTGCTGCCGGGGTTTCCCCTTCTCATCTATAATACATATTCGTGTCGCCGTTTCTCCGCTTTCTTCGAAAAGGCTCTTCATATTCTTCCCCTCGTGGAATCATGGGTGAGCATGACATTTCTTCCGGCACTCCGTGGGAGAAAGCCACAGCGTTCGATCTTATCAGACAGTGTGCAGCATCATAGTCTATAATTTAAAAAAAAAACGTCTCTAAAATGCTATCCTTCCATCCTCTTCTTCTGCGAAATGATACAGTCATGTCCCCTGTGGACATGAATACTCTCCCTTTGTCGGCAACATTTCTCCTGTATCACCATCCCAGGCGCACTATTCCGAATCACTCTGCCCAACCTGCCGTATGAGACTGGTCTTCTACCTACGCAGCAATCCAACAGAAAGACCCTCCGTTGCGACGACATGATTCAATTAATAAGAAGCTAGGTTCCTCGACTGCTACATTATTAGAGACGAGAGCGACTGGTCGATCCCGAAAAGACTGCGCCCGTGCAACATTCCCAACAAGCGGCAATTTGTATACAAGACCGGCTAAAACCGACAACAACAGCCACCGCAATCGCAGCAGCAGCAATAACAAAGCATGAAAAGTATTATGGAAAGAAAACGTCCATGTCATTACTCATTCATTAAAAATTACGCGAATTATCGCCCGAGCAGCTTTTCTAAAAAAAAAAAGGTCCTGATCCCGACTCGTTTATGCTTCCAATGCAGCATCCCGTTGCTTCTGGCGCTGTTTGAGGTCTTCTGAGATCAGGTGACTGTCATCCACGGACCCTTTCTTCACCTGGTCGTCGTCCACCATCTCCTTGTACATGTGCTCCAGGAACTCAATCTGCTCTCGGATGAACTGTTTGGTTCCCTTCGTATCAAAACCTCGTCGTGCCCGCATGCGGTCTCGCATCAACCGGTTCATGTCTCGGAAGCGCTCCTCCAGTATTTCAAACCTGTATTCTGCGAACTGGTGGTATAGTTCTGCCAGGTCAGAGATGGGACGCACGGTGGTCAGAACCGTATCATCCTTGACGGCAGAGGAACGGGGACGGAAGGACGTCACCATGGAGATGCGTTCCGTTCCGCCCAATGCCCGAAGAGCCCGGTGCTCGAGGTAACGACCCTGAAGGATGACGGCCCAACCCTAGGACTGTTTAGCGACTTGTATGATTTAGGTATTTGCCGGCCAAGATTGACTCACCATCTGTGGCCCTCGCACCTTCACCACTTCGCCGTTCGCCTTCCGGAGAGCAGTCTCGCCTCCCACCATATCGGTACAATCGGACAGCATAGTCACGCAGACGAAGGGATAGCTGTCCGTGTGCCAATCCACAATGGGACTGTCATCATCCTCGGCGTCGCCACGGGCCTTGATGAGTTCGAGATCTTTTTGCTTCTGCTCCTCGCTCTTGACGGAGATGTTGACATGGCCAATTTCCCAATCCATGGCGGGAACGAGGTCGACTCCTGCGATCTTGGAGATAATGCTGAGAACCTCGGGGCTCTTCCAAGCGTCGTACACGAACGGAGCATACCTGGGAAGAGGTGAGATGTTAGTAAAAGCTTCAACCCAGCTTGGAAAAGCTGAGAGTGGCGTACTCCCGTGCAAATCCTCGCAGCTGGCACTGGGCCAGGTTGCTTGAATACTGATAGTGTGTGAAAACTTCCTCACTGAGGACTTCGGCTCTCATCTGTTTGATCGCCTCTGGAGTGAACAATGGGAAAGGTTCTGAGACACCGATGGGGGAGACCCCACGGCTGTCGGGGTAGCCAAGCTCCTTCATGGTCCAGACTTTGGAAGGAGGTGAGAAATTGAGGTGCTTCTTTGGGTCGAAAGGCACGCGTTCAGACGCAGGGAGTGATTCCAGAATTGGAAACTTCTTGGTGCCATTGGCCTGCGTCCCATTTGCCAGCGGCTGCTGGGCCGGGTTGGCAGGGACCGGGGTGGAAGAGAGGGTATCAACTGCCGCCATGACTCTATACGAAGACGTTCGTCAGACGTTTCTTGACCAGATGGGATGGATGCGAGTTGATCGAATTATCGATTGAGATCGAAAAGGACGAACAAGGAGTGCAACTCACCCTACTGGGTGTGTCCTAATGTGAGGGAAGTTCTGTCGATGTATGTGGCAGCTGCAGGCAGCAATATGTGTGGGCCGCAGTCGAGCTAATGTTTACCTCGAGATAGGTTCCCGTGATGACACAGATTGAACACGGAACAAGAAATATACACCAAGGAGGAACCCGATATTTATACTGACGGGCAGCTCCATCCGGTCGTTTTGACTCTATTGTCGACCCTCGACTCCAGCAACTCGCCACTTTTCCATATCTGACAAAAGCGGTTCCTCTGGATCAGGGTCCCCGCCAGAGGGCTCGGGACTTTCCTTCTTGCTGCCCCGCAGTTATTGCAGAGACAACCAGGGGAACCCGTGGCGTAACGGGTAATTTCTGGGACGTAACAACGTTCCCGATTCCTTCTCTCATGGATAACACCACCGCGATCATTCTGCGAATCCAAACCTTAGATTGCGGAGCGTCCGCGGTCGCGCCCTGGCCATTTGTCATCCCGTGATGCTCCCGAGTTCCAACACATCAGCAGTGCATGTTGTGACGGATCCACCTGACAGGCCTGTTACCGCATGGAAAATGTTCCTATCTTTGGTTTGGTATCGGAAGCGAGTGCTCCACATGCTGGCCTTGGAGCGGCGACTATACTGCAGCATTCCACCTAGTTGGCCACTTGATTATGAAAATCATTGGAACAGGATACAAGGAGATCGTCCTTTCCCTTGGTCGCGCTGGATCTACAACCTGTCAATTACGACAAATATCCAGGCAATCCTGACTTCGAACTGGCGATTGACCAGAAAAGCTCCTGGATTATTCTTGGGGTTATCTGACTGACAGAACCAAGACAAATCGTCAGGTCATGATAGGATCTGTCCGGGTTGTCAACAGAAGAGCGATACAATTACATGACAAACTGGGTCCAGTTGCGCGAGGTGTGGAGGACTACTGCAGCGTCCATGTCAGGGTGGGAGCTTGCACATGCTGGATCCGCCACAGGTGTTCTGTACAGAATGGAACTTTTGACTCATTTTGGGATGCAGATCGGAGCGGTCCTTGATTGCTGTCGCGGAAGATACTAGAAAAGGGATAAGCTCGCTATCGGCTTCGGTCCCGACAAGCCACTTCTGATCTTGGCCCGTCGACCGCGGCAATGCGGGCAGTCGCCTTTTCCTTCAAGCGTCCATGACAGATGGCTGGGGTTGACTTAGGGCCAGCCTTGGATGGATTACGGAACCAGCAGCAGGGTGTGGCAACCGGCCCTGGTGATTCGCAGGATTCTTCCACGCATCGCATCTAATCTCGGCGTTGCGATGTGTCACTTGGTGCGAGATGGTCTCACTACTGTGGAGGATGGGAGGAGGGGGAAAGGTAGGTGACCCGACAGTTCCGTCGGACAGTGTACTGTACGGCAAGCCATTACGACCATCCCACCAGATCAAATTTTTCAGATTTTAGTGCCGGCAGAATCTTATGCAAAACCATATCATTAAGCAAACTATACAGACCATCTAGAGGACCTGCTTAGTTTTACTGCCTGGTATGATCGTACCATATGATCAGAATGATTCTTGTACTAAGAGAGATACTCCGTATTATTACGGCCGTAGAACTAAAACCAAAGGTAAGGGACTGTAAGGCGGTAACGGCTGGCAGTATACTGCCCCAAAGCAAAATTTTTCGTGAAATTTTGGCTAGTGCACCGTGCCGCTTTAGTCTGGTGGACCTTTCATTCGTAACACTATAGATAGCTACCTCGTTTTATACCTTGGCTCGGGTAAATAATTTCAACCTGACTAGACGATTTTGTTCTGTATGGTAAAGGGCGCTAAGACGAAAAGTTTGCATGGGCTGTAGTGGGTACTTCAGCCCGTAACAGTGCCCCTCCCCCGCTACTAAGAAACAGCCCCTTTAAAGTCGAGTATAAAATCACCCTTTAGTCCTCTCCCCGCAAGCCCATACGTTAATCTAGTTTATAGCACGTTTTAAAGGCCTTTGCATGGGCTTCAATATACATAGGCTTTGTGGGAGGCTTTATAGGGTTAAAAAAACTTTCCGTATTGTTCCTGGACCAGATTAAAACACAAGTAATAATCAGTCCCACAGTGATAATATACTCGAGTTCCACCTGGACAATGTCTTACCGTATACCCAAAGGAGCATGGCCAAGAGAATTAGGTAATTATTGAGTGATCTTTTCTCATAATTGGAACTGAGGCAACACCCTCGCTAGATTATTTCTGGTTAAGCGTCGAAATCGTTTTTCCACCGAAGTTACTAGCGAAAAATTTTTTTCGTGTAATACCCTCCCGCCTCCCTGACGGGTCCACTGAGATTTGGTATGGCTGGTTCTAGCAACCTAAATTATAACCAAAATCGAACGCCAAAGTTGTCTACTAGAACGCCCGTATAAGGGGTGAAACTGGTATTAAGTACATAAGTTCTAGATTATATACTGACTAATTTTCTGTCAGCTTAATTAGGAAGGGGGCTTTTAAACGAATTGATTGTATGCAACATTCCTTTTACCAGGCAACTTTTGAGTAGTAGTCGTCATCATTTTAATATGATTGGCTCCAACCTTCTACTATATCATGAAACTTGCTTCGAACAAAATTTTCGCTATCGAATTTAGCGGTATTTTTGGTGGAAAAAATGATGTCATGGATTTCAACTGAAGGGAATTTAGTGGGGGTGTGATCACTGATTGCCCGGTTTCATAATAAATAATACCCTGTAATGTATGTTCTGACTAAACTAAAATCTAGAAAAAGTAGGCGGTAAAACTAGCGGTAAAGGACAGTACAAATTGAATCCCTCTTGGCGGGATGGCCGCAATGCCTTGTCGTACAGACGGAGTACTGTAGTCTAATCCCCTCGCCTTCGATGGCGGTAAACATCTGTGGTAGAGTCTCTTGACATTACCCAATTCATCGAAGGGAGACTTCCTCGAGGGGGTTCTGTATTCTGTCAATGAGCCCATGACCTGCACAGGCCAGCGCTGGAGATCCTTATGGGGGGGAAGCTGAGAACAATACTGCTGCAAATCTATGGGTTGGAAGTGGCTCGGTTCTACACAAACTTTCGCAAACAATGCGCCAACAATGCATCATCCTCCGGACGTCCGCTCGACGACCCGAGTCCAACCGCATTGGCTCCTCGATGGGATGCTGCAACGCTACGAGAGCGTCACATGTGATGCCAGTATACTGTAGAGGTAGAACTTTCCAATCTCCCGTATACAATTGCCGAAGACACATATAATATCGTTTTAAACACCGTTTGGTTCTTTTCCAGTCAGCAGTGGAAATATGTAGTTCGACCGTGGTGATATGATTATTTATTGACGCTTGGATGTGCGCCTGTCAGTAGGAACCTAAATCAGGCTGTGAAATCTCTCATTCCGACGTAATAATTATGTTTTTGCAGGTCCCTGCTGGCATAATCTCTTCTCTCATTATTGGGATAAGCCTACTCCGTATAATAGATTTACGGTGGAAAGGTGGGATGGGTACAAATTAGCAGCAACGGGGGGATTGATAAGAGAGACGATCAGAAGAAAGTTATCACAGGTTATCACCTGATCGTCGTTTTGTCCACGTCGATCAGGGCCCTATAGGCAACTTAGTACTATTACACCATCTCCTAGTTCACTTCGGGAAAGGTCCGAAATCGCCTTTCCACCAAAATTACTAGTGAATTTGATCATTATCTTTTGTGTTTGACACTATCTTCTGTGGTATGACATCAATACTACCGAATTCCTTTTTCCCTGTCACCGGCAATTCACAATATTATAGCTAAAAATGACCAAAAGTTGAAGCCAAAGTTGCCCTATAAAAAGTTTTATATAGAGTTGTCCTGGCGTTGAGCATTGATGTTCAGATCCACTAAACCTAACTAGGAAACAGATGCCGATTTCCAATCCAATTGAAAGGACCAATACTCCGTAAGTACTGAGTACTCCGTACAGAATTTAAGTGATTTAAGCCCGATCTACGGAGTAAGTTATTGAGCTTAATTAGTGCCGCTAAGCTTCCTACTAACCTTACTAGCACCTGATCTACTGAAAGAAGAAGACATCGAGTTACGTGTACAGACAGAACTTGAGTATAAAATCTCACTGCTAGATTACTATATACAGAAATTTTTATATAGAGACTTTGGCTTCAATTTTTGACTGTAGGATCAAGAATAGGTGTTAATAGAAATCAATAAAAAACGGTGTTATAGGGGTCATGATATGCTTTCGAAGAATGAAGATTTATGATCAATTCACTAGTATTGGAGAAATGTGATTTCAGGCGTTTCCTGAATCAAACTACCCAATATTAAATGGTGTATTTAGCAATTTAGGTGGTGCAAACATCAGTCAGGATATAAATGAATCCCCCGCCATCCGCAAGTGAGCGCGTGGCCTACTCACGTGCCTGTCAAACAACGCAGGCGGTCTGGGCTCCCAGACCGCCTGGACCGGCAATAGAGCTTCGTCCGCCAACTACTCCGCTTCCCGGAACGACGCCGGTCTCGACCCTGCTTGCCCATGTGTACACTCGTGCCCCATCGAACAGAGCCGCATTCTTAGGCTTCCAGAATTCTCACGAGACCTCTGTCTTCTGGCCAGCTGCACAGGATGTCTTCCGTGGCCAAAGAAGGCGAACAGACGGCCTGGCAAAAGGTCGAAAAGAGGTTTGAAAAGTACGTCTCGTCCCCTCTTCTGCCGTCAATGTGCCTGGTAGTTTCGAATCCCCAATGCCTTACGAGCCGCTCCTTTTCCTGTTGCCACGCGGAAATGAGCTTGCGGGGGATAAGGGCCACAATTCCGCAGCCAGGCCGAATGCTGGGGTCATGCCCAATCCGCAGTGGACAAGTCATTCTTCTCCGCAAGCCATGTTTCTTCCGCTATTGCCGGTTTCGGGGCTTTTCCTCTCCAGACTAACATTATGGTAGTGCGCTCAAGCTAACGGACTGAAATACAGTAAGAGTGCTAGCGAGTATTTCGATCCCTGTCAGGAGTTCGCCGACCGCAGCATCAAGTGTATGCGCCGAAACGCCGGTGACCGAGACATGTGCCAGGATTACTTCCAGTGAGCATCACCTGAATCCTTTCTCGAGCCCCGTTTTTTCCTCCCCTATTCGAGTGATATTCTCCATACACCCCGATGATACCTGGAAATGAGGCCTAAATTTTGTCGCAAGGGAGTTGTCTGGATCGGGGTTATCCCAGATACCTGTCTTTCCTCCCTAGCGCACTTTACTGATAATTTTGTTTCCTTCAATGGGCTTCATTCTTGGGACGCTAACTGACTTGTTTGGGTGTAGGGCTTATCGCGACTGTAAAAAGGAGTGGGTAAGTACCATATTGCCTTACGCGTCGATTTCGTCTGCTCGTTTCCCGTCACTCGGCTTTTGATCTCTATGGATGGGCCTGCTGCGTCTTAGAAGCTGTATGGTTATCAATTCTACGCCAACATCCTGCTGATTGTCTATCAGACTATTCAGAGAAAGCTAGCCAAGGCCGCCGCGAAATCATCTTCTCAATCATAGTCGACAATTTCGTTAAGACATGGTGCCTAGGCCTCATGACAAGGGATGAAAATCGTAAGAGGCTGGAAGGATGCAAAATAAATCCTTATTTATCGAAATATCATTGCAATTGACCATTGCGGAGGCCCCATGAAGCCTTTCTACGGGCGATATATGTCACCATCTCCTATGGCGGAGTGGCTTGGACTATGCTACCTAGCGTATGGCGGTTGCGGTTCTTTTGGGTTGCGACAGCACCATTATTAGGACGTGCCTGTTGGTCCGATAAGCTAGGCGACCGATACCCGGCCCTCGGGGTGCGTAAAACAATACCCCTTTGAGCAAGTCGGTGCTATCGCCTTACTCCTATATCTGTTGTTTCGATCCCTTTTTTCCGGGAAATCCCTTTATCTCCTCTTTACCGATCCGGCATATGCTTTCCTCTTTCGGACTCTACGACTGATCGGCAAGCCTGGAATGTCCACCTTGTACAGTATGGATGTATATTATTTGGGTTTTTAGCATGAATGGAGTTTTTGGCCTTTCTTGATCCACCTGAGCATGGAACCAGATAAACCCCAAAGTCCATTAGACATGATAGTCTACGGCTTGGAGATGCTCACGACATGTTGCAGGACTAGAACTGAAATTTCCGTTCACTCAAGTATCACAAGATACTTTGAAGATGCCATATGGATTGAATTTTGCTAAGATCTAGCTTCAAGGCTAGATAAGGCAAAGAGAAGGATGTGAGGTATATAGAAGAAATCGATATGGTTATTATATGATCTTTCTGGTACAAATTTGCCATTTGCTTACTGGATAGAAATCGATATACTCCGTGGGTGGTGAGGCAGAATTAATCTAGCATATACTCCGTATTTTATATGCAAAGCGCCTTAAAAAAAATTAAAAGCTGATGTGACAGAGACGGCGGAATTATTATCTTTGTTCTTCTATACGATGATGTCTTTGAAAATAGCAAACTATATAAGAAAGAGATTGCGGGGAAAGTGTTGACAGTTTTATGCCTGAAAAGTAAAAGAACTGACATCACGCGTTCCGCAGCCTTCTGTGTGCCAACGGCGGAGATCCGACAAATTTCCCCGCGCTCACGGATAAGCGCATACTGCACAGCCAAACAGACTTCTTTCTAGGCATTCCTTTGGCTTTCTTTTTGTCTATTCTGCATCCATTGCTTCTGCGCCCCCCCGCCGCGCCGAGTAAATAGGAACTATTTATCCAGGCCCCCGCCCGTGTCCCGCGGGGTTCCTGGACATGTCGACCACGACCGACGCCGTTTTCCACCGGCGTAACAAGCAGATCCAAGACGCCATTGACGGACAGAACCTCAAGCAGGCCCTGCAGCTATGCGAGAAACGAATAAAGAAAGGGGAAGATACGAGGTTTTTGAGGGTGAGATTTACCCCAGCTCTTCCTGGAGTGTTGATCTGTCTTGAAAGTGACATTTTTTTTTACCTCATTCACACATTGTTCTATACCCATGCAACCGGACCTTGGGAGTTCTCTTAGAGACAAAAGAGTGCTATTTAGAGCTATGACAAAAGCTGACACTTAAAATGAACCATTGTACAGGCATGGAAAGCACACATTCTTTTCCGCCATGCCGATGAAGCTCACCACCAGCGAGGAATCGCCGAAACCCTCGAAATCTGCAACCTCGAGCCTCCGACCACAGACTTGGATACGCTTGACATACTACATCAGACTCTGCAGAAATTGGACGGCCATGAAGCTACCATGCGTGGGCTCTGGGAAAAGGCTGCAAAGGCCAAGCCGCAGGACCTCGAGGTGCAGATGAGATGGTTCACGTATGCGTTCGAGGACGGGGATTGGAAGTCAGCGCAAAAGGTCAGTGATTGTCATTTTTTCTTATCCTTGTCGTCTGGTTTGCTACCATTCCACAGTGCTGACTAGATCTCTGTTTTTTGACTGTCGCAGGCCGCAATGAGCCTCCAGAATAACTTCCCCAAAACGCGCAAGTACTATTTCTGGGCCATCTTCCTTTGCTACCTGATTACTGTTGATCCGTCCGCCTCAGATGCGGATCGCAAGCTCTTTGGGACTTTGGCATATCGTATGATCTCCAAGGCTGCCGAGAGTGTCCCTGCCGATCCGGTATGCATAGATTTTCTTTAATGAGTTTTGCCATTTTTATTCCCCTTGTCAAATTTCACTTTTGACTCACCGTAATCTGTTGTGTCTTGCAGAAAGAGTTGCTGAGCCCCCCTAGAGCTATACAAACCGCCGAAGAGCTTTTCCTTCTCATCAAAATCTTCGAGTCTCAAGGACGCCACGAGGAGATCGTGAAAATTCTCGACAGCGAAAACCTCGGCATTAAGTCACGTATCGTGCAGAATGACTGGTTTTTCGTCAGGGCCAAGCTGCTCAACCTGGAGAAGGCGGAATTGTGGACTGACGGGCTGGGATTTGCACGAGATCTCCTGACAATACCTGAGGACGAGAAAGCTGCCAAGGCTGCCCTTCAGGAAAGGGACGACTGGGGGGTTTGGGGGTTGCTGGTATCCGCGACCAAGAAGATGAACAATCCTGAGTAAGACGTCGAAGCTTTTCGGATGGGGATTTCTCCCGCTGACTATGGACATCAAGCACGACCAAGCAAACGCAGGAGTTCGTGGAGGAGTTCATCCAACGTTTTCCGAAATCACGCAATGCGCAGTTGGCTCTCCTTGACCTCACTTTGTGGAAGATACAGACCGGCGTTCTTACTGCTGCGGATCTGCTCAGTGCTTGCAAGGCATATTATGACCGTAATAGCAACAAATTGTATTGCTTCGGCGATCTGCGGAAATATGTGGTGAATCTCGGGAAAGACGACATCAGCGACTTTGTCGACCATGTCCTCCAGAAAGCAGATAGCCTGAGCAGCGAAAAGGACGTATGTAGTCGTTTTCCTCCGATTATGTGGTCAAAGGCTGATCCCTTCCAGGGAGTTTCAAAAATCAATGCACTCAAATTTGAATACAGTCTCCGGTTATTTTATGATGACAGTGCCTCAAGGGACAAAGTCGAAGACTTTGTCTCGCGCTGTCTACAGGCGTACCGGCAAGCGGAGCGCCCCAAACGAGATGAGTCGCCATCGACAATTGAAAACCGACCAAGCGATGATCTCTGCCTGCTCGCCGTGATGGCTCTTATCCGTATTAGCGACAATTGGCAGAGAAGCCAGCAAAATAAGTCGCCTAGCTCCGTGTTGATTCGTGCGGCCGGCATTTTGGAACGTCTTTTACAGGATTCACCACACAACTACCAGGCCTTGCTTCTCTTAGTAAGGTTGTATCTTGTCCTTGGAGCTGGATCTATCGCCCTGAAGACCTTCAGCAAACTATCCGTGAAACAGATGCAGTACGAAACTGTCGCACATAACCTCTTTACCCGTCTTTCCACCGTTCACCCACATTCAGCGCCTCCGATCGAGGGCGCGGAATACAAGGATTTCAACCCACAGTCGGCGCTTGTGCAAGCCCTCACCTTCTATCGGAACGCGGATGTGACTGCAACGAGATCACGGACCAGTGGTCTTAATTACGGCAGCTATGTCAACATCGAAGGCAGTATTGACCTTCAGAAGCGGCTAAGACATAGCATTTGCAGACGGATGTGGGCCTTGGACGTGCGACGCATGCAGAGGCTTGTTGGTGGAGATCCAATGGGTCGTTACGATGAATTAGGTCAGTTTGTCCTGATCGAGATTGAACCGATGAGAATTCAACGAAATTGACACATTGGTAGCGGCGGATACATCTCCGTTGATTGACCAGCGGACGTTTGATGCCTTCATGAACTGTGAACCACCACACCGGCCGACATTCGAGGAGCAGCTGCGCCTCGGGCCCCTGCCTCGGGTATGTTCCCTCGACGTGGCTGTCTGAATGGAGGAAATTGACAAGAATACAGGACCGCTGGGTAAAATCTGCCAGGGTGACAGACCGGCTCTTTTCTGTCTTGAAAGCGATGGCAGCTCAAAAACCAGTGAAGCTGGAGCCTGAGTTGTCTGCCCTTGAAGAGTTGACCCTGTCGGATACGGAGTCCGACATGACACCTTCCGAACAAGACAACGCGAAGATTCATCATGTCCTTCTCAAGGTCGTATCGTTTCTCAACGACTCCAAATCCATCCAAGGGGAAGAGCTGGAAGGCCTCCTTACACAGGTCGAGGATTGGCTCACATCGACGCTGGAGTCTGTCTCCTCTGAGACCGCTGCTTTTGCAAACACGACCATCTCCTTGCTATCTGGAAAACCGTCTGTGCCATCCTGGCTGTATCTTCACAGAAGCTTCACCGTTCTCGAGACCCTCAAGGCGCTGTCTCTGGTGCTGTCCGTATCTTCCAGGAAGTCTTCCAAGTCAGCCGCAAAGCTTCCCAAAGAGCGCGCCGAGCGTCTTGGGGCGCTGGTGGGTCACGTCCACGAGCGCATCAAATCGAACACCCGTGCTCTGAAATCACACATCTCGGAGCCCGGCATGCTGGGAGCCTTGATCGATCTGGTCATGATTGGCGATTCCGATGATGGCGATGGTGGAAGCAGCCAGCTCCGCAATGAACTCGAGATCACTCTCGACCCGGGTGCATTGGAGGTATTCTGTGGGGAATTGATGGAGAGCTGGGAAGAGGGACTGGACGGGATCCTGTCGGTTGTTATCTAGATATACGTGTAGTGGCAGAAGTTGTCAATGATATGTATAGCCAGCTTGAAAAAGAGAAGATCTAAATAGTGAAAATATATAAGGAGCTGCAGACATGTTTGACTTACATCCTCCAGTAGACATTTGCAATCCAAGACTGAATTTTCCTACGTCTTATCTAGCAGGAACATTTTAGGTATGTAGCTTCAATGGACTTAAAACGTATTGTCGTGGGCCTGTGGACAGCTTATATCTATCACTACCTACAGCATTATTATTAAATTAATCATCAAAAGTCTTATTAATTAACTGATTATCCAAACACAGTCGACCCAATTACGCTGGAGACCAACATTCCCCCCTGCTGGTTCTAACCTCAAAAATAAATCGCGACCAAAAATGCCCATCACAACTTGATGATTTTTTTTGTAGACTCCTGACGAGTTTTAGAAAATCTACCTCGAGGAAAACTCCCACACATTTGCGAGCCGAGCCCAACCCAACCATGACTAATGTGTGGATTAGTTATCATCACACCTACCGACCTAGGTAGGTAAAAACTCTGACCAGGAAGGAGGTCAGGAAGTACCCATTCGACACCTCTATGGATGGACGTCATAATACACTACTCTTTTTTGTTCGTTTTTCAAGCAGAAAAGTAAAAGCCCAGTCAAATGGGGGCGCGAATGAAATTAGAAAAAAAGCTGTAAAAAAAGACATTACAGACATGGCCCAAACCAAACCCCGTCTAATCTTGTCTTCCCTTTAGTAATCGCTTCGTAACCTTGTCCTTCTCTATAATATAGACGTATGCACCCCAGCCGGAGAGGGCGTCTCTGTCGACGGCGTTGAGGAGTGCTTGAGAGATTGTCTCGAAAAGTTCCTCGGGGCCCTATATAGACGCATGTCTTGGTAAGTACTGAAGACTGAAAAGACTTTATGGCTGAACATACCAGATCTGGCTCCCAGAGACTCTCACAGGTACCAAACAGCTGCTCGCTGGCAGTTCCGCTCACGATAAAGTCCTTGGCATAATCAATACACCCGATGCTGTCGAACCCGCAGATGAAGGGCTTCCCCGTTGTGTGGTTAATGCCCGCGACCACAGGGCTGACGAAGTAAGGGCCGAACCGTCGCTCGTATAAGCTCGAGCTGACGAGGTTGGCCAGCGTCTGAGGTGAAATGTGTCGCTCCTCGCGGAGCCGGTACAAGTTGACCTTGTAACGGAAGAGGTCGGCGACAGTGTGCACGTCAGTGGCGAGGCCTGTTAGACCGAGATACGTCGAGGGCGCGTAGTTGAAGATCTTTGAGAAGTTGTTGGACACGGTGAGGGCTTGCATGCCCAGTCGGAGATCGCAGGCAATTGCGACGCAGTCCTTGCCCACCATGGCCACGCAGGCGCCGCCATCTAGAGATCAAGCTTAGCATTGCACCGACAGGAAAAGCAGTATATAAAAAAAGGAAAGAAAACCGTACTGATGTCGAAGGGAGAGGTCTAGAGACGGAGTTAGCTGAGGATGCTGAATACAGGAGGACACAGGACAAGATGTCGACAACTCACCATGGTGGACGATTCTTAGTAGTAACTGAAAACAGAGACAGACAATAGCAAAGGCCTCAAGCCGAAAAAGAGAGGAGAAAAGCGATATGAAGGGGGATTGATGGGGTCGAGAGGGCAGTGATGCTGCAGCTGGAGCTGGGCCGCTGTCCTCCAGGCGGCCAGAGACACGCGTGAGGTGAAGCTCGGGCCACCCGCTGACTTCGCAGCAACAGCGAGTCGGGACCGATGACGCTTTGCCGCCGGTGCCTGCGGGACGAAACACATGGAAGCGGCCTCGTCCAGCTTCTTCTTCAAGCACGCTTGCGCTCTTGCTTATCATCCGGCCTCGCACGACAATACGCGGGGCCACTCTATTTTCTGGCAACAGGATTTCTGTGTCGAGCTAGAGATAGCTGCTATTCTACTGCCTGAGGCTGGTGGCTGCCCCGCAATATCATCCCACGCCCGGTCTGCCCACCGGCGACGATGAGCTCCCACGTCGTGGTGATTGACTCGACAGCTCGCAGAGCTGTGGTCAAGACCACTCCTTCGAAGCATTTGGCAGAGGTCTTGCAGGAGGCAAGCGCTAAACTGGGTTTCGACGCCGGCCAGTATGGTCTCAAGTAAGTACTGTCGCGCTTCTGCGGAGAAAATGGCCATGCTGATGGTAATGTGTCGACGCAAAGATACCAGGGTAAACAGCTCGACCTCTCCCTTTCTGTTCGCCTGGCGGGTCTGAGTTCCGGCGCCAAGTTGGAACTCGTTCAACTCTCCCGATCGCCGTCAGTCGTCTCCGTCGCCCTGCAACTCCCCGAATCCGAAGCGCAAGGGGCTCCGAACGGACGACTTTTAGACAAGTTCCCGAGCACGACGACGCTGTGGTTAGTACTACGAAAATTTGAGTCCGGCGTGGCAGGGAATGGAACGACCCGAAATCTCACAGCCCGGGGAGCCCCTTCGACGGATACAGGGGCCGGGAGACTATATTATCAGATGCCAGTCATCCATGCTATGGGAAGAGAGCTGTCATCTTTCACGGATCTGCAACAGTCACTGGCACAGTTAGGGTTCAACAGCGGAAACGTGCTCCTTCGACTGAGCTTTCGGACAACACAGGAGCCGCTCGAAGAGGCGATGGCCAAGATAGCGGAATACTTTAAGGACGTTGAGGATAAAAGCGGTCCTGCAGCGGCAGAAGGAAGTGTCACAGCTGAACAAACAGCACAAGTCGCTGTTCAGCCGACGGAACAGAGCTCTCTGCCCGCTTCTACCACGCAGGGGGAGCCTACTACCGTTTCTACAGACTCATCCGTCTCACAACCCGAAGCCTCTCAACTTTCTCCCTCAGAACCATCCGCCAGCCCATCGGTCTCGTCGCGGCCTGTGACTGTCTACCGTCCGCCCTCGGGCACAACTCCGCATCCTGCCTTGTCTGCCCATGATGAGGAAGACTACGTGCCCACTATTGAACATGCTAAATCCCACCAGGAACGGCTGAGCAAATTAGCTCGGAACACGCGTCTCCCGAGTGACAAAGAGATTGCAGAGAAGGCAGCTGCGGAACAGGAGAAGCTGGCAGGCATCAAGGAGGTAGAAGTCAAGATCCGGTTCCCGGAACAAAGCCAGGTGGTCGCCAAATTTGGACAGCCCGATACAGGGGCGACCCTCTACAGTTTTGTGAGAAGCTGCTTGAACGACCAGTTCGCGGGTGAGAAGTTCTCGTTGACAGTGTTCGGCGGTGGCGGCGGACGAGGCAAGAACCAGATACCGGACTCGGATCAGACATACCTGATCAAGGATGTTGGGATAAGAGGAAGGGTATTGGTCAACTTTACTTGGGATGATCAAGCCTCGCAGGCCGCGCGGGCAAGCGGCGCCAACCTCTTGAAGCCGGAACTGCGCAGCCAAGCTCGGGACATCCAGATTCCCAGTGTGCCTGAAGCTCCGCAAGAAGAGCCCGAGGACAAGTCAGCGTTAGGCAGACTTGGGGCTGCCCTGAGAGGCGAAGGTGGAGAGAAGGATAAGATGTCTGCAGAACGGAAAGGAGGCGGAGGCGTGCCCAAGTGGTTTAAAATGCCGGGCAAAAAATGATGACGAGGAGGCTGCTGCGACTCGTCTCGTCTACTGTACTGTACATACACGTATATTGTTAAGGAATAGCGATTTGCGACGAATGCAGTGGAATGAAGTGATATGAAGTGAATGAAATGAAATGATATGAAAACGAAAATAGGCCATAATACCAATCTCTGAGGATGACATATTTATATGGAGTATGAGATATTGTCGGATACCTTTTCCGTAATACGTCCTGGAACGATTCGAAGGGGAACCGTATGATTGATTGACAGGGAGATGTTGATGTTGATATTGATATTGATATTGATATCCTATGGGTTACGAATATAATAAATACGGATACGTATATATGTTTCAGGAACTGTGATTATTTCGAGTATCATTTTCATTTTCATTTTTTTGTTAAAAAAAATATCATTTCTCTTTGTGTTTTCGTCCTTTTTTTGTTTGGTGTGCACAGTATTTAAGGGAGACGAAACCACAAAGGAAATATTTTTTTGCTCGGTCAAGGGTCAAGACAAGCAGGAGAAATGCCAGTCAAGTTGCCTGCCTGTCTTCCAGCTTGCCGTGCTTGCTTTGTGGAACTCTTTTTTTCTTTCACCCTTGTCGTTGTTGGCGTATGGTATTGTTCGTAGGTACCATCATCGATCAATCATCTCATCTTGTCGACTTTTGTTTTTTTTTCGACTACCCCGTTGTTGATACGAAAAGAAAAAGGAAAAAGGGAGAAAAAGAGACCCCAGCAGATCCGATCGATCAATTTTCTAGATCCAGCGCATGCACATTATCGTCTCGTGATGGAATCTAATAAACAACAGGCCGAAGAGAGAGAAGAAAAGCGTAAGCGAAATTGAGACAGAGAGTGCATCAAACGAAACGGAGAACAATTTAGTGACCCGCCCGTCTGGATTCCGCGATGATCTTCTGCATCTCGTCGACCTTCCGCTTGGCACGGCCGATGGTACCGAGCTGTATAATTGAAGAAGAGAAAGAAAAAATTAGCGACGTATTCCTCAAACCAGGCACGTCCATCCATCCATCGTAGCCCATTCTGATGTTTCGACCGAAAAAAAAAAGTAACAAACGTACCCTCTTCTTGGCCAGCTTCCTCGCCCTCTTGTCCTGAGAGTTCCTCAGCAATTCGACAACACGGCGCTCATACGGAGCAAGACCAGCGACCTCCTTGATGATCTCGCGGACGAAGGCAGTGCGGCGGGACAGGTGACCCTTGGTGCGGCTGATCCGGGGCTTGGTCTCCAGAGGAGTGGTTTTCTATATTCCAACGGACAAAAAAACATCCCAGTTAGCCTGGCGTTCCTCTCGTGCATCTATCTCTTTTGGGATAAATCTAGCTCTTGTTCTCTCCATCTAGTCTGGTCCCAGAGAGAGCGTCACTGAAGACAGGAACATAAAAATCCACAGGTGCAGTTCCCACCCAGGAGCCCAACAGGGGACAGAACAGAGACGACCAGAGAAGCGCTTCGAAAACAAAACCGACACGAAAGCAAAGCAAAAGGAAGGTTCATTCACATACGTGGCCCTTGTTCAAGCCGACAGCGATTCCGGTGCGTTCTTTCGCCATCGCGACGGTTGGTGGTCTGCGGGTGTTGGCGACTGTGGTTGCTGGGAGCGAAGTTGTCGTCGTCGTTCGTCGTTTGTCGGTCGGATCGGTCAAGTTCGATCGATGTGCAAGCCAAATTGGAGGGTTTCGCGGCAGAGCGTTTGGTTGGTTGGCCGTCTGCGGGAGTGGAGTGCGGTACGCGAGAGTAGGGCTTAGGGTTTAGGGTTTAAGTCTCGTGCCCTATCTACTATACCCGCAAGAGGCTAGACGGACATCGGTATTCTCTCACGTGATTTAGATGAACATGGCCAATCATCACTACGGAGTACTACTCTCAGAACATTAATTTCCATTTTTGCACACTGTCACGTGCTTTTCTACAATATACTCCGTAGAAATACGTCAAGTATGGCGAGGAAGATGGTGTGAAGCCTGCCTTGGGAGTATATAATAAAGACTTCTTGGCCTAGATCAGAGTATTTTCTCTTGACTCCGTAAATCAGTCGAGCGAACCGAGATTTGCAGGCTCGTTATCGATAAGATAATACGTGATTGATCAATGAAGGATCCTGGTGCCTAGGTATGTACAGTACATGCTCGCAAGTAACTCAAGATTTGAATTATATACATCGCACTAATATCTCCCAGAAGCCATTTTCATGGCAGATTCAATAACCATCCCGTCCGGTCACGACCCCGTATGCCTGCCCTCCGTCCCTCCCCAGAAATGCCTTCAGATCTCTGGCTAGGATCTCCGGCACTTCCCATGCTGCAAAGTGGCCTCCCTTCTCTAGATCCGTCTCTCGGACCACGTTCCCGATTGCCCGGTTCCAGATCATGGGGAGAATGAGAATCTCTCGCGGGAAATGGGCCACGGCAAATTTGACCTGAGAGGGTGCATAGCTTGAGAGCACGTCAGTACGCGACATGGCCCCGGGCAGAGACTTGGACGGGTGCGTCGACTCGTAATAAATCCGCAGTGAGGCCGCTGGACCCGCGCGCGAGAAGAGATAGATACAGACCCACGACAGGATCTCATCATCCGTCCACGGGTACGAGTCCGTCCAGGCGTGTAGCTTCTCGTAAATCCAGGCGAGCAGGCCGACTGGACTGTCATGCAGACCGTATCCGAGTGTCTGAGGTCGCGTGTCCTGCTGCTTCATGTAGCCACTTCCCTCGGCGAGATAGTCCTGGGTAACGGCCAGCTTGGCCCGGTCCTTACGGGAGAAGGGCAGCGTGAGAAGCGACTGAAGGAACAGGATCGGGTTTCTCCATGGGTAAGGGGGCACCTGGGGGATGAAGTTCAAATGAGCAGCCTTGACGTGATCCGGATAGAGCTTGGCCATGGCGCGAGCGATAATGGCTCCCCAGTCTCCCCCTTGCAACACTGTCTTTCTTGTCAATTGATAAGAGAAAAGAAAAGAATGTCGAAAAAAAGAGTTTCAAGTCGTGAACTCGGATCAACACTGACCATACTCTGGGTACCCGAGCGTCGTCATCACAGCGTGCATGGCTTCGGCATATTGGACCAGTCCAAACCCTTTCTGTTGTTGCATTAGACAGGCAGACGAACAAAACCTAAGGAACAAAGAAAGAGACATGCCTTCTTTACACCTTCTGAGAAACCAAAGTTGGGCAACGAAGGTGCTACCACATCAAAGGTAGGTTGACTCTCATCCCCATCCTCCTGTGTCAACAGGGGGAGCAGTTTCATGACCTCGATAAAGCTGCCAGGCCCTAGCAATTTACAAATTTCGCCCATCAACTTGGTTGTCACAAAACACGCGTACAAGAACAAGTTGACGTCGATCTCTGTACTCTTTCCGCATCACTTACATCCATGCAGAAACAGCAAGGGAATCGTCTTCTTGCCCGTCGCCTTACTCTTCTGATACACAAAGTGAATCTCCAACTCGCCGAACCCAGCTACCGGAACGGTGGTGACAAACTGCGGCAGACGCTCGTTCAGCTCGCGCTCCGTCTTGCGCCAGTCGAACGACTCCTTCCAGTACGCTGTCAGTCGTTTGATTTCGGCGAGGGGAGCCCCCATGCTCCAGTCTGCAGAGGCGTTGCCATTTTCGCCATCACCATCATGCTCGAGTTCATCGGGAAAGGTTGCGAGGTGGAGTTTTTGTCGAAGGGTTTCGAGTTGGGATTCAGGGACGGAGATTTTGAATGGTTTGATGGTGCTTGTACTTGTCCCCGTGCTGCTGGTGCTCATGGTTGTACGATTAGACGGATAATGGACAGATGATTGCATGCAATTAGTACAGATTCCTTCAGCTCAAATTCTCAGAGACGCTTGAATTTTGCTATCACTGCAAATCGCTATTTGCTTATTCCTTTGCTATTGCCCTCTGGTGCACAAAGAGGGACGCTCCTTCCCAAACTCAGTATGTACATGTACCAGGTTCTTTCCCAATTAGGCATATACATCACCTGTCCTCGTGATGTCCGGAGGTGATCCAAACTCCTTTGGGCAGTTGCGGATTCCTTAACCTCCGGCACAGTCATCCGCTGACGCATGGCTCTGGAGTGCATTATTATCTTATTATCAATGCAATGGATGGATAAACAATAAAAACTAAAATAAAATAAGAGATAGAAGAAGACCAGGTACGTCATTTGGCAGGATCTCTATGACAGGGGAAATGAAAGTTATCCTCGCTACCGTCGGTTCGGAAGGCTACAGATCTCTTGGATCCGCAACTAACTACTCCGTACAGAGCACTCCGTCATACTCGTTGTAGTTAGTGCAGGTCTTGGAAGTGACACATGGCAGTGATGTCTTCGCCGTCACGCAGGCAGTACGGAGCATTTTGGAAAGATCTGGCCTCGCCAACTGATTAATCATCGATGGGGACCTAATCTCGGCGACCGTTGCCGGCACCGATTCGATCCAGGCAACCGGTGTCTACCCTGCTACCATGGTACGGCTGCGTCGTCCAGCGTCACAAAGCCGGGCGGATGACATGATCGATGCCGACAGAGGTGACGATCGCAGTGCGGGGCAGCCATCGACGAGGACGAGTAGGCCTGGATTCACTGCCTGGCATGAGCCGGGAAGGAAGCGATTCCCTGTCTTTATCGTGGCAATGCATGGACGGCCTGACTGCGAGTGAATAGTGATGGATCGATGCCAGTGGGCAGCGCTGCTGGTGTGGAACTAGGCAGTGAATTATTAGGCGCGGTTCTAGAATTAAGAGTCTAGATCGAGACCGCGGCCTCCCCGCCCGTTCCGTTCCCGTCGAGATGCAGCGCTGCACGGCCTCGCCTGATTCGCTGCTGCCCGGCTGCCAGCCGATCGCCGATCAGCGGCCCTGCCACCCGGGTCGCCATGATAAGGAGTCTGCTACGAAGAGGACGAGGGCAAAAGACAAGAAGCAGAAAACGGAATCAGCAAGGGCAGGAGGGCTCAGCAGCTCTGGAGCACAACGGTCAGAGGTCCGGTTACACAGAACGAGGCGTGCTTACACAGGAATGCGCTGAGGCTCCAGTCATTTCTGAGGAACCAGGTTTTGCTCTGGGTCGCCCAGTCCGTAATAATAATCTGCCATCGACGCCTAATAAAAGAAGACGCCCGGGAGTCTCGGCCTGGCGTCTGGCCTGGCATTAACTTTGGCCTGGCCGTGCTGCCGGCTCACCTTTAATACTCCTGCTGCTCGATCCAGCCAATCTTGCTGGCCTGGAGCCTGCTGCCCATTTCTCTCCATCCCAGACACGAGTTCTGACGCTCTGTCGACGTCTCTGGACTTCTGTCTTCCCTCCCACGACCACGGGGGCGGCCCCATACTGCAGAGGATCGACAAGCGCTTGCCCCCGCATTCGACGTCCATACAGAGCCCAATACCAAAATAAGCACTCCACGGCCGTGCTTCTTTTGTCGGCGTGACATCAACTCCTTCTCCCTTGGTCGGGAAACCGTGGCAGAGTCTGTTCGACAGGAATCCCCGGAGAAAATTCCTCTGCGACGGGTGCCGTGTCTTCACATTGCTCAATGCTTTCACACCAAGCCATGTAAGTCACCGTTCAACTGCATAGTCTCTTTGTCTACTGCGGTGATGACGGTGCTGAGTCCTCAGTCGGAGAGGCCGACTGGTCGCTGTCGTACATTCGTCACTGCTAACCACCCCTCCAGCGTCACGAACCCCACGCTCGACAACTCGTGGGGACAGTCACCTGTAACCTTTATGATTCCACAATAGAACCTCCCAAGCTGGCGTTGTTCATTCACCCCTCATCGTCGCCCACGCCATGGCGAACCCCGAAGAACTGAAGAGCAACCATGCTGACGGCGTCAGCGAGTTTCCATTCCATCTCCGCAAGTCTCTGTGCCTTTCCGGAGAGCAGCCGGGTGTTGCTCTTCACCACGGGGACATGGACTTTCCCCGGTCGATCAGCAAGCACTTTGACGCGGGCGAAAGCAATGCGGCGGAACGGCTGATGGCCCTCAAGTATGCGCTGAGGCTCGCAGACGCGGAGACCTTCTGGAAGCGACTGTTGGAGGATCTTACGTCGCTCTGTGATGCCCAGTATGGATTCGTGGTCAAGAGACTTTCCGCCAACGAGACGGACCATGCTACGGAGCTGTCGTCGATTGGCGAGTCGGGCTCCCAGCTTCTGACCCTCGCCTTCTACTATAACGATGGCCACGGGATAGAAGGGTGGCATCGAGACTATAGGTTCCCCGCATGCGGCGCGCCTTGTGCTCACATGAGACATGACAAGGTCTTCGTGGTTCCCGACAAGTTCTCCTCGTTTAGCAACCATAACCCCGCCGATCTGCCCTTTTCTGCAGAGGCATATCTCGCCGTTCCCTTATTCACGGGAGACAAGTGCATCGGCCATTTTGGACTGATGTGGTCCGAAGAGGGCCTCCGGAATAAGCGATTATCCTGGTCCTATCTGGAATTGCTTCTGCACTCTCTCGAAGACCTGGTCACACAGCGGGTCTTGGATGAGGCTACGCCGTCAACGACAGAGCGGCGCGACAGCCTGTCTGAGTCGCTGTTTCCGACGCCAAACGCTACCAATAAATCCCAGTCCGCCTCGTCCCCTCCTCCTCCAATCTTCTCTTATCCCCTCAAACCATACGCGCCAAGCCTCTCTCACGAGCTGAGGACACCAATGCAAGGTGTCGTGGGTATGCTGGATGTCATGCACGCAAACGTTGAAGAGGCAATTGATGCCAAAGCCGCCATCGCTAAGTCGTCTCAGCTTCTGCAGGACTTGAAGGAGAATATCGAGCTGGTCCAAGGTGAGCAGATGATGCACTTACCGGGCCAGCTGCTCAATTGTCATGGCTGACGCAATCACTGTGTACAGACAGCGCCAGACGCGCAGTAGAAGCCGCCGATAACGTCGTCCACGCGTACGATCTCAACATGCAGATCCCTGACACTCCGCGCAGGGTTACAGAGAATGAAGTTCTGGATGATCCTCTACCCCCGTCAGCCATGACATTCGACAGCCGTCCGGATTTGCTCAATACCAGTGTTAATCTTCCCGTTAACCCTTACAAACGCCGGCGTAGCCACTCAATTGACTGGACTTACGGGCCCACAGCAAAGCATCGATCACGTCGGAACCTTTCTCGTGGAGATCTTTCGCCTCGCAGCGAGGTCAAGAATGCTGTCCAAGAAAGTGACCAGATTGTCTATTCGCCAACAAGAGGTCGCATTGAAGAAGTGGTTGTCGATGCGGTTGCCCAGCGTCCATCGCTCGCGGCGCGGGGAGCCGCTCCCCGGATGCTAGTGGAAGGAGGCAGCTGGATCCCTTCAGTTTTGCGACATACCAAGATTCGGGACCTCCTCCACTTGGTCATCAACGAGTCCCTGCATGTGGGCGGGCGTCCCGAGTCGTCGACGAGCGAGTCCACTCCATTGGGAGAACGGATTGAGGTTCATGCACGATCGTCCAACGGAGAACCTTGCGTCAAGGTCATCGAATGGTCGGTGGACTCCCAGGTGCCGGACACCCTGCTCGTCGATGAAAGGGATCTCGCCAAGCTGATCTCTTGCGTCTTCCTGAATGCGGTCAAGTTCACTGAGAGCGGTGAGATCACTGTCTCGGCAACTCTGAGCAGCAGAGGGCAGTATATCCGCATCAACATTCGCGATACCGGCACTGGCATCCCGGAGGCATTCCTGCCGAATCTCTTCAAGCCGTTCGCTCGTGAAGATGACTCGACGACACGGACGAAAGACGGTCTTGGCCTGGGACTGCTTGTAGCCAAAGGCCTTTCCAGGAAAATGGGCGGAGATTTGCTCTGTGTGCGCTCGTCGACATCTGGGCCGGATCGCGGATCCGAATTCGAAATCCGCGTGCCTATTACTCCAAATGGAAACTCGTGCCGGCCAGGCACCCCATACAATGGGTGCACGACACCATCGCAGTCTGATCACCCCCCATTTGATTTTAACAGTCCTCGCGGACCCATTGACACCGACAAAGCTAAAAATCTTGGAACCGATGGGGAAGCAATGACTCCTCCGGAGAAAACTTCCCCTCCCCTGGACGGCCAGTTCGCACAAACCAGTCCAGCCAATGTCACCAATGGCAGTGCCTCCAAACCGCGTCCCAGCTCTTCTTCTCCTCCTCGAACGGCTGGTCATCCGCCGACCAGCAATCTACACGGCAGTGGCCTCGCTAAAAAGTACCCCCTCACCTTCTTGGTAGCCGAAGATAACCAAATTAATCGAAAGATCTTGGTCAACATGCTCCACAAGCTCGGATACCGTGATGTCTATGAAGCCTATGATGGGAAAGAAGCCGTCCGCATCATGCGGGACACCCTCTTATCCCACTACCCTCTGCCATCCCCTGCCTCGTCGCCGTCCTTGAATGGGAGCGATAGCGGCATCGAAAATCCCTCGTCTCCCAACGGAGCCCCCCAGGGCAAGAATACCACCAAACCGATCGATGTAGTGCTGATGGACCTGTGGATGCCCGAGATGGACGGCTACGAAGCGACGACACGGATCTTTCAATTGGTAGATGAACACCGCAGTCGTCTGGCGCCCCATGCCAACGAGCGTTCTAGTCCTCACGAGAGTCGCCGTTCGTTTTGGGGAGAGAACGGTGACAGTTACTTTCCATCCGTGTCTCCGATTTCGCCCAAGGTTCTCGCGGTGAGTGCGGACGTGACGGACGAAGCACTGGGACGGGCTTCCCAGGTTGGCATGCAAGGGTACATGACGAAACCGTACAAGTTGGCCGATCTGGAGCGATTGATTCTTGATTTCTGTGGTGACGAGGTGTCTCCAGTTTAAACCCGGGCGGTCATCTTGATGGCCAAGTTCGAGTCGTTCTTTTTTTTTTGTTGCGTCGTTGTTTTCACATGACGGGCGCTTCAATGATTCTTCTTCGTGTCTATTTTA